ACCTATTTATACCTAAGGTATTCCACGCAAGTAAAGAAAATTGAAGGCGCTTGTACAGTTTTGCGCTGCGCGCGCACATTCCGCACGTTAGAAGCAGTGTGCATGTATAATTTTACATCACAATTCTGAGCGATTTGTGCAAGTTATCGCGCAGTGAATATGATTCTGGCCAATCAGTCCAAGGTAATGACGTTTGGAGCTTATCACCCTTTAAAAACCTTTACATATTTTTGCCAAAATGTACAATTTTTACGTGGAGTGCTGTGGCCTCGTGGTCCGGAGCACCGAGCTCGTGGTCTGCCGGTACCGGTTCGAGTCCAGTCTGGGGTTATGGTGCGTGTTCCTAGGCTATACACTTTCACTTTATCACTCATTGCTTCACCGTACCTTGATATATGAGATGGTTATTGTGGTTGATTGTAGCCGCTTTGTGCCGAAATAGTACGGTAGTATACAGAATATCTCCTTGCACAGCAAGGGTGCGAGCAGATTCGGTGATTAATTATGCAAAAAAGACTGCGTCTTGACCTCGAGATTCGGACCATTCAGCGAACGTCTTCTATATCGGGTCTTCGGGAAACCGTTGTTGAATTACAAAACACATGGCATCCAAATTGACCAATTAAAATCTTAGTCCGCATTTCTGATCGAAATGACGTCACAGTTTGTAAAGTCGACTCCGATTGGCTGGCACGCGGGGTCGCATAAAATGTTCATGTTAGCCAGGATATATCAGACGTTCGACCGTGGCTCTGCCGACGTGAATGTTTGACTCTCAGACTAGGCCTACCGATGGCAGCATCGAGTTGTAAACTCCCGGTCCCCGGGGAGCTCAGATCATATTTGGAATGTTTCATTGGCCCAATGATCAGGGCTTATAGTGCAATGAATCGCCTTGATCTTAGTCAAAAGCGCTATATAAGTATCTGTTATTATTATTATTACACTTATTCATATTATTTTAACTGCGCGATGTGCAAATAAACGCCATTGGAAAGAAATTTGGCGCCGCTGTGCACTTTCATTACACATCAGCGTGAAAATGTGATTCTCTGCAGTATTTGAGACTGTCTTGATTTCCTTAGTGATCGATTGCTGTATTGTTCTTGCCTGCAAAAGTGTTATTAAACTGCGAAGTGCGAGCACGGCAGGCCTACGTGTGACTGTTATGAAAATATGCCCGCTGAATTCATCAGGGTATTCAATCTTGAATTTGTACAAAACAGATCGTTATGAACGTTTCATGACGGATATTAAAATATGTAAAGGATTACTTTTTTGATATCCAGCCTGCCAACGTTAAACTCCAAAGACGGTAAATTTTATATTTATCAAGTAATCGTTTAGAGGTTTTTTTTTACCCTAACCCCCTAGTAGTTCCTCAGGACTACCTGCTCAATCCAACAGAGTCCAACCGGACTTTCCTGCTCAATCCACTGTGCATTATTTTCAGTTGTCTGCTGAGTCCAACATGGCGTCCAAAATGGCGCTATAATACGGTTCAGTTGCCTGCTGAATCCAACGTTTTGCATCAGGAATATGTACACTAGGGGCTTACTGATCAATCCAACAGGCTCCATCGGGTATATATGACTGATACTCAACTAAAACAACGAAAACGTTTACTTCCCAATATTTTTTCTGAATATTATAATCAAAGAGTTTTCCAAATGGAGAATCAGCGACGTAGAAATGTTCATATTTGATTGATATTCCTATTCAGATCGACGAGTGGTACATGTATACTTTCCACGAGCTGTCTGGGTGCCTGGTTCGAATCAGTTGTAGCATGAATTTAGGACTCTATATGAAATATGGACTAATTGGTAGTGTTGTTGCGCATGCCTAGGCGATGACAATTAGGAGGGTGACCGGTCACGTAATGGGTTTAGTCTGATTTTCATAGGATTCCGATTTTCGTATGACATCGGCACTCGTTGCAACTGCCCGTAGTTAAGGGATATCGTCGTTCAATTCTTGTTTTGATGATGAAGGATTTTCGGTGGTTTTGTTCCCATAAATAAAACGAATAGTTACGCAACTGTCTTCTCACAATCGGGCTTCTTAAATTACAAGACTCAATTCACTTTCAAGGGTTCTTGATTCGACTCCTCATTAAAAATAAAGCGACTGTCATTTAGTTTTTGCATAACGTACTAAATATGGAGCCACATCAGAAACAATCCATACAGAAAAAGTTACCATTGCTGGTAGCCGGTAAATTAAAAATGAATCAATATTTATTAAGTAATGCCGAAGAGCTTGGCAATTTATATATCTTCTTCGTCGACGGATACTAATGAAATACATGTACTATTCGCGATGACCACAATCACAAGACGTTACTGACGTGTACCGCGCTCTCGCGCACTTCACACGCGCGCAAGCTTTCTTGAGAACGGTATTAGTGGAATGAGCGTGGAATGCGCTAGTAAATGTGACGTCATTGAAGTGGCTTGTTTAGCCAATGGACGCTAGTAATCAGTGGTGCGTGCGCGTGTATGACGCAGTCACTTACGAAGTGCGCGCGTTCGACATGCGCGCAGTAGGAGTGCCTGACTTTTTCTAATCGTAGCTGTCTATTTAGTTTATAGATTGGAGTTGCAGTTGCGACCTACCCATGTTTACAATGCGCTGAGCTCCGTGCAACTTCAATTATCGTCTTCCCTCATTTATCAAAAGAAAAGTATAGGGCATCCCCTTCAGTGACAGCAGATCTTTTTAATTGTTCCCCCTTTTTTTCTTGTTCTTCTTCTTCTTTTTTTTTTTTGGGGGGGGGAATGGAACAAGCTCGACCATCAAACCTAATTAATTGAAGAACGCGAAAAAAATATGCCTTGCATTGCTGATTGCTACATCAATCACTGAATTGAACAGGTTGCAACCGAAGCCAAGAATGATTGCATTTTCTTGAGTTAGACGCATAGCCTTGAATAACAAATTAATAGCCTTTTGGAAAAGCAATATATACTCCCGTCTTTGGGTATACCAGCACAATGTCTGTTTCGTATTGTGTTTGCATTGCTATGTCGCACAACATTGACGTTCTAGAAATATGGTTTCACATTGGAAACGTCATTCAAAATAAAGACTTCATCCAGCTTAAATTTAAAGATTATCTTGAGCACGAACCCTTATATTGATGCATACCGAGAATTTGTGTTACTAAAGTGACTGTTATTAGGCCTAGTTTTCTACGATAAAAATACTCAGGCCGTCCATACCTAAAAAACGCGAATTCTCGAAATATTCATGACTTTGGTTATAGTTTGGGGTATTTGTATTGCAGTACCATCAGGGAGGTTTAGGATTACAATGTAGCGTCGGTAGACTAACGCGGAGGCGGATTATGTCACCTCTTGCAGTAATGTGTGTACCTCATACAGAATCACGCACGTTTCCGCATATTGGTAACGTCGTTCAGTAAATATGTTGCCCTATGGGACTCTAGAAGCTGCCACATTTGGAACACAGTCTCATGTTTGTTTAACCTGTTTTTCCCTTGTTCACGCTCCCTGGAAATTCGATTCTTGAGATGGATTATTGGAATTTGACAAATTGACAGTTATGTGTATCAAATTCTGATGTATACCTCGATGTTTTGCAGAGCAGGTATTTTTTTCAGCGAATTCCTTGTTGTTCTGTTACGGTTGGTTGCTGCTTGCATTGTACACCCACCATGTTTTCCCTTGTGTGAAGAAATTCGTACAAGCACAAATTAAGACTAGAATTTGCTTAATGGCAGTCTGATACACCTTTTATGGCTCTTCGTGTCTTGTACTTATATGAAAAGAGACTGATCTTTTCATATACATGTACTTTGTGTAAGATCCTCCACAATTACGACAGATTTTCATACCAGTAAAATAAAACGTGAAATTAGTATTGGCATAACGGCCGGTAAGCCTACGTCCCTAAGTTGGCGTGCAACGGTGTGATGAACCTTGAACAATATGCTGGCATGCTCATTCAAATCCCATAAAATCTCTTATTCGGCTTGAATAAGATCTTTGCACTATTAAACCAGGTATTTATACCCGTAAAACAATGAAATATCTGTGTGCGTCATAACACATTGGAGTCTGGCCGTAATAATTTTTTATTAGGCATCGAAAAGAATATACTGCAAAGTTGGTGGTGTACAAATTAGACCGGTTCGTGTCAACAACACCAATTGTTTGCATTTGAAAAAGTCTGGTTGTCTGAAGTTTTTTCTTCTTCATTTGAAGTGTGAGTTCGAATTACAAATTGCAACCGTTTCAGCGGTTACACCTCTATGTTCCGACACCCCTATGTTCCGACTGCACATATTCCTATTCCTAACCCTAACCCTAACCATAACCCCAACCCTAACCCTAACCGGGAGTAACACAATCTAGGTTGTCGGATAACCTAACCCTAACCCTAACCCTAACCCTAACCGGGAGTAACACAATCTAGGTTGTCGGAACATAGAGCAGTCACCGTTTCAGCAGGCACGCCTTTTGGCTAACATCTTTGTGGGATGAAAACCCGCTTCCCATCTGATCTCAGAAATGTGATGACTGTTTTTGTTTGTCAATATTGGTATGGTAGTAGTTAAGTCTGTCACGAGCCAAGAGTTTATGGCCGGAGTTTATTTCCAGGCGTGAAACGACTGAGAATATTTCAATTCCCCCCGGATGGAATGCCAGTCCATCGCAGGTTACTCCCCAGCTAATGCTGGTACCATTCATACTGCTGGGTGAGAGAGACAATAGGGGTGAAGTGGCTTGCATAAGGACACAACATATAGCCATCAATTGGATTCGAACCACTGACTCTGTGACACTGAGTCACGAACCATAACCACTAAGTAGTATTATAACAGTAAAGAATTCATGCTTAATATTACATGCAAAGGTTTGACTCAATCGGGCAGGCGGCGTTTGGGCGTATATGGCCATAGTATTCCACGGCATGTACTGTTCAGTCCGTGCTTATGCTAAACTATAACTGTTCTTATCTTTGGTTTATCTCAGACTTGGTAGAAAACTACTGCCGATCGATTGGAAACGGATCTAGAGGCCCACAGTGTTACTACGTAAACAAAGACGGCATAATCGAGCTTGAATATTGCCGTGTGCCTCCGTGTAATGGTAAGCTGCAACCGGCAACAGAAGTTAACTTAACTTAGTACCTAAAACCTGATTCTATAACTTCATTTAGTTGGCAAACTAGTTAGGGGCCTCCATAGGAGGATATATAAACTCCCTTCAGACGTCACTCTTTAACAAAAAAAAAATTGTTCAGATGTTGGCAAAGAGGTTACTACACACTCCATAAATCCCGAGTTAGATTTTAACCGGGGCTTTGTTGAGCGTATAATTATGAGCAGCGCCACCTAGTGTCAGACTGAACTCAGTAGTGGGACCCTGAAGAGCGCCCCCTCGTGTCAGATGATGCCTTCACCAAATTTATATAATGATCACCTTCCTATTTGTTTTTGCATGTAATCCATCATGAGCAACGAAAACAGTTTGAATGAATATAAAAGACAATATAAAATAACTTAATCGACTACACCGATTTTTACCTTCATATTACGATTTTCCCGAAGAGGAATACATTATTTTCTCTGTGACACCGTAGTGTGAGGGGAATTTATTTAATTATTGTCATTGGTCATTTCTTTTTACCGTATAGCTCATGCAGGCTGTATGAATGGCACCGGCTCCGCATACAGGGGCACCGCCATGTACACGATTTCTGGATATTCGTGTATGAATTGGAACGAGACGACAAACAATGACACCGATTCTGACGCAGGTAAGATACCAAAACAAATAAAACCATGAAAAACATTTTTTTCTATCCAAATCGCAATTTAAACTGGGATAGTGGGAGCAACATTATTGTCCTCATCATTCAGTTCATCAGCATCGTCACAGCCACGGCCATGACTTCAATTTGAGTTATAATTTTGTCCATTTTTTCCCTCTTTGTTCAGGTTTTGAGAAAAACTTCTGTCGAAACCCGGACAACAGTTCCAGTCCATGGTGTTATTTTATGGATCCAGAAACCAACACAACACAACGAGATTTCTGCGGCGTTATTCCTCAATGTAAGTGCTCGTAGTGCTACCAATCAGATGAAGTTTTGATACATAAGCGATGCGGGAAAATATTCAGCATTAATTCCTCAACTGTTAACTTTCTCACTTGTGCATTGACATTAGTCCATCTATTGCCAAGAAATTCCCGACGAATGTGAAAATTTTGACTTCAGAGCTCACGAAATGTACAGTAAAGCCAGAGTTTCGAAGTTCCGTATGCCCCGTTTCTCGTCGAATTTCGTTTGGTCTCAGCAAATTTGTAATTTTTTACATTATTCGTCACCGTTTTGGCGAATTTTGTATTTCACTGTCTGAACAAACATTCGAGATAATCGCGAGTAAAGTCCTTTTTTCATTTAACAATTTGAAATTTAAAGAGGCATAAAATATGCAAGATTTTAGGTATCAGAGGAAAAAAGAGATTCTAATCTTCCTTAATGCAGCAAACTTTAAGAAAAATAGGAGATTAGTGTAGCATAATTAATCAATTAAGAAAAGTGGCTGTTCGTGAAAACGAAAAAAAACCGACCAATTAGCTAATTCGCCTCTTAGTGAAAACGCTAGAGTTAGTAGGCGCAGATTTCGCACTACTGCGGTCTGAGTCAATGCATTTTTTGTACAGTACGCGCAGATTTTGCCCCACTGCGCGTGCGCCTTAAACTTCGCCCCTTCGTGAAAACGTTTTATTGCACGCGCATGAAATTCGCACGCCCCGTGATAACGCTTCATTGTAATACAATGTATTTATTTACTAAAAATGTTTTAATACCGTAGAAACGTGCGGAAATTCGCTCCTTCATGAAAACGCAAAACGGCACTTGTGGCAAATTCGCCCATTCGTTAATTAGGTTAATCGGGATTTTAATTAAGTTTTTGAAAGTAAAGCCTCACAAGGCTGTAGATATCAAATATTTATTCATTTTCACCAAAAAACCCCACAAATTTCGAAAAACAGACGATTTTCATGAAATTCGCCTCTTCGTAAAAAAGGGTGACGTATATTGTATGACGAGATCTTAGTTTCCTCTAAAAAAAGGACCTCCCATTTATCAAAATTGTACCTTTCAATTCCAAGCAACAGATCACGAATGAAACAGTTCAAGATGTCCTCTCCTGTGTCATTCTTGCTTGCCTTTATCAATTAACCTTTTCCAAATGTCGACCTTTCCAGTTGATCGAGTACTTTAGGGCTTTACTATTATTGACTGGGAAATCCATTACCCATCTAAATAAATTGAAGTCCTCGCTATTGTCTCCGACTAACACCTGTTTTCAGATCCGAAGTACTTAAACAGTGTCAAAACAGGTGTCACCTTTAACTTAAACTGCATTGGTGGGCCATATTCAATTTGACGTTATATATGCTATACTGCATTGTCTCAGATTCAAGCACTTAAAGAAACACTTAACCACTTAACGGAAGTGCAGCATTTCAGCGTCGAGAGTTATTTTCACTTGACGTTTTGGGGGATGTCACATCACATTTGGTTGCGGATTGTCGTCCTGATTTTGTGGTTGACACCTTGCCAGATAAAGGGATGCCTTTGCTTAGTTCAATATTTCGTGTGTTTGACGGGGGAACACTGGTCGCTGTTGGGTTCCCAGATTGTAGATTGTGGCAATCATTTGTCGTTTCCCAAATTTCACTAAAGAGCATTTTCCTTTTTAATTTTTGATATGGATCTAAAAATATCGGTTTTGCTGTGTCGATTTAATACGGCCTAAGGCAGCAAATAGCGAAAAAGAATCATGCAGGGATGTTGGGATTATATTTCTTGAAGGTTCGACGAACGCTCTGACGATGTTCACTCGAAGCCTTGGGGTTTACATCAAGGGCTACAACCGGAAGTACGTCACGGGTTTCGACATCACGGCCGAGCAGTGCGCCCTCTCGTGTCTGGACGAGACCGGCTTTGTCTGTCGCTCCTTCGAGTATCGTGAGAAGTGGCTGCACACTGACCGGAAGTGCATACTGACCAACGAGAGCCTGTATTCCTTAGACCAGAGCGATGATCCGACAACGGGATTTGCAGTCGATCTCTTCACCAGGATTGATACAGGTATTTGTGGTGTATGAACGGAACTACTTTCGGTATAATGCATATTCATGTGACCTTTGACCCACAACTTTTCAGAGTGCATGGAACACTCCTATGCGGCAAGCTTATGCCTAAATGCACAGTAAAATAATTCTTTGTCTGCTAAAATCTATAAACAATTCATCTGAAGTACATTTTTCTCAACAGCCAAATCAAAATAGGCTCTAATATGTAAAATGCTCCGGATAGTATGGGGATTATGAACGCCATATTAATTTTGTGGAAAGTTAGCAGAATGCTTCTGTGTCGATTACAACATACATGTTACAACGGGCTATGTGCGTTTAATGGGAAAAACAATCACTCAGGAACTGAATTCCTTTGTTTTGTTTTTTTTTCAGTCTGTGACGCCTATCGCACAACATCGTTTCCAGGTAAGAGCATAAATTACATAGGGAGATAGAATTATAGATATTTGTACTAAATATTAACTAAAATGTTAATTATAAAATTGTGAATTACCATCGTCTTACAAAAAGTACGGCAGATAAGTGATGGGATTGTGCATTCGACGATACAATCATGGCATTGGCACACAGAACTTGTCGCGTCATGAGAAAGATTATTGGCTATAGGGCCATCGCAGACTTGTCTTTTGAGGGAAAAAAAAGATATAGGTAGAATAACAAGCAATGACAGCCATTTTTGAAAAAAATTTAAAACTGCTTGTTAGGCAAAAAAACAAATATTCGGTCTCTGGTCAGACCAAAGTTCCGGAATTGACGCGGTCACGCGGCTTTTTTTTTTTTTTTTTTGCTTTTGTGCTTTTGTTTGTTTTCTTCAGGCTTGGATTGTACAGACAAGGTGGATACTATTTTGCTTTTTTGGTGTCCTCATGTACATTGGTGTCCTCCATAATTTGCCTTGGTGCTTTCGATTATTTGCCTTGGTGCAATTTCCCATTCCTTGGTGCTTTTTTGGTAAAAAAAATTTGAGGAGGTGCGGAAATAGAGGGCGCTGTTGGAGCTACCGCGGAACATTTTGGGAAAAAAAAGATCGACGCGCATGATTAAAATCGACGCGCGCGCTGACCAGAGACCGACTTATTATTTTTTTTTGGCCTTATTGTACCGATAATTTTAAAATAACATGCGATGGCCCTATAGCCAAATGTCTTTCTCCAGACATACTCTGACTGTGTGCCAAAGGCCGCGCTGGTATCATCAAAGGTACATTTCGCCCAAATTTCTTCTATTTGCCCCCATTTAAGTGTTCATTGCTTTCTTCGCTTGCGCCTCGGAGTATTCGAAAGGTGAACCCGCAAAAATTAAAATAAAACTAGAAAAATGGATTTTGCAGTGGAAGTTTGTCATAAAATGCATCAATAAATCATGTTAAAAAACAAGAACCACCAGTGATATCAACAATACAGTCGAAGTTTTATCATAATTAGCCTACTGCACTTTGTATTCATCCTGCAGAATCTTGCCCTCTTCCCTTATCGGAGAATTTAAATGTGACGGCTTCAAGCGTGTACAACGAATCACACTACGACCCGGCCGATGCCATTCTGCATGCCGACTCTTGGTGGCGTCCTACCACCGATTCAAACACGGAGTGGCTGCAGGTGACCTTCGGTTCCCGGATGTTCGTCACGGCCGTGGGTGTCCAGGGCGGCGGGGAGAGGGCGCCCTTCTGGGTCAAACGTTTCAACGTGAGCTACAGTCAAGATGGCCGCCTGTGGTGGTATACACAATACGATTCAGAATTCGTAAGTGTTGAGAGCTGATTAGCGAGAATTCCTAGGTAGTTTTGTACACTGATTTGTATAGGGCCTAATCAGACTTTATTTAAAAGTATTCTTTTAACCAATCAGATTTCTCCTTCCAGGGCTACCGAGCTAATGGCGAGGCAAGCTGTGTCAACACTGTGATACTTTCTCCACCAATCAGAGCCAAGATCGTCAGGATAATCCCAACTCAATGGAAAGGTCATATTACCATGCGCGTCGCTGTGTTCGGCTGTCTTGATGATGGTATGCACTTTTAACATGTGCTCTGTTTAATATGAATATACCATTTTTTTGTAGATTAGACCCATAGCTTTTGCATCGTCGGATACCTTTTAATATCTGACCCGAGTTTAAACAAATTGGTAAAAAAGATTCCATCGTTTTCCGGCATTTTTTGTTCAGACTGCGACATGTCAGCTGGAATGGTGGACGGATCCCTGCATGACGGTCGAATCACAGCGTCTTCGTATTCTGTGTCCGGCCACGCCCCTCACACCGCAAGACTTGACCCCTACAGTGCTCGTGGTTCATCCGGCTGGAATCCATTCACCTCTGACCCAGGCCAGTGGATAAGGGTAGAGTTCCAGCGGGAACGCGTGGTCCATACTATTGTGACACAGGGGTGTGGAGAAGCGAAGGGTTGGGTCACCTCTTACAGCATGGAATATTCAACTAATGAAGAAGAACTAGGCCTAACGAAGTACCTAGATGGGGACGGCAGTTTAAAGGTGATGCATACATTTTTGTAATCGTATTCGAAAGAAATTTACATGTGTTACACAAAATCTTGTCATTCGCGTCGGATGTTTGAAAGAAGGTCGTTAGACCAAAACAAACGCGTAAAAAGTCATCATATTAAAGTTTTCTGGTAATATATAATACCTTTCATTTTGGTTAACATTTCACCTCAAGGGGCTACGTCATTCTGACGTAATTAACAGTTAAGGCATCTGCTGCCACCAAGCGGTGCCCATGTGCAAGCCTCTCCCTGTAGTTGCTGAAGGTACGAACTTTCCTTTCAGATATTCCAAGCCAATTACGACGGGTACAGTCTGGTGAGAAACAGGCTTGAGCGTCATCTCGTCATGCGGGCAATAGTCATATATCCCACGACGTGGAAGGGGTATATTTGCCTTCGTGTAGACTTCGTTGGTTGCCCTCACAACAGTAAGTAACAGAAGACGATGACAACAAATCTACATGCACAACTTAACCAAAACCCTAACCACTTTGCTGATATAAGATTTGAGGCTTTGCATGGTGGGGTATCGGTATCGTTTCGGTTTGCGGTAACACCATGTGGTAATAACTACTGCTTAGAAGATATTAGTTCTGAAAAGAACTTGTCCTGCTTATTATCAACTTTGCTAAGTAGTTTTTTGTTCTGTTAAGGACAGTCCTGCTGTAAGTTCTAAACGAACTTGTCTTTGGTCTCAACGTTTCAACTAGCCTGCTCTAGGACTGTTCTTAACAGAACCAAAAACTACTTAGCAAAGTTGATAATAAGCAGGACAAGTTCTTTTCAGAACTAATATCTTCTAAGCAGTAGTTATTACCACATGGTGTTACCACTTTGCTGATTCCTTCAAGTGCGAGTGAACCAGCTTTTATTTTCTGTGGGGCGCCCGTAAGCAATAAAATCGGACAACGTTTGGCTAAATGCCAAGATATCGTGTGGCTGTTTTGTGTGAATTGCATGGTTACGAAAGACATTTTCTGTAAGAAGTTTGGTATGAAAGTGAACATATTTGCATTGTCCTATTATTAAGTAGGATAAAATAATGTTTCAGTTTTTCAAACTTGGTTTAATTGCAGCTTTAATACTGTTATTGTGCGATTCTCCTGTACATATAGCTTGCAATCGGCGTCTAGGTATGGAATCTGGTGTAATCGCTGACTACCAACTATCGGCTTCTACTGTCTACCTGACTAGCGTGCCTCAGTTAGCGCGTTTACATCTCTCGCCAGACGACGATAACCTTTCGAGCGGCTGCTGGCGACCGTCACTCGAACTACCCGAGGAATGGTTACAGGTTGACCTCCTGACCTTTCACACAGTGACCGGGGTCATTACCCAGGGGATCGGCCAGCCCTCTAAAGACCGATGGGTGATGACATATTTGATTAAATACGAGAGTCAGGAATCAGACGACACTTGGAGGCACTACACAAGCTTGGATGGGACAAATGCGGTACGGATTTTTTTTTTTTAATAAAATAAAATCTAAAAAAATGTGTAATGATATAATTTTGCTGTGTTGATCTCTGGCTTTGCGCTGCACACGAAATCTCGACATTGATTGAAACTGGCCAGGAGGTTTATCAATTTTATATCAGATGTGTTGTCAAAAATTAATCCTTCTAACAGACTCAATGGATGTAAAAGATAATGCATTAATTTCCACAGATCTTAGTGGGCAATGTGGACAGCAATACGGAAAGTCGGACAATTTTTCAGCGATCATTTGTCACCAAAAAGGTTCGCATTGTTCCAAATTCCTGGTACAACACTCTCCCGTGCATGCGTGTAGAAATACTAGGCTGTCCTCTCCAAGGTAAGGCCATTCTATTTTCTTTCTGAAACAATTTCTCTGAATAATTCCTGAAATAATCTGGCGTTAAGTTGTAGCCCCAGAGCCTTTAAAAGCTTACAGCCTACATCGGAAAAAAAATACTCGGATAAGAAGTTACACTCCGTGTGCTTCTGCAGGATGCATATAAAATCAATTTCACTTTGCTAACCGTTATCTCGTACAAATGTACATTCAATTCCCCCAAACGAAATTTGCTTCAGAAAAACAGTACAGTGGTTGTGCCGCAGAAGGCTTCTAAAAAAAAAAAACTCTCTCGATTCTTTATCAGAGGTTGGTGAAATTTGCGGTGAGGGCGCTGTTCAATTCAATGGTTCTTGCATCGGATCTGTGAACAACAAGCGGAGCGACGCCTGTGACGTCATCTTTGCTGAGGGCGCCAGACTCCTCAAGATCACATCCCGGGCCTCTCAGGACTTCATCGCGCAGAATTTCCAGGCACTTCGCATTGAGCATGTGTCAGAGTACATCATTGGTCTGAAGCCAGACACGCGCAACGCCTCGGCCAATCAGCTGTTCCGTTGGTGGGACGGCACCCCGATGACGTATCAGAACTTCTTCAGTGTCGACAACGTCTTTGACGATGGGGAGGAACTCTGCGTCGCCATCGATATTGCCAGTAGGTTCAGATGGCGGATAGTTGAATGTGGAGAGACTCAACACTACCATGCCACGATGTGTCAAAAAGGTAGGTTGCATAACATTTATCGTTTGAAATTCGCGGCACAATGTTAAATCTTAATCATATATCACGTCATTGTTTTTAACGTCTCTCTTCAGATATAAATGAGTGTTCTCGTCTTGGGGTTTGCCCCTCTACCTGTGAGAACATACCCGGTGGCTACTACTGCACATGCCCACAGGGTTACTTCTACAAAAATGACGAATGCCATGGTAATATCTCGCTGCATGTTATCTTAGGCCAAAAAAAAAAAAAATCGGTCTCTGGTCAGACCAAAGTTCCGGAATTGACGCGGCCAAAGTTCCGGAATTGACGCGGCCACGCGGCTTTTTTTTTTTTTTTTTTTTGCCTTTTTTGTCTTTTTTTTCTTCAAGCTTGGATTGTACAGACAAGGTGGGTACTATTTTGCTTTTTTGGTGTCCTCATGTACATTAATGTCCTCCATAATTTGCCTTGGTGCTTTCGATCATTTGCCTTGGTGCAATTTCCCATTCCTTGGTACTCTTTGGTAAAAAAAAATTGAGGAGGTGCGGAAATAGAGGGCGCTGTTGGAGCTACCGCGGAACATTTTGGAAAAAAAAAAGATCGACGCGCATGATTAAAATCGACGCGCGCGCTGACCAGAGACCGACTTATTTTTTTTTTTGGCCTTACTATATTTTTTTTCAGTAAAGTAGTTGGTGTAGGATTTTAGATTGCATTTGGTTGGCGTAATATTCAGAATTATTTGTGTTACCTTTTCGCGTTATACCTCGTTAATCCGATTTAAGTATGGTGATTTTTTTAATCTCTTCCAGAAATATGCAGCCAGCTTGATTTAGACAACTCGGATTCAACGGTGGTGCAAGGTGGACAAGCGTTTTGTCTTATTCTTCCCACTGGGAATGAAAGCCGACTTGAAGCTGAGGCTACGTGCGACACTTTCTTCAGCAACGTGACAGAAATTAACGAATTATCTCAATTAGAGGTTAACGTTTATTTGAATGACTTAATACTTGGTTAATCTAACTTTTATCCAAAAAAAACCATTCGTCGAATGCTTAGGTATCAGTGTGCTTACAGAATTATATCTACAGTTTTCATGACAAACTTTTTTTGCCATTTAAGTGTTTAACTGTTTAGTATCTAAAAACACTGAGATATTTATTTAGTAATATTTGTCCCCTTTTGCAATTAGTTATCGCACAAGATATGGATAAATGGTATAAGTGACAGTGACACCGACGACTGTTCCGTGGCCAGAGTGAATAACGATTCGACTTTGGAAATCTTGGAAGAGAATTGCAACGAGACTTTTCCGTTTGTTTGCACAAGAGGTACAAATGAAGAGTTAACCTTCCGAGCAGCCCAACGGTAGTTTAATAGTCCACGTACATTTTCCAAATATGGGCATAATTTTTTTTCAATGGGCCAATTAGGCCAAGCTTCGATGTAATCCTCACCCCTACTATACACCACAAGCCTGTAGACTCCCATTGGCCAGACCCCTAGCCACTCCGGAGTAAGGAGTGTTGAAAGACAGAAGCCAAGATGGCGCCCAATGCCTTTGTGCAGTAATGGGAGATCTTAGTGGCCAACCCCTAAGTGCCGCCGATCCCTTCGAGTCAACCCTTCGTGCCGCCAGGAGCCCAGACAGGTTGTAAACAATCCCTGGCCATTTGAATGACCTATATCTTGTGCATGTATTGGCATGCCACGGTTATTGACCTATAAACACATGTGGTGATAAAATTCTCCACGTGGTTCCACGGTGTGATTTTTTGATAAGCTGCTCCGAGGGTTAAAATTTATAAATTCAAAATTACTTTAGAACTCTTGTGAGCGTTCAAAACAACAGCGCTAGACACGTGCCAGTGATATTTCAAACTGTCCATGCATTATCTGACACTCTATTTGTGAAATTAAGTATGTAATTCAAACTGTTTGTGCATGGATATTTATGCGAAAGAAATCAAATATTCTCCTCTTGTTCGCTTTTTCCAAAAGCTTTCACCGATGTGCGATGTGGAGAGATGCTGCAAAATAACATAACGAGCAAAGGAACAAACGATACGTTCGGCTACATCCGTTGTCTCAACTACCCACCGTGGTATAACTCTGGTTCCAGTTTTGAAATTCATATCCAAGGACCAAGCCATCTAGTCGTCAGGTAATTTGTTTTAGATTTACTCTACTATGTTTATTTTTAAAATGTAAAAATAAATTAATGAATGAACATTTGCCAAATATACATTTTATTTTATTTTTGAGGGCGTGTCCTGAACATAATTTACTAAAAACCAACCGGCATGCATCATGTATCCGATTATATTTTCCGGACGATGAGAAAGCACCTGCATACTTGGGTTGAAAAAAACTGCCTTGAGCCGGAGTGGAACCTACGACCACTGAAACTAACATTGATCCATCAACTGAGCTATTCAGCCGTATGCTGGTGGTCTGCCACTATCATGAAAGATTACCTGCGCAGAGAATAACTTCAATAAGCCACAGATTGAGCAAGAAGTAAATGAAATATTTTCTCCGCTTTTGTTTTGCAGGTTCAATTTTCTGAAGATGAATTTACGTCGGGGCGTTGGGGCGGACGAGTGCCTAGACTCCCTGACGATCGTGGACGTAATTTCCACATTAGCACGACAACTCGTCAGGGGCCGGTACTGCGGCACCAGGGAAAACCTGGAGGTCATCACCAGGTCAAATGACGTCACCGTTACCCAGGAAATGGGCGAGTTGACGGCGGGAATGGCGCTAGAGTTGGGGTTTGTCGCTTTCTATGAAATGATCGGTAAATGTCTTTAATTCCATACGTTATTGCTTTATAGTATTGCTTTAGTTCGCTAATCAGCCCTAATGTGCCGGTGCGAATTACCATTTCACTAATTCCAAAGATGCAGGAATATAGTTACAAATTTGTTACAAATGACCTTTCCGGGATAAAGAGATTGTTAGCGTTAATAACCCAAGTCGATTTGAGCACATTTTTCAAATTCATACGTTTGATGAGGCAGTCGTTAACTAACAATGTTGCGTTTATAATTGCGCCGTTTTGTGTTCTGATGGTTTTGTTTCATTTCCAAAGATTGCAGCGTAAGATTGTGCGATTTGGGATGCGGCGGTACGACCAACCCAAATGGCACCAGTGGTAATCTGACGACGCCACATTTCCCTGCAACGCTGCCCCCGTTCAGCATCTGCAAGTGGAACATTCACGTGACACCCGGCAAATACGTCAGGCTCTCCTTCCCAGAATTCCTGGTGGTGGACCGTGATGACGTCACGGGACATTGCCTGGATACCGTCTACGTGCTGGATGGTCCCGCCCAGTATGATCCGACGGCTGTTTCGACGGCCATCTGCGGCAAAGCGCCTCCATTGATTCTTACTGATAGCTCGAATATTTCTGTGGTCTACTGGACGGGACTCGAATCACAATCCCTTGGCTTCCGTGCGGAGTACACAGTAACAGGTGCGAGCTTGAAACAGTTTTTTAAACAAAGACAAACTAAATATTTTATTCAGGTGAATGCAGCCATCACACAGAGTACATCTATTCGTTGGAAATTAAGGACAAAGTCAACTTACTGCAGCACTGTACGCTTCTATCTTCAGGATTGGAATAATTCGGTACGAAAAAGAATTCGGGTTATCTCGACGACGATCCTGATTTCAAAAATGAAATGTCCAAAAAATGATCTGGATTTACGTATAATTTCGTCTTTGGTCTACTTCACTTTCATAGCTATAGTGAAATAAGATTAAGAGTTATAGAATTCAGATTCGTCAACATGTCAATGAGCATGGTACAAAAGCTCATCTGTTCTCTCTTAAATGTTATCCCCAGATCTTCCAGGATGCAGCGTGGGATCCCACAATGCCTCCGAACTGATCAAGTGCAACTTTGACGCCGCTGTTATCACAAGTCCGGGCTACCCGTACCACTTCTCCCACAAGACGCGCCACACTTGGCAGATCACCACCTCGCCAGCAACTTACATCCAGCTGGTCTTCCACGAGTTCCGCGTGCCGTCGGAGCAGGAGTGCGAGTTCAACTACGTCGCCGTCTACGACGGCCCAGCTGCCGATGGCGCCACCGCTGCTTTACTCGGAAGATACTGCGATGGTGTCATCATACCAGAGAGGATGTATTCTAGCAGGAACAACCTCGCCTTGAGCTTCAGAACGGATAGCCCACTGGGTTCAAACAGTCAAGAAAGCACAGGCTTCTATGCTGTCTATCAGACATTACGCTTTGAGGCAGCGGTGACTGAAAATGCATCGAATAGTGGTACATGAGCATATCTCTTCAAAAAATAAATTAGGCTCCAAAGAAGTTGTTATTCCCCTGTAAATTTTGTCGTAACTTTTTGCCTTCACAAACTACCGTACTAAATAACACCATTATTTAACTTGGTGTACGTGTTTTGTCTTTGCAACAGTTTGTTTAAACAGAATGTGCTTGTGTTTGAATCCCTCGTGTAGACTATGTGGGTGTTTAAAGACACACTTTTCACTTTGTCAAGTTGTACCAACGGTTACATCAATGCATTTTCCCCTAGTGCTGTATCTGTGTAGTATTATGGCAAGTGTAGCCCTGGTATGTGCATGTGAAGAGCAACTGAACTTTATGGTAGTTTATTCATCAACTCAACAATTCCGATTGAGTCAAATTGGTATATTATTTCAGATTACCTTTGTCCCGACGGGTGGGACCGCTATCGTGGGCACTGCTACAGATTTTACAATCAGTCGGACAATCTGCGATGGACGGACGCGGAGATGCAATGCGTTAACGACCAGTCACACCTCGTCAGTATAAGGGATATTAAGGAAGTGAACTATATCCACGGCATGCTGACGTCCGAGTGGTACACAGCTCTGTTAGATACTTACATTGGTAAGCACTTGATATTATACAAATGCAACGGGGTGCCGGGAGTGTGGCCTAGTGGTTAGGGTTTGTGAGTCATGATCAGTGGGTCAGGGGTTCGAATCCAGTTGCTGAACATGTGTTGTTTCTTTTGGCAAGCTTCTTCATCCCCACTTGCCTCTCTCCACCAGGAGAATGAATGGGTACCGGCATTAGCTGGGGAGTAACCTGCGAGGGACTAGCATCCCATCCAGTGGGAATAGAAATATTCTCAGTCGTTTCCTGACACTGAAACCGGAGATAAACGCCGGCCTGTTGGCCACATTGACTCTTGACAGACTTTTTATTTTGGAAACAGAAGAGAAACTGGAGTCCAGTTTCGCCCATGAGCTACATGGAAAGCTTTTTCTTTAAACGGGTATCTGTGTTCTAATTTTTGTGTTCTCTAGGACTGACTGATGGGTTATCGGAAGGACATTTTCGTTGGACCGACAGGTATCCTATGAGTTATGCAGATTGGTATATACCAAGAACGTGAGTCAAACTTATTGTTTAAATTGTTAAAACCCATTCAGTTTAAACTGTGATTAAGTAAGCAACGAATTCACATGCCTCCAAATCTCATGGTCATACTTAGACTACTTACTTACTTACCGACAACTTTCATTTTCCTTGACGAGAATGCGCACGCGCACACATCATTTTTGGTTAGCATCGTACAGAACGATTGAAAAGAGGGCTAAGTTATGATAAATATTGTTCCCAAAAATCTAATCACATTTTTGATGGATGTACTACAGGATTTCGTCAGGCAAACGGCCGCAACCAGACGGGGACGTGCTGGAAGACTGCACAATGATCACCCTACACAGCATCCGGTCTACGGCTAACTGGCATGACGTCTCATGCGCCTCAAAGGATGCTCGGCAGTTCATCTGCAAGAAACCAGCAGAGTTCATTGGTACATTCACTGGTAAGCGTCAACCCTTTCGTTGGGAACATTCATATTCATTTAGGACTTGGTCCACTAACTAGACTAGTTCGCCAACCGTAACTTTATGTTGCCTGTATGCGTCCTAAGTTATCTGTGATTTAGTTTTCTTTCTCCGCGAAAAAAAAAAAAATTAATTTTCCATTCTCTATTTAGAAACAGTATCGAGTACCAATGCTCCACATGCTGACGACATGACTTTGAGTCAGGAAGGTAATTGATTATGATTTACTGCTACACATGAATTTGATTATTGTTGACATTGTTGTCTTTAAGGAAATAACAAGTCTGTGAGCTTCTTACACTGTAAAACACTGTTGGGCAATGTAATTTACCCAGCTTTGGTATGAAATTACCCTATATTGGGTTGAATTGGGTAAAAACTGTCAAACTATTAGGAAGAATTTGCCCAAGAGTGTAGGCAGTTGATAATTCGACCAGCATTGGTCGAATTATTAACCCATTTTGCGCAACTTTTTTTTTACAGTGTACACAATAATGGCAGTGAGAGGGGAATATAATTAGGGCCTACCGGTGATTTTGAGTACCAATTTAGAGTTACAAATTTAGCGGAGCAAGGCTTACCACTTGCTGGAACACAACTGTGTCTTGTGAAAAAGCTGTTTTAAAGATAATTAAGTTAGAAACATGCAAGTAAAGTTTATTTGTTATATGGTCTCGTTTTTACCAGTCATCTTAATCTCAAATCATCTAGAAATGCAGAGCGAGTGCGGGAAAATCTTGAAACGATGTGACAACGGAGAATGCACGCAACTGCCGTATAGTTGCCCCAACCAGTCAGGTGATCAGTCAGCTGTACAGACACGTGGTCCATCCCGTGCCCAAGTCGTTCAAGTGGAGGCTTCAGACGATGAGTTTGTGTGTTCGACCACTGGCGAGCGCATCTCCATTTCATTCTACTGTGACAATGTGATCCATTGCGCTGACCGGTCGGACGAGACGGCTTGTGGTAGGGGATTGCATGAAATAATGTCGTATGAAATATAGAGAGCCTTAGGTAATTATTATAAATTAGCCGAAAGAGGAAACATTTTCTTATGCTAAAGATCGAAAGGTTTTCTAGCTTTTTATGATTTTTTTTTGCATGCACTGATTAATTCTTCGTCAGATTATCCACTGTGCGGACTGGAGGAATACCAATGCAGCAACGGCCAGTGCGTCGACAAAAGCAAACGATGCGATCTGATTGAAGACTGTGCAGACAGTACGGACGAGTCACTCTGTGGTAAGGACTGCATGTCTGTCGCATATCAAACTCTTGGTGGCAGCAAACTCACTCTACTAGTTTGCACATTTCAGACCCATGGTGGCAGCAGACTCGTTTGACCTATTTACTTGGCTATGGCTGGATTTACTTGGCTACGGCTGGCAGAAATGCATGCACCTATAGAAGCGCCTGAATCCACTTCCAAAAGACGCGTGTGTTACTGTTGGTCGCCGCCAAGTAATTTGGAACCAGTCAAAGGTCAAGCGAGTCTGCTGCCACCAAGAGTCTGAAATGTGCCAGGCATCTAATACGGTATATAATGCAATTCAGAAGCGGCCTTTGTTTCTCTCCTCATGCGTTCAAGCATTTTAAAGCCGGTGTTTCGTGGTTCCATATCTACTACTGCACTTCCAACGTGGCCGGAGTAGTAATCTTTTAATTCTTGCCACTAGTGTAAGATTCTTTTTCTTCCAAAACGTTTTCTTATTCTGTCAGCGATGTGTAATCGTGGATTCCAGTGCTACGACGGTACATGTCTGTCAGAGGGAGCAATCTGTGACGGGATGAAGCATTGTCCTGGTACTCGATGGGAGGATGAACCATCCGATTGTTGTAAGTTATCAATAAGTCGTAACAAGTGCCCACAAGTCCTTATAAAGTTCATCACAAGTCGTCAAGTATCATGTTTTAGTCCTAAACTAACTAAATGAAATGTGACAAGCGCATTTTTCGATATTGTTTATTTCTTTTTCATATTGAATAGAAAAGTTTATATATATAGTTTTTTTGTAATGATTGTCTGTTTGGTTTTATTTTAGGGCGTGAATGTGATATTACATATCAACTCACATGCAACAACGGCGCATGCGCCAATCTGTCCACAACTTGCCTTTATGACTTCGATGAGTATGGCCTGCAGGTTGGATGCCGTGATGTCACACATTTGCGTTTTTGTGGTGAGCTGACAATGTTTTCTTTGAAAAAAGCTTAATGAATTTTGCTTGTAAGATTGAAAAGGAATTCTTCGTATTAACTGGAATTTTCTTTTGTTCTTCTTCTGTCTTAACTCAATTGATCATACAGCATGATAAGATTGCCTTACGTTGAATGGCAAAAAAGTTTGACTGGTACTAAATTGGTGTATTAATAATAATTTTTTTGAAAATTTCTTTGCAGAATCATTCGAATGTCCTGCATGGACACTAAAATGTCCTTCTTCCTATTGCATCCCACTGCGCATGCGTTGTGATGGTAGATTCGACTGCCCGAACGGAGAAGACGAACTGCATTGTGGTAAGTTGGATTGGGAAGTTTGATAAAGGAATTTTGGTTGACTAGTGGTTGATTTGTGACGTAGGTTGCGCCTGCACGGTTATGGTAAAGTGTGAAAGTCGTCCTTGTCAATACGTTCCTGAAACTTCCTGCCCTGGTTCCCTGCCATTCTATTCTTTATAATAAGGCTGCATTAGAAACCAGCGATGTGATCAAAGTGTGTTGGCTAGTCTCAAATCATCGATTAGACCAGTCCAATGTCTATTTTGTATAAATTTTTGGTTAGAATTATCAAACTTTTCCCTCGTTTGAAATTTTATAATTTTCTCATCATTTGCACACAGATGAATTCCACTGTCCTGGAGCATACCGTTGCCATGGTGCTTCGTATTGTGTCTGGCCAGATAAAGTCTGCGATGGTGTTGCTCAGTGTCCGGAACGCGATGACGAATTCTACTGCGGTTTGTGAAAATTAACAGATTGAGATGATAAATTGTCGAGATTTTGTTTTGCGATAAACCTTGACTTGTACTCTTTGAGGGCACAGACAGTAGAGTTCTACCATGATAATAAAAAACGTTTTCTTGCGGCCCTTTTTTCTCTGTTTTGATATAGATGTAACATGCCCTGATGGTTGCCGTTGTCATGGTTACTCAGTGGAATGTGATGGTATAGCTTGGTCGGCATCGGTTGCATCTTTGCTTCCAAATAAGGCCAGGCTCATGTAAGCATTTCAATTAATAAATTGTGGCAGTTTGACATGTAAATTACCATTATTTGTGCACTCTAATGCACTAAAATGCAACTGTGACGATAGATTAACAACAATGTAAACAAGAGACGTTTAGATCTGAATTGAACATGTTGATTAATATCACTATGAAATTGTACTACCAATCGTTATTGTCTTCATTGTTACAACAGCAAATTAAAATCCTTACAACATAGTGAAGGGACGAGACGTAGGCGAGATGTCATTGAAACAGCAGAAACAATACTACACTTCGATCTGGGAGATTTTCCCTATCTGGCGAACCTGTAAGTTCAACCCGAATACCAATCAAGATCATTCAATTAAATTTATGCACAAAGCAACTCGTGGTAATAACATGCAGACCTAATTATTTTATCCATGCGTTCTGTTACAGAGACATCCCACATAACGGTATACGCGAAATCCCATCGGGAATTTTCAAGAATTCAACGAATTTGTTGAAATTGTAAGTATAATAAGCTTTTCAATTTTTGTTCCAAATTAAAAATTATTATATTTAAATAAGCGCCTATTTTGCTTACCACAGTTCCAGTTATTTATCGCCAAACCTGAAGTAGGCCTAAAGCATGAAAATGGATCGTACAACTGAATGCTTGAAAGTATGTTGTTCCCGTTCCTTGGAAATACAAATCACAATGTAGTACATCAAAATACATATGTTACATGTTTTTTTGTTCAAGTCTGACACTTAATGTGGCGCTACTAAAGAATCATCTGTTTAATGTCACGTTATTTGCAGATCACTTGCATTCAATCAGATCCATCATCTAGAGCAACACACATTCCAAGGACTGAGACGTCTTGTATTTCTGTAAGTCCAATACATTTTAAGTAAATATTATTCATGAGGCATTTCTTGAATAAAAAAGAGAATAAATTAATGTTTTCCTTATTATATCAACCTTCTGCCCCCTAATACTACTGCCCACCACGAACATTGTAATTTTAACTTATGACAGTTTCGTAATACCGGGAATGGGTCATTAGGGAGATTTTCCCATAAACTTGTGCACAACATTTTTCAAACTTAAATGTGCCCTAACCCAATATTCCCTTGTCCTTTTTCCACGAATTTCGGTATGTGTACTAATTAGACCACGGGCAACAAATATAATCCAAATGCGACAAAAAACTTTCGCCTGTAAAGGGGGGCTGTGCCATTAGGGAGACAGATGTGTCTCCCTATTGACCGGCGTCTCCCTATTACCGAAGAAATTACGATAACGTGTCTCCCTAATGGTACATTTAGTAATATACCGTAATGCCGAAATTTCATGATGATTCATTTTGATCTCATGCAGGAACTTAACTGGGAATCCTTTGACGCTAATTGACAGAGGGGCATTCATTGATCTTAATGTCCTGCCATCACTGTGAGTACATTATTTTTACGTCACGAATCGTAATATTTTATGAATCGGTCCCTATGACAAGACATTTTCTTCATTGATAGCTTTCCGTTCCAGACTTTGGCCAACTCTATCTCCTTGTTTTGATTTGCACATAGTTCTACGACTGTCCGTTTCGGGAACCATCATCCATTTATGGTATTCAGACTTGCAGATATATCAAAACAATTGACTATTTCATGTAAAAAGCACAGTTCTCTTATACGTTGTGTTACTGTCCTTTTCACCATGCATGCTCTGTTTCAGTCTTGATCGTTTGTATGTGTGATTATTTTCTTATTATTTTCTTTATTCTCGTCAGGGAACTATCAGACCTTCCGATAGACACGCTGGTTGAGGAAATGTTTCAAGGTCTGGATTCGTTGGAAAATCTGTAAGTCATCACCAACATTTTGTAAACGAATATTTATTCTTGTTAGGCCCAGTTATTCTTTTTGTTTCATGTTATTAGAATTATTTGGTTGCGCGCTACTTCTTTCTATATATAGTTTATTTAATCTGAACTAACCAAATGTCGTGCTCTGCATCTACCGCCATATCGCGAATCCATTGTCTAAAATCCGTTTGAATTATTTCGTTTTACTCAATGTCTTAGATCCCTTTACGGTTCTTCCCTGGTGAACATCGAACCAAGGGCGTTTGTTGGTCTGGGTAACCTCAATATGCTGTGAGTAGTTATTTATTTTTCTCTCAGATCAAGTTTGTTATGCTGTTAGGTTGCAGTCAGTGCAGGTTATACTTACGGTACGAATGAGGACTTTGAACAGTGTGTTACCTTATAGCAATAAATCCAAGGACCTGATTCCAAATCCTGGATAGTTTTCATATATGAACCAATTATGTGGACTCGTTAATAAAATGTTAAAATCACAGTCCCACATTGTTAATAATGCACGCGTCCTCGGTAGTGTAGTAGAATCAGACAATAACGCTAAGGACCGCAGCAAAGTACTCGGGTCCTCGGTAATAAAGTTAAGCCGAACTGTATGCTTAGTGTAAGGAGGTCGGTTGTAGCTCACTAGTTCTGTGCATAATTTTCTTAATTTTTTTTTTCGCAGAGACGTTCGTCACACGTCCATACAAAACGTTGCTGAGAATATGTTCCTCGGGTTGGATCGATTGCAAACTTTGTAAGTACAGGAAGGATTTGAGCTTTGGGTAACTTTTCATCCATGTTTTTTTCAAATCCGAATTTTGGCAGCGTAGTTTCTTAATATGTACATTTCTCTTGTCGTAACTACAGGTTTTCTGACAGGTACGTCTTTTGTTGTCTGATTGGTGACATAGAAGAATGCACACCACCGCCGGATCAGTTCTCCTCGTGTGAGGACCTCATGCGCAACAACATACTGCGCACCTTCATCTGGATCCTCGGTATCAGCTCACTGCTAGGCAACACCCTGGTCCTTCTCTACCGTCTCAAGAGAGGCGGGAACAACGAGAAGAACAAAGTCCAAGCGTTCCTGATTCTCAACTTGGCAGTGTCAGATTTCTTGATGGGTGTGTACATGTTAATCATCGCCAGTGCCGACCTGAGATTTAGGAACGTCTACATCTTTCACGCGGCGGAGTGGGAGTCGAGCGCCCTCTGTAAGCTTGCAGGTCTGATCTCAGTCCTGTCCAGCGAGGTGTCGGTCATTATGTTAGTGGTCATCAGTCTGGATCGGTTATGGTGCGTCATGTTTCCACTCAAGAATAAATACTTTGGTATCAAGTCGGCCAGAGTGGTGGCAGCGGTGGGATGGACAGTGATGCTCGTGGTAAGCATCTTACCTGTGCTGGGCCTGTCGTACTTTGCCGGGTCCTTCTACGGTCGGACCGGAGTGTGCCTCGCTCTCCCACTCACCCAGGACAAGCTCCCGGGCTGGGAGTTCTCCGTCTCTTTCTTTCTCTTCTTCAACGTCATCTGTTTCATCCTCATCTTGATCTGCTACACGGGGATCTACCTGACGGCCCGTCGCACCTCTCGCAAGATCCGGTCAAGCATGAAGTCGCAGGAGATGAAGATGGCGGGAAGGATGTTCCTGATCTTATTCACGGACTTTCTGTGCTGGATGCCCGTCATCATCATGGGAATACTCTCTCTGGCTGGAGTGCTCGTTATACCAAGCGTGGTCTACGCATGGACAGCCGTCTTCATCCTTCCTATGAATAGCGCCCTCAATCCTTATCTTTACACAATATCTGCCATGCAGTTGAGGAATAGAAGAGTCGGAGTAAAAAGGGCCAATACAATCGGTAAGAATTCAAAACGATGAAACTCGGCTCCCTGAGTGTAACAAAAGGGGGCGCTCTGCAAAATGGAAACGAAATTAGCTGAAATACTCTTCGCTGGTTCACAGGCGTCATTTATCGTGTGTGATAATCTACATGCACAAGCGTGCACGTGGTAATGGTAGGGGCGGATCCAGCTTTGGATAAAGGGGGGAGGGTTGAACTACCAAGAGGTAGTTTAGCAGGCATTTGCTGTGTGTGTACGTGTTCATCTTTTCAAATCGAGGGCGAAAAATACCGAAGAACAAAAGAGAACAATATCGTCCACGATTCCCAGCATACGTCCGCGATTGGGGTCGGGAACAAAACCTATGGGAGTCATTCTCAAAAGTTAGAGTACAAACAAAAGAGGGACAATAGGACGTCCACGATCGACGGTGGGTGTGCGTGTGTGTGTGTTTTATATTCCTATTTGTTGCGGCGAAAAGGGAGTGTTTAGAACTTCCCATCCCCCTCTGTAGATCCGCCATGAATGGTACCCGGCAGTGCTTCAACCATGTCGCCATATTCATGACGGATTTGGGTGTGTTCCCTTATAGGCCTTTCTTTTGTTTGTAAACATTGGCGCCATTTTGTATGGGCTGCCGTAATTAAGCGCATAAATTGAAGCCGTGGTTGGCAACACATTTTTCCAAAAAAGTCCTCATAACGCCATCAACACACAGTAAAAAGGCATATTTATGAAATATTATGTAGGTTTGATGAAAATGATGTATTTTCAAGTATCAAATAATATTTTGGTGATCTGTAATAACTCTTCTTCATTTTTGCAGTGTTGGACCTTCCATAGTTTTGCAGGCCGTGGTTGGCAAAAATGCAGTTTTCCAACCAAGCGCAGAAAGGACTATATATGTTGCTATAACTTTGATGAAGCCATACTTAATTTCTCGACTGCAACCAATATATTGTATTCGCTCTGATCAGTTTCAGGTGATGCCATGAGGAACACCAACGGCTCCCCGCTTCGTTACCGCCTTTTACTCTCTGATATCACGAGAGGGCAGCAGATGATATGCCTGGAAGGGAACCAGTTAAACCAGCTGGCAACCGAGCTACGCAACACAGTGAAGGGCTTACACAGCAAAGGGATTTCTGTCGGGGATATCTCGCAGAGCAAGATATTGTTTTACCAGGTATAAATTCAAAGTTGGTCAATCGCTTGTTTTATACAAAACTTAGAATAAAAAAATTAAAAATGCTTCGAAATCATCAGAAGATCGTCATTCCTAAATAAAAACTAGGTATTTTGTATCTTTCTTTATACAAAATTAGGTCGAAAGTTCATCTGCTATGGGTGTTGCGTGGTGTGCGGAGCTGCTCATGCCCAAGGCTGAGGCGTTGTCCGTCGTGAACGTTGGGGGCGCTAGCACAGACGCCTTTGAGTCAGATCTGAGGCAACTTAACCAGATAGTCGCGATTATGAGGAGGAAACTCGGCAGACAAAACAGCTCATCTTTAACTTGAAACTTTTGTCTGGTGATCTTCATCAATGGTGTGACACGGCGGTTGATTCGGGCGCAACTGAGCGCGAGATGTGACAGTTTACAACGAGATTAGTGCGAGAAATCGAAGCTTCTGTGTCTTTCAAGAAACGTAAAGTATATGTGGAACGTCCTCGTCCAGATCGTTGACTGTCCTCGCGGACAGACCGCAAAAAGTTCCTAAAAGCCTTCATGTCTCTTAAATTGACGTCAAATTTTATTTTAAATGTTTTTTATCTTAACGTCCCCACGACCTATAGTTTATATTGCTATATGGGAAGATAAGCGAGTCAGGGTTTGGTACCAAGGCGTTGATATATCACAAGATGACGGTGCTTTGATCTTTCAGCGCCATGCAGGAGCATGGTACTCCTCGTGACCGATATTCAGTATCCTATATTTAGGAACCCCCGCGAAAATGAAATGGGGTGAAATTAAACCACCTGGTGAACAGGCTAAATAAAAAATAAATACACACTATTTCTTAATGTATCTTTCTACAACGGGGTTCAGTGGTCGTCACATAAAGTACGAAAGAGTTGTGTTATTTCTCTGATCTTTAGAAACTGAAATGTAAAGAACAAGTTTAAGGATGAAAATACACTTACAAATTAAGAGGGTGTAAACATTCATTTATATAGATATATGAAATATTTGCTTTTCATGCGAGCTAATTACAGTTATATTAAACTTACTATTGAAATGTCAGAAAACATGTCTAAATGGCGTAGCTACAAACATCAACAATAACCTTAAAATGAATTGGGATGAAATTAAACTACCTGATGATCTATGAACAGGCTAAATTAAAAATAAATGCACACTAGGATCTCTTGATTTATCTTTCTACAACGGGGTTCAATGTTCGTCACAAAGTACGAAAGAGTAGTGTTATTAATTTCTCTGATCATTAGAAACTGAAATGTAAAGAACAAGTTTAAGGATGAAATTCACTTACAAATTGAGAGAGTGTAAATATTCATTTATATATATGTTATGAAATATTTTCTTTTTATGCGAGCATACAATTTATAACTAACTATTGAAATATCACAAAACATGTCTCAATGCCGTAGCTACAAACATCAATAATCACCTTAATTCTGTAGCAATTAACTGCATCCAAACAGTTTTCTTCTGTAATTCTACTGAAAAATTCAATTCGAAACCGAGTAATCTTGACGTATTTTGTTATGGCTTGCCAAATTGGAACAAAGCAATACCATTCTTGGCGCAATCTGTGAAGGTACACGTTCCCATCTGCAATCATTATTAAAACTAATAACTGCTATAATTGCCTGCAATTGGTGCGATAAAATGTTACAGACAAAAATGATGAACATTACCGTGGTTAATCTTTGTCGCGACTAGTCGTTAAAAAAGTTGCTAGGATACGATACACTGAGCTACAACTACGTTATTACAAAATCGACGAAACCACAACAAAGCATCAACAAATAAGTCATAACTCTAAATGTGATGCTTCAAACCTTTGATGTTGCTATTATGTACTAATGATGATAATTAAAACACAGCTGATGAACAAAACATTAAATTTATTTAAAGATCACAGACATTTCCCGGACAGTCTTCTTGTGTCAACTCCTTCAGTTTAGTTTCTATCTGTGGTGACTAGTCTTGCTAATATAACTCGACCTCCACTAAGAATGTTCAAAATGTGCTGAAGTGAAAACCACAATGTTAAAATGATTTAATTGAAAGATTTCACAAAAATGTCACAATGTCCATGCAGATACAGTTCTTACTTCTCGTAGAAGAAACAGTTCTCCTGATTGCCGATCCCATTACCGTCAGCCTCGTAGAGATTTGCGTGGTTCAGTTGACAGATCATTACTCCATCGGTCTCCTCGAAGAGATTGAAGGAGTGGCACAGAGGCTCTGCCCAACACGCAAAGCCACACCTTTCAAAGCCTCCGACTTGAAAACTCTTGATCTCGTGGTTGAGTAGACACATCTGCGGTACGTGGATGAATCGAGTAGGTAACCGGCAGTGCCCAGCTAAGGCAGCTTTCATTTCACAGGCAGCAAAGTAAAGAACCTTGCAAATCCTGTCACCCCAATGTCCACCAAAGTCTTCGGAAATCCTGACGCAATCTTCGTTTTTGCCATTGCTTGGTTCCCCGTCTCCCCAGTCAGTGTAATCGTGATAAACCGTTTCACCTTCACACGTTAAGTGTCTGCCATTTGTCTTTCTGCAACCGATCCACAACTGTAATTTGTCAGATGCCGCGCCCGTTTCGTCCATCAATTTCTTCATTTCTCTCCAAATGAAGTCATTCTCTTCCTGTGAATTGGGAACGACCATAGCGGCGCCACGCCTAGCGCACTCGGTCGAGGCGTCGGTGTAATACATCCTACCAGGCAGCAAGGTGTAGCAGGATTCTTGCCACTTAAGCCACCCGGGAGGGCAGATGGCTCCATGATGATCAAAAGCTTCGCCCTTCACAAAAACAACCAAAGTGAAGAGAACACAAACAGAAAACGCCGTCATTCTTAGAATGAATTTTGAAGTGTTTATGATTAAGCAGAGTGCAAACTCTCTCTGCAAAATAACTGAAGGTAGGCCTATAAGTTAAACCTCTGCTCCAATGTCACAGGGTGAGCGTTATGCTGCGACTTGGACAAGATGTCATCTGCGTGCCAGTTATACAGGAATACCAATTTGGTTCCTAGCTGTCCCTGAGGCCCAATGAAAGGAATACAAACACGTTGCCATAGCAAGTCTCCTTTGTTGTGGACCGTTGCTAAGAGACGACGGAAAACCTCATCTTGCAGCTAGATTAAGTATCGATTTCTGTAACTATTCAGGGTAAATCTGTCACTCAGCTAGCTACGCTTTACTAATTGAAGTGACGAATCTAATAACGTCACGACGAAGTTCATGATCGAATAACAATAGCGCCAGTCCTTCAGGATATCAATTAGTGGCATTGTATATAATTTGAATTTGATTGCCAGCAGCTGCATTTCAAATTTAATCTTCTCTTCGTTCCAGAAATGTCAGAAAACAAAGCATAGAATGCCTAGGGTATGAATGAACCATTGTGTAACGAAAAGCCCCAACCAGTCGTTACGGTAACCGGTAATTTGGCTCTGAGTGACGTCAAGGCTTTTGGTGAAGAGTTGTGAGCTTTGAAACAAAATCGTAGATTAGATTTACTTTAAATTGTATTCAATTAACAAAAATAGTTCATCGTTAATGCTTGCAATTGCACTAACTTGAGATTACGAATTAGCCTATGTGCGTATTCGCACTGTAGTGAAATGCATACAGTTTATAAAGAGTTTTTTGTGTCTAAAATCAGGTTGAAAATTCATCAACTATGGGTGTCACGTGGTGTTTGGAGCTGCTCATGCCCAAAGGCTGGGGCATTGTTCGTCGTATACGTTGAGGGCGCCAGCACAGACGCTTTTGAGTCAGATCTGAGGCAGCTTAACCAAATAGTTGCGGTTATGAGGAGGAAACTCGACAGACACACCATCTCATCGTAGTCTGGTGATCTCCAAAACTGGTGTCACATGGCAGATGATTTGGGCTCATAAAGAGCGAAAATTGACCACTAAACAACGCGTGTTGGGCGAAAATACCAAACTTCTGTGCTATTTTTTTTTTATATAAAAGAACTGAAGTATTTGGGACGTTCTGACTTGACTCACTTCGCGGACGAACTGCAATGAAGAAGTTCGGAAAATTAAAAAAGCATTATGCATGTCTCGCAAATTGGATGTCAATGTTTAAGAAAAAACTTCCCTGCGACCTATGTTGTATATTGCTATACAAGTAAGATAAACGAATCAGCGTTTGGTACCAAGACGTTGATATTATTATGACAAGTTAACGTTATTTTGATCTTTCAGCGCAACATGGTACCCCTCGTAACCAATGTTCAGCTTCTTGTATAGGAAACCCCGTAAAAATGAAATGGTATCAAAATAAACCATCTGATGAACCGGCTCAATCAAAATGTTATTTGTATACACTTGGATTTTAATACAATAGGATTTTTAATTCATCTTTCTATAACGGGTTCAATATTCGTCACATGAGGTCGAAAGTGAAACTTGTTATTACTCCGATCATTAGAAATTGAAATGTAAAGAACAAGTTTAAGGATGAAATACACTTACAAATTGAGAGAGTGTTAACATTGATTAAGGCTATATAGATAGATGAAATACCGACAATCCTTTTTGTTTTCATATTATGCTAACACACACAATTATAATTAATTATCGAAACATCAAAAACCATGTCTCGATGGCGTAACTACAAACATCAATAATCACCCTAGTTCTATAACAATTAGTGCATTCGAACATTCTTCTTCTGTAATTCTACTTAAACATTAACTTCGAAACTGAGTAATCTTGACGTATTTTGTTGTATTTTACCGAAATGGAACAGAGCAAAAACATTCTTGGCGAAATAAGTGAAGTAACACTTTCCCGCCTACAATCACCACCTACTATTCCTCGTTGCATGCAGTGGGTGCGATATTATGTTACAGACAAAAAGGATGATGACAATTAGGCCCCCCAAAAATAATCGGTCTCTGGTCAGACCGAAGTTCCGGAATTGATGCGGCGACGCGGTTTTTGTTTTTTTGTTTTTTTTGGTGGCTTTGTTTTTTTCCAAGCTTGAATTGTACAGACAAGGTGGGTACTATTTCGCTTTTTTGTGTCCTCATTATACATTGGTGTCCTCCGTAATTTTCCTTGGTGCTCCTTGGTACAAAAATTTGAGGAGGTGTGGCAATAGAGGGCGCTGTTGTAGCTTCCGTGTTAATTTGAAGAAGTAAAAAAAGGTTGACGCGCATGATTAAAATCGACGCGCGCGCTGACCAGAGACCGAGTATTTTTTTTTTTTTTTTTTTGGCCTTATCGTGGTAAGTTTTAGTTTCGACTTGTCGTTGATAAGTGTTGTTAGGATACGATACACTGAGCTACCTACGCCATTACAAAATCGATGTGGTTTTTTTTAATGCAAACATAACTAAAGACGGATCCACATCAAAGCATTAACAAATAAGTCATAACTCTAAATGTGCCGCTTCAAACCTTTGAAGTTGATATTATCTACTGGTGACGACTATTAAAATAAAGCTGTTGAGCCAAACATTAATTCATTAAACATCACTGATATTTTTTTATGTTTTATCGCCTAAAAGTTTAGTTTCTATATATGTGGTGACAACAATGTCAACTGTTTTAATGTAAAGATTTCAAAGTGTCACAAAATGTCACAAAATATGTCCATGCAGATATAGTTCTTACTTCTCGTAGAAGAAACAGTTCTCCTGATTGCCGATCCCATTACCGTCAGCCTCGTAGAGATTTGCGTGGTTCAGTTGACAGATCATTACTCCATCGGTCTCCTCCAAGAGATTGAAGGAGTGGCACAGAGGCTCCGCCCAACACGCAAAGCCACACCTTTCAAAGCCTCCGACTTGAAAACTCTTGATCTCGTGGTTGAGTAGACACATCTGCGGTACGTGGATGAATCGAGTAGGTAACCGGCAGTGCCCAGCTAAGGCAGCTTTCATTTCACAGGCAGCAAAGTAAAGAGCCTTGCAAATTATATCACCCCAATGTCCACCAAAGTCTTCGGAAATCCTGACGCAATCTTCGTTTCTTTTATTGCTTGGTTCCCCGTCTTTCCAGTCAGTGTAATTTTGATAACGCGTTTCACCCTCACACGTTAACTGGCCGCCATTTGTCTTTCTACAACCGATCCATAAGTCAATTGTCCCGCTAGTTTTGTTCATCAATTCCTGACCAATTAGAAATGACGCGGCAGTTTTGTTCACCCATTCCTTCATTTCTCTCCAAATGAAGTCATTCTCTTCCTGTGAATCGGGAACGACCATAGCGGCTCCACGCCTAGCGCACTCGGTAGAGGCGTCGGTGTGATTCATCCTACCAGGCAGCAAGGTGTAGCAGGATTCTTGCCACTTAAGCCACCCGGGAGGGCAGATGGCTCCATGATGATCAAAATCTTCGCCCTTTACATAAACCACCAAAGTAAAGAGAACACAAACAGAAAACGCCGTCATTCTTAGAATGAATTTTGAAGTGTTTATGATTAAGCAGAGTGCAAACTCTCTCTGCAAAATAACTGAAGGTAGGCCTGTGAGTGAAACCTTTGCACCAATGTCACAGGGTGAGCGTTATGCTGCGACTGTGGACAAGATGTCATCTGCGTGCCAGTTATACAGGAATACCAATTTGGTTCCTAGCTGTCCCTGAGGCCCAATGAAAGGAAGAAAACACGTTGCCATAGCAAGTCTCCTTTGTTGTGGACCGTTGCTAAGAGACGACGGAAAACCTCATCTTGCAGCTAGATTAGTATCGATTTCTTCAACTATTCAGGGTAAATCTGCCACTCAGCTACGCTTTACTAATTGAAGTGACGAATCTAATAAGGTCACTACGAAGTTCGTGATCGAATAACAATAGCGCTAATCCTTGAGGATATCAATTAGTGGCATTGTATATAATTATAGTTTGATTGCCAGCAACTGCATTTCGAATTTAATCTTCTCTTCTAGGCTATTATAGGCCTAATCACAAACCTCCGCTACCTAATATAAGTCATGAAGCTCATAACACCACGACGAAGTTCATGATTGGATAGCAACAGCGTTGGGCCGTGAGGATTTTAATTAGTGGCGCAGTGTAGAAGAAGAGTTAGCTCGTCAGCTGTTGCATTGCAAAAAGAAATAATCTTCGCTTCGTTGGAGAAATGTCAGAAAACAAAACGCTGGGTGGGCTTAGAAGCAGTGTTGTAGTACTCGTTCTAGAAGGTTGTCGATTCACATGAAACGCGCAAGTGAACCAGTATGAGGCGTGGACCAGTCGTTATGGCCAACACTTGAACGTGCGCCTCTGGGTAACGTCAAGGCTTTTGATGAAGAAATGCGAGCAAAATAATATGGCTTATGTGCTGCATACACCAAACAAAACATTCTTAATTTCCAACCACCTTTAAAGTGCATCCGAAGTTTTCTTCTGTGATTTTACTTAGAACCCAGGAATGGTGACGTGTTTTGTTGTGTTTTCCGAATTGGAAAAAAAAGCGAACGTTCTTGCCGCAATTGCCAGCCTCCAATCAATGGTAAAACTGCTCTACGTTGCCACTACCTTATAGTGGAAGTTAGTGATCACTGTAAGTCTCACTCGTCGACAGTTCTTTTGTGAAGATAGGATGCACAGCTGTCGACATCCTTCCTCGAATGTTTAATACAAACGTGACAAAACGTCGAACCACAGCAAAGTACTAGCCAATAAGGCCTAACTCTGAAATTACTTGAGCCGCTTCAAACCTTTGATGTTAATAGCTATCTCTACATCTGGTCTTATTCCGAAAGTCACTTGATCATATATATTATATATCATATAAAGATTTTTATTTTTAAAGAAACACATAGATCGTAAAGCAGAGCCGATGAAATGATTTAATAACAAGATATCGAAAACTTAAAGTTATATAAATATCAATAAACTAATCACAAACATCGATCATTATATACGAGTATTACAATAAACCTTTAAGACTTACTAAGAAAGCTTTTGACTTGACAGAGTAAAGTAACCCACAATGTAAAAATGTTACTTATTTTCGGGATTCAGGGAAACATTTCAACACCCACTCATGACAGACTACACATTGTAATAGAAAAACAACTTGTGGCTTTTTTTAAAATTCAAAATTGAAAGATGAAAAAAATGAGCTACCTTTGATCCTTAGATCTTACTATAGTACATCAATAAACACAAGCAGTTGGTATAATCGATCTTTGAGCGAATTATGACACAAATGACAGAAATGATCATTGACAGTTAAAGATTTATGATTGCTTTGCGTCCGACATACTCGAGCTCAATGTCTCCAATGACTTTGTCTTCATTTGGATCGTGTTCCTTGACTTCATCGACTCATTTAGGCTATTCTGGGCATGGCGCTTGGTCACTACCATGGTGTAGACGGTGTACAGGTATGGGTTGAGGGAGGAGTTGATGGGTAGAATGAAAACCACAATCCAGGCATACATATCTGGACCGATATTCACCGCCCCAGTCTGCGACAGAATTCCCATGATGATGACCGGCATCCAGCAGGCAAAGTCCGTCCCGACTATCAGCGCCATCTTGATCGCCATCTTGATCTCTCGGTCGCGGTGTGCGCAGTTACGGACCCTGGAGGCTGTGCGCTTGACCTTGACAAAGATGGCGACGTAGCAACCCAACACGACCACGAAACAGATCAAATTGACACCGAGAAACAGAATGATGGAGTAGATCCAGGCAGGCTGGTTTCCCTGACCAACAGGGATCGGGATCGTGTTGGCGTCACCAAGGTTGTGCTCTTTGATGACGTAACTAGTCGGGACTGTGGTTAAAGGTAGACCGATACAAACATCTGATAGGCCGTACACCTCCGAGTCAGAACCAACAAAGACGGTAGGCCCGACACTGAGACACACCGCAGCCAACCAGATGATAGTTATGATTACAGTAGCCGACTTTTCCCTAATTCGAAACCGACTGAAGGGGAACACGATGGAAAAGAAGCAGTTGAGACTGATCAGGGTGACGAAGAACACTGAAGCCTCGCTGGAAAGAACCGACATCACACCAGCTATCTTGCAGACGATGCTAGACCGCCATTCACTAGCCACGTCAGAGTAATCTGCACCAAAGTATATATCAGCCCCAGCTATGATTAACATGTACACCCCCATCATCAGGTCAGAAATCGCCAGATTGAGCACGAAGGAGGAGTGTATCCACTTCCCGCCCTTTTCTTTGTCCTGTAAACACCTCCAGATAATAACCACCGCGTTGCCGATGAGGGCGCTCAAGCCCAGAACCCACATGGAGACGCGTAGCAGTTGGTTCCTCATTAGGGTGCCGCAGAGGTTCAGCGGTGGCTGAGCTTCTGTCGTCTTGCAGTTAGTCACTGGAAAATGCGGCAAGAGTTCTACAAACTCACAACACAGGCGGTAGTCGTCTACGTACCTATATCAGAAATGGGGTAAAAAAAACGGACATCAAGGTACATTGTCTCCAACTCAACATAAATCCCATTTGAGCTTTCGGTGGTGTATAACTGCATTGTGTTAAGTCAATTTTTGTAAAAACAATAAAGAAGTAGTTCTGATGACAAATGGCAGCTCTAGCCGAGTTTAAACCTCTAGTTCTTTCATTGTCTCTTAAAGAAGTCATCCCTTCATAACCCGCAATCAGCCCCTGATTTCATGAAAGATGCTCATTGTTCTAATTCGTGAAACTGTTTGGGAAAGCAACTTACAACGTTTCGAAACTCTCGAGATCGGTTAACGCATCTTCCTCGACCTCAACTGCAGTTTTGATGGACGATTTGCCTCGAATAAGTAACCTGAAAAAATACCTTTCATTTTCATTTGAAACTAACATCACAAAACATTTTATGTACACATGAAGAATTTTACAAATTGAGACAGGACGCTTTCAAATGACTGTGACTGTGATTTGGTGCGTGACATAATAACTCTATTGATAGGGCATTTTTATCTATATATAATTTGCGCGTAAGCCAGAGCTTTGTTACGCAATTTTGAATGATCCGCCATGGCCGACCAAATTGAACCGCTCGCACGTGCTTCCAACCCCACCAAACCAACACCCATGAGGTGATTTTGCCTTTTAAGAACCATGGTCTTTTCTATACCATTTTGTTGTTTATCTTTTTCCTAGCCCACTGTAACATTATTCGGGTTAATTCCTTCAGGTAATTGACCAAACCATAGGTGGCCAGTACGCACATTCTGGACACATATATGCACATAGACCTAGGTATAGTCCCAACATTCACAGTCCCACATTTCCGTTGTTCGTGAACCATTTTCAACGACTCAAATAATAATGGATGGTTTCATTTTTTTTTATGAAATAAAATATTACTTGGCTATTAAAAATCTTTGAGAATCCGCACGTGTTTAGAAAGATGGCCCACAAGTTGTTCAGTCAAGCGATACTATACTTCCCTGCTGGTGTTAAGCATCCATCCGGTAATAAACTCCCTCAATGGGTTAACAGCTTAAGATAAGAACGGGTTCAAATCCTGGTACGGGTTTAGGCAAAAACCCGAATGTAGGCTCTGTGCTCGGGTTTTCTGGCTTAAGTCACGGCATAAATGATATCGCAGCAATTTGAAAAAAAAAACCATATTAATAAAACATTGATTAGTGACTTACATTATCTTTAGCTTCTTCAGTCCATTGAAGGCTCTGTTTCTGATCCAATCAATGGACGTATTCCAAGCAAAACTGGGAGGTAGACAAAAAGACAAATGCAAGAAACAACTTTGCAGAAAACTAACGTCTCATGAAGGCTAAGTCGAAAGACCGTTTTATTCAGCATCTATTGATTTTTCTTTTGTTTAACAGAAACAAATGCACACGAGGTCTATAGCTGGAATACCATTAGCGTATCCCAACTAAAAACATGGATTCCGGATTGATGATCAAAAAGGTACAGCGAATAATTATTTTCTAACTAATATCAATATCAATATGAACCACACTTCCGCAAGATTTGTTCACTGGGGTTCATACGCCTTACGTTTGGGTAAGTTTATATAAAAATAAATGATATTGATGAATGACATTTCTAGGTGGTACAAACATCTCTGTTCTTATATCGTATAAGATAAAGTGAAGTCTGTAACTTTTGAAACAATCTTACAGGTTTTGCAGATTCTTCAGCTCGTGAAACCAGTCAGCTTCAAAGCTTGTGATGAGATTGCCGGATATATCTCTTCGAATGAGATAAAAGAAACAACAACTTTCTAATCAATCCAACAGCGAACATTAACAGCAGTTTCATAATCGAGCTTAATACATGCTTTGAAATACATCAGAAGATTTATCTTAAGTGCGGCATATTAAAGCACACTGCCCCAATGGAAGACCATTCTTCATGTACTCACAACGAAGTTAGATTATGTAGCCCATCAAACGTCTCAGATGCGAACTCGCTGATACTGTTGTTGGTGAGATGTCTGAAATTGAAACGACCAAAAAAAACCCAATAAACGTATTTTTTTGTTATCGAAAGAGCAATACGGGGCAATTTATGGGACAGACGTGACTCCAGCTCAAACAAAATATTATATTGTAGCTGGGACCATGTGCTAAGCAATAAAGCAGAAAACAAATCACGATGCTGGCGACGAACAGAGCAAACTGTTCGAAACGTCGAGTTAAACCAACTGGTTTTTCTCAGAACCACACATCTAACAAAGAGATATCATTCACATGATGTTGCCGCAAACCTGTTATTCATTAGCTTGTTTTAACAAAGCAAATTATCCATTGCTTAGAAGCTCAAAGAGAATGTCACCATAAACATGAATCAGGGATAACTTACAATACTCTCAGCTCTGAAAATCCTTTGAAGAGCCCTGTATCCAGAACGCTGACGTTGGCGCCGGAAAGTGTGCTGCGTTGAAACCAATTTGAAAAATATTTAATGGTCATTTGCAGTGGTAATCGGTATTAAAGGTAAACACAAGGATAGGGATAGGTATAGTTGAAGATTAGAGCTTGCCATGTGAAATCCATTTACTTGACAAATTGAAAATATAATTGTTCTTGTCCCCTATTGTTTTTAACTATCCAAACGACTATCGAACGAAACAACTCGCACGCATCTAATCTCAACTTTCAATCAGCCGGGTATTTACCCAATCAAAGGATGCAGGTGCTATCAAAGGATAGTGAGCCTAACAATATTAACTTACAGGTCCTCTACTCTTGTAGCAATACGTCCGATAGTAGTCTGATTCCAGCCGCCAATGCAGGCAACATTATAAATCCCATTTATCGTCCTGCATTTGCACCCGGTGGGGCATCGATGAGTCTCTGTCAGAATTAATAAAACATGAAATCATTTTTGAAACGACTGAATAGGCTACGATAAGAAAACGTGGTAATATTTTTAGGTACACATAGCTATAAAGGAAGACGCGTGGATAAAGATGCCATCAGGAGGGGAAAGGAGAAGTAAGCCTTTGCACTTTTTTGGTCGAGGACAAAAATAAGGAACAACAGTTGTAGACAAACTTTTCTTTTACTATAATGAATATTAACATTTGGAGCTATTATAGATACCACATTCCCGTTCGGTCTCGTCATCTGCATTTGGGCAGTCCGGGTTGCCATCACAAACCATGGGCCAGTAGATGCACTTCACTGAGTTGTTACAGAGGAAGAAGTCTGGACAGGACACCATTTCTAGACAAAAAAAATACAACCAATTGACTGACCAGTGCAGAATCTACGTCCACTAAGCAATGATCACATCAATTACCTAGCACAAAGCTTAAGTAAGCATTGCCCTTTTTTATGATATGATATACGGAATCTTATCAGGAATCACATAAGAAATCTCTAAGGAATAGGAAGGATTGCAAGTCACTGCCAATCATTCAGCGTACCCAATTTACTCCTTGTTTTATACCAAAGTTGTCTGTTGGTTCTTACGTACCACAGTCTAGCTCATCCCTCCCGTCCGTCTGACAATCTACGAAGCCATCGCACCGAGCATCAACCGACAAACAGGAACCATCACCGCAGTCAAACAGGCGCTCGTCTGGGCACGGTTTCTCAGCTGTTGAGAACGCAAAATTAATTCACATTATGTAGGCTATTTCACTGTTAGTGCTAAGTCCTCTTAAATGTATATGATGTGGCGTGTTTTATGTGGTCAAGCCTTAAATCAGGATTTTCCTTTGAATAGTTGTTTATTACTTTGGATAATGTTGCTTTACAAAATTCGTATTCCTATTTTGAATGAAGTCTTGGCCTTTACGACTATTAAGATAGCAAATGAAAATGTCCATTTCTAACGCAACATTCAAGCCCATGTGGCCATGGAGACAATTCCCTTTGATTAAATCGCATATTTTTTAAGATTGGAATTCGTCCGCGTATTATTAAAACACAGTGTATTTTGGTACTTGGGATTAGCCTAATTGGGTCTATTTAGTGAAGTGTTCCGAATGGCTCACGCCGTAATAGCAACAGTGCTTATGTGACCAGTCGTGTTTTACAACAGACAGGTCTCAGGCTGTACATCAGGATGAGTCATTATTTTGATAACATAATTAGCACCCTCTGTAGTTACAGAAACCTCTTACTGCAACGCCCTCGCTTGGTTCCTTAACTTTCCTGCAATCACATTCTAGCATAGCTACTCTGCATTGATCAGGAACATTCCAACATACCTCGAATTTTAGAATATTGTTAAGTTTTTCTGAGCTGCATAGCTAGAGACACTCATCCACTTGTTTGCGATCAGACCACACCTACAATTTTAGAAGTGCTCTGATTTATACCGTTCAACTATACTAGTTGGGGACAATTTCCCCTTCGGTTGGTGGTGGCACGACCGTTGGTCAGCCTAGGCGACTTATAACTGTATGCCCAATTGACTGTCGTTTAGTATATATATTCGAGAGAGCCACAGTGTATATTCTGCATGTACATATAAATAAACTATCACCATTGAATGAACTCTAGTCATCTCTCCGAGTCCACTCGCTTCATATCAATATTAACTTTAAGTAGCCTTCGGCCACATGAACAGTTGCCCTATCAAACCTTGCAATAACTCTTCCCTTGGCTACACTTACCTAGATGTTCCTGTGAATAATTACCATACAGCACGAACCGAAACCCAATGTTCGTCACAGACAGATCAGAAATGAAGTGAATCTTCACTGTCGTTGCACTGAAGGCGATCGCTCGCACTTTGGTGGTACCGTGAAGCTCAAACGCTTCAGTCGAAGAATCGACGAAAAACCGGACTTTGTCACTGTTTCTCTCCGTGGAGAACTTTTCGATCGATACCAGTATCGACTCCAATTCCCACGCCACGATCTCCCAGATGCAATCGATACCATTGGGGTAGTTGGAGGGGTAACCTGGTGACGTGAACGTAACTGGATAGTTCCAAATAACGCGCCAAAGCACTCCACATACATCTTTCAGAAAAATAAAGTAAAGGAAACACTTTTCAAATTAGATTGAGAAAAATCTTTCAAAAAATTACTTTGCTTACGCCTTCTTAGACCTCTAAAAATCTGAAGTTTTATCGTTTGCACATTGAACAATAAAGGACGCCTTACCCGTTGAGCATAGTTGTTGGCCCTTCTCTGACGTGTCGTTTCTAACGCAGATAAGATTGGCAGTTCTGCAAGCAATTTCATCTTCTCCACACGACACTTAAAATAGAATGTGCATCGATAAGAATACATTAAAATTGACAGTCCATCGTTTATCAGCAAAATTTTCACAGAACAGGTTTTTACAACCAAATTGTTTTACCATAATTGTGACGTCTTGAGACGACAACATGGATTAAATATTTTATTTTAAAACCCAAACATAATTCAAGGGCATCTGAAGAATTATCAATACTGAAGTTAACACTTGTTCTAAGCCCAGGTCTTATAAAAAAAAAATTTTTTTCAATTTCCATTTTTTTTCATTACCATATTTGGCTGGTTTCTGCTCGACGTGAAGCAAAAAGCCCCTTTCCTCCGAAAACTCATCCGAAGTGAACTTTGCATACATCGTGTTGCCACTAGATGCTAGACTTATGGGAAACCTTTTCCTAAAAAAAGAGGAAAAAAAGAGGATGTTTAGCAATTGTTTGTCGTTTGCAGTTGGTCAAGTCGCTCTGACCTTATATCCACTGTGCTCAATTCTCGAAGTTTGGTCCGCAAAAGGTGCACCTACCTAAATGGTTGGGACACTTCCTGAGCCTGCCACGGTCACCCACTCCCCCGCTCCCCCGGTCAATGTTGTTCTCTCCAGCTGATGGAGCACACACCGCGCAATGAGAGACAACATTGACCGGGGGCCGGGGGGTTGGAGGCCCAGCGAGATTTGGCCAGGATTGTAGCTCCATGGGTAAACAAAACTATGAACTGCAAGGTAAAAAAGTCACCAACTGAGAAAATTGATGCAATGAGGTAAAAGAAATCAAGCTCACCCATTTTAACCCTTAAGGGGCCGGGGCAGAATCCGCCCCCTCGACTTTTTCCGCTATAGCTTTGAAAAAAACATTTGCGACCCGAACTGTTATGACTTTTTAGCCTAGAGCCTTGCACATCTTTTGATACCAAAAACGTATACATCAAAATAGTCAAATATGAATTTTCCATACGTAGTGTACACAGAGCAGCCATTCGTGCATATGAATATTTAATTAGCCATAATTCAACAACCCTTTGACCTATGGTCATGAAATTTATTGGGTATACCCATGAATAGTTGGTCTATGCGTGTACCGATTTTCATAATTTTTGGTCGCTCGATGGCCAAGATCATCGCCCCCCCCCCCCCCCCCCCCGGCTGAGAGATGGTCAAAATAGCCCGGCCATTTTAGGGTTAAAATACCTTTTTGGGAAAGGTTGTTAATAGAACCTTAAGAATAACATACATGGTGAGTAAAAAAAAACAGGATCATTCAAATCACTCATGGAGTTGTCAACTTACGGAATTTTAAAAACAAACACCGGTTTAAAGTTCTGTCCACGGATCACAAAAGGTAAGTGTTCTTTCAGCAAAACGAAAACAATTCACATAGGGATGTATGTGAATTACCTTTTTTGTGATCCGTGGACTGAACTTTAAAACGGTCTTTGTGTTTAAAATCCCGTAAATTGAAAAATTCATGAGAGATTTCAATGATTCTTCTGCTAAAAGAAAGCTTAATAATTGGGCTTTTGAAAGTGTTACATGCAGAACTACATTAAAAAATGGTCCTGACAGTTGGGTTTCGGATTTACTCACGCTATACTTTAGGCTTTTAAGAATGCAACACATTTTCAGGCTCTACTTACCCACCAGTTGCTACGAATATATCGTCATCGAATCCAATGCCATTGCCGCAATATAAGAAGTCGTAGCCCTCCTCGATCAGAAAGTCCATGAAAGTCAGAACGATACGGTATCCCACTTCTGCCACCACCAGCCAAAAACACTGCAGTCGATTGTGGTACGTGTCGATTGGCCAGCCAGGCGAGCTGATATTGAACGATCTATTTCCTGCTAAATCAAAAATGCTTTCGCCGCAGGGCCCTGTTATGTACAAAAATGATACCAAACAGTAATGATTGAATTAATACTTAGTCTAAGTATTATGAAGATATAATGAGAGAAGATACTCAATTATTTCAAGATTGTCTAAAAGTCTGTTTTAATATGCATACAACAGAGAGAAATTAAGACTTACAGTAAACTTGACAGTACAAAGAGTGAAAACCTAACCCCCAAATTAATTTCTCTAGTGAAAATGTTTAGTACATCGAAGAAACGTCTCAAGACAAAATTATTAAGGAAGAAAACAGAAAGTCGCACCGCAGTCGAATTCATCTGAGAAGTCCGCGCAGTCGGTGTTTCCATCACAGAGGCGATCACTAAGGACACACTGGTCTCCCGACCGGCAGTGAAACTCACTCTCAGAACAGTTACCTGTTTGCCAAATAAGGGGTAAACTGCATGGTCAAGGAGAAAACAATTATCCTTCGACAAAATGGAAACATGAAACGTTGATCAAATATTGAATGAAGTACGCTCGACTACAAAACTAAACTAAAGAAGAGCACATAAAGTAAAATAAAGCCATCACTTACCACACCCAATTTCGTCCGAATACTCTGGGCAGTCCGCCAAGCCATCGCATACGGCTGTTTCATGGATGCATGTGATGCCAGAAGAACATCGCCGCTGGTTCGCTAGACATTCTAAAACAAAGATGAAGTCAGATTAGTCGTAAACATTATGTTTGTTCTTCTACACGATAGCACTCTTAATAATAATATGAATCACGTACAGTCAACATCTTTGGACACTTTATGACACTTTATGTGTTTTAATCGCATTTCCATTTTGAATAGAATACAAACAACCGTCTTAATTACGTCTTATTATAGAGTGTTTGTAAACATCACATGTTTTTGCAGTAATGATAACTCTGTAAGCTTACCAATATCGGTGAATTGACGAACATCAATTGCCAACACATCTGAAAACCAAGATGTAGCACATTCCTTCGCGATCCACATCACCGATTCATTGGTAGAAATGGAAGTCAAGTAGGCAAACTTGGCAGTGTTCTCGTACGAAGACACACTGTCGATCGTCCTTATGACGCGCATCTTGTCAAGGTCACCGGGGTCAGAGGTTGTAGTAAAGGTCACGCGGCACCACCGTGGGAACTTTCGAATGTTGGCCTGAATTTTCGTCCCGACTTCGGACTGCACGGTCCATAGACACTCCACTGTGGGATTACTGTTCACAATCGCTTGAGTAACTTTGGGGCGAGTTCGTATCGTATCACTTCCACAGTAACCTGCGAGTACCAAATATGAACCTTACAACATGTTACATCAACAGTCTGTAATTCCCAGTGACAAATCACTAGCTGTAAGATTTTGTCACCACTGGAAAAGCTAGCACTTTGGGCTAGCTCCGTGCACCAACGAAAGAGGGCGCCCTTTTACCTAGCAACGACGTCCCATTGGCGGGACATTTCGCTCTGGGCATCTCAACCTTTCAAGTTTGACTTCGAAGCGCCAACCCCCACTTGCATGCGCACATACCAATTTAACCAGAGTTATGAAGATCTGATGAGAGAGGCCTACAGAGGCCCACTATCAGAAGAGGACCTGTAAGCACCTGTAAATAATGTAGGACTTAGATTTCCAACGACTGCTTGTTAACGACAAAATAATGGACTGCCAACAAACTCAACAGAACCAATCAATCGTCATATCAATTACCTTACTGAACCCATTGTTAGCTTTCAACCAAAAAAAATTTAAATGAAACTTACCGCACAGAAATTCATCAGAGTGGTCGTTACAGTCAGCCTTGCCGTTGCATATTTGATAACGAGGCACACACTCTCCCGTTAATGCACACGCAAAGTGATGCTTCTCGCATACACCTATTTGAAAAATCCAGAATAATTGCGCATGATGGTGCTAGGTTTTGGGGAATTTTTTTATTAACTTTTTAGGATTAAATTGATTGTATTATTCTGGCGAAAATGAAAGAAAGGATTCCTTAACCCAACACTCTGCTGCTTACACTGAAGCCAGCGTGAACAAACATTATAGACGAGGGTTTTTGTTTCGTTTGGGTTTAAATGCGGATCAAAGTAACCGTGGAGAAAAACCCATTTACATAGGTCAATTTCTTCTTGGTACGATCGAGTAGTCAGATACCTCTTTTTATTGTACGGTTCTGAAAGTATCAGGTTATATTGAAATGCTGATTTTTATTTGGTAATTGACAATCTCTCTTACCACAGCCTAGTTCGTCTCCGTATCCAGGGCACTCCCTCTCGCCATTGCACACATGAGACTTGTTCTCCAAACAACTCATGCCAGATGGACATGCAAACTCACTCACATCACAATCTTCAATTAAAAACAAAATACAGAAGGAATGGAAAACATGAACATTGAGCGTACGTGTTACTAACCAACACATTGTTGCAAGTGGTTTAGTGTTGTCATCTTCACTTCCTTTATAGCTGTATCATCTTCGATGACATAAAGAATTGTTCTTCGTTATCCCTAAGGCACAATGCTCATTTGCCTTTTTATTTTAAATTTCAAACTGCCAAAGAAAACAATGAGCCAATGGCTGAAATTGGGCTTATTGGAACCATCTCAAGGGACAGATTACTATTCGTTTTGGATTGGTATATGTTTCCAGTCTGATAAGAAATTTCAAACATTTTTGATGACGACGATTAATAAAAAAAAAAAGAAAAGCAGAGAATCCCATAATTTTAACAAGCCCACGTCATTTGGTGGATTACTCTTCAATTTGAAGCTTAATGCTACACTTTTCCGGCGCTTTTGGGATAAACAAATTTTGCCATTATTTCACACATACCAATATTGATCTTTTTCACCGTACTGGTACCTACCTGTGGTGTTGTAGGTTGAAAAGACCAGCCTCAACTCGCTGAGGTATCCATAACTTTCTGACAACCCAAGAGTGAGCCACATTCCCTGACCAGTGGACAAAATTTGAGCCGGTAAAACGAACGATCCGGAATTTGTGTCCAGCACGAGAATTGGTATCTCGTTCACCGGATCGTATCCGTTGCCAACCGTTAGGACTATCCGGGTCCCGCTGAATTCCTCCACCACTAGCCGGATTCTGGTTCCGGCAGGCTCCGTCACGCGCCAGACGCACTCGAACTGCATCGGTTCTTCCTTGTATTGAGTCACAGTGACACCGTGTGACGAAGAGTTATCCGGAACCGGTCCTTCTGATCCGGGATATATCCCGTAGAATCCGGTGAAATGAGAGGATGAGGTGCCTTCAACTTCAATTGCATCTGCCAGAATGGTGAGCGGTTCGTCCAGATGCAAAACGAGATCCGATGCACCACAGCAATCTAGGTGGGAGTAAAGCTTGTTTTCAAGTTTGTACCTAAGACATACAACTTAACTAAGATTTAAAATGAAGATGTGTCGATATTAGAAAATATGGAGTATGTGGTTTCTGTTCTGGATGGAAAAATACCCATAAAGGGCGCGCTCAAGAGGCCAGTAACCCTTGGAACTTTTCCATGTCAACACAAATTTGAAAAGAAAAGAACAAAAACCAAAATAAACCCCCAAAACAGTACTGTTTTTCTTGTAAGATACATACAATAAATGTTCAAATTTCAAACTGACAGCATCCTGGAACGACTCGACGAAAATCTTAAGGAGACAATAAAGAAGCGAGTTTACAAGGTCTACTTTGTCGTTATATGATATATTTAAAATAAAAAAAAATCGGCTTGATAAGATGTGAACAACACATTAAGTAAATGTCCACATTGACAGGATTTTATTTGCCATATCCAAAAACAGCACTGCATCCTTATTACTCATGTCAGGATTAGTAATAAAGTTTTGTCATTTCCGACACTAAACAAGACATTGTCCCCACTGTTTTCTAAATCAGAATGTCATACTCACCACAGCTACCGCCCTCATCGGTGTAATCTGAACAGTGGGCCTTGCCATCACATACAGCGTGCACTGGTATGCATTTCGAATCGATGGTGCACAGTACTTGCCCAGTTGCACATTCAACTGCAATTAAAAGGTTAGAAGTTTTAACAAAAAGGACAATAAAACTGTTACGGTTTCAATTGTGTCCTTACGAAAATTGACAGCAATAATGCATGTCTTGAGGATGTTCAGCCTTTTATTAAACACATTTTAAGTGTGTTGTTTTATTTTGGTGATTGTCAGTCACATCTTGGTAAAAAATGCAGTGAAAGTTAAATTTACTAAACTGGAAAATCCTTGCGTATATGAATTTTACCTTCCGGCGCATTTGTGAAGTTCTCTGATCGTAAAAGGATCGTTTGAATTCGTTCCTCGCCGTTGTCTAGATTAAAGAATGACGTCACAGAGATCCAAAGATTCCGATCGAAGAAGAAGTAGGAGGAGCCGTTCTCACTCTTGAAAGTGCCACTGTCAATCTCCTTCAGTAAGGAGGAACGATTGTTGGTGTCATGTCCCAGTCCAAAGGAAAGCTTCTGGTGATCTCGTAGATTTAGGGAGAGCAGGTCTAGGAACACGACGAATGAGTCCCATTTGGCGACGGTGGTTATCAGCCACACACACTCTAAAGATAATCGGTTGTCTGGGATGGACACGCTGAGAAGATGCCGGTCATCGAGGGCTATGTTTCCACTTCCACAGATCAAATCTGAAGAAGACAAATAAGTGTCAAAGGCGGATCCCGAGGTGTGGGAGGTTGGGTGGGGGGGGGGGGGAGCTTACAAAGGCCACAGCAGTCCGCAACGATTTAGGTACACGTCGACTAGCCCCGTCAACCAGATCCCCTACCTTTTTTCCAGAGGGAAAATCGTGTTAAGCGCCCCTAATGTCCCTCTTTTGTTTCTACTCTAATTTTAGGAGGACCTTTGATCAACAGTGGACCCTATTGTCCTCTGTTGTTCAAGGACCACACTTTGAATGTGTGTAGATGTACACGCGCACAAACTAAATACCTGGTGCAAGCCATGCCTTGACGCGTCAGTTTGGTACACTTTTTCAAATATAATGTCTCTAAGTTCCCAGGACCAAACAATCAATTGCTATGCCTATACATGGCAATCACCACCACCCCTTGGGATTCATCGGTTGACACCACTTCCCCCTCCAAATCCTGACGAGATACCGCCGCCGTTGGTGGGTATCAGACGGGTTTGTTATGGTGTACAGCAAGGATTTTCTATTGTCGTCTTCCTTTTTCCTTTGATTACACTTTAAATTTGTTGCAACACCTTGGTTTTGCACACGTTTTTTCCTCGATTTGGTTTCTGTCCTCCATTAATCGATGATGTTGCACGTGTGTGTCTTTGACTTACACCATAAACAAACCCACCAACATTTGTTTACGGTGTAAATCGAGGATTTTATATTGTTCCTTTTCCCTTTTTCTTTGTTTTTATTCTAACTTTTTTGCAACAGCTCTCATTGGTTTTGTACACGTTTTCTAATCGAGGTCGTCCTCGATTTGGTTTTTGTCCTCTATTCATCAATGATGTTGCACGTGTGTGTCCTCGATTTACACCATAAACACGTATTCGATGATGAAAAAAAGTACAGGGAGTATATCGCCGCTTTGGATTGCGTATGTTGGCTTTGCGCTTCATTGAACTACACAATTGAAATGAAATGGATAACTGAATTAGATTTATTGCCATCGATGCTTATTTGACATTTGGCGAGAAGACGAGGCAAAAAGCTTTGTTAGTTCGTAATTGTTGGTTTGGTTTTTGTACTATGTACATGTTTACATTTCTCCTCTCTTTGTTATTGTAAGGCGCTCTGTTCTTCGTATAGCACCATATAAATGTTTTTATTATACCTGTAAAGGTATCATTAAGGAGACACGTTATCGTAATTTCTTCGAATGGTGGGAGACATCGGTCATTATTAGGGAGACATTTTGATATCTCCCTAATGTCACAGCCCCACTTTAGAGGCAAAATTTTGCAGTCGCAATTAGGTTATATTTGTTGCTCGTGGTCTAACTAGTAAACATACCGAAATTCGTGGGAAAAGGACAAGGGAATATTGGACTAGGACACATTTAAGTTTGAAAAATTGTGTGCATAAGTAGATGGGAATGTCTCCCAAAATGTCCAATCCAGGGTAATTATTATTATAATACGTGTAAAGGTACCATTAAGGAGACACGCTATCATAAATTCTTTGCACGATGGGAGACATCGGTCATTGTTATTTATTATTATCATTATTCCTACAAATGTACTATTAGGGAGACACGTTAGCGTAGAAATTTCGATAGTAGGGAGACACGGGCTTAATAGGGAGACACCTAGGTGTCTCCCTATTGGCGCAGCCCCCCTTTAGAGACAAAACTTTGCAGTCGCAATTAGATTACATTTGTTGCTCGTGGTCTAACTAGTAAACATACCGAAATTCGTGGAAAAAGGACAAGGGAATATTGGATTAGGACACATTTAAAGGAAACATGCAGTCCAAAATTTTCATAACGTATTTTATTTTATATATACATTCATTTATGTGTATTAAATGTGAAATAAAAGCAGAACTGGTTCTGGTGTACGTTTAGTGTGGTAATTTGCCGTCCAAAATTGAACCCCCCCTTTTTGATTTTCGCGGCAACTCCAAATGAGGGCGCTGTTCATGACATAAACAAAGGCAGAGAAATCCAGGGCCCGTAAATGACGTCTGGGTACGAGACGGATTAGCGAAGCTACTGTGCTGTGTGTATGTGCAGCCGCCGCGTACCCGTACGTGGCATTATATGCACACGTACGAATGTGTCTACATGGGATATGTACAGTACACGTGGACGTGCCACGGTGCCACCGTTGTCGAATGAACACGACGACCGTCATGACCGTAAAAGTTCCGAAGACCGTCCTCTTCTTTCCTTAGCGAATCCGATGAAAATGGTACAGATTCGTCCGATTCGAATCTGAGTTCTAATGATTCAGACACTGACTCGATGTTTTTTTAGGGGCATGCCCAAGTTGCTGTAAAGACCAGCATCAAAGCACGACGGCTCAAAGTGCAGCGCAGAGGGCAGCGAACTCACTGGGCCCGGACCACTTTGCTCTGGTATTTACCTTCACTTTGGCTCTCCAAATGCTCCGATATTTCGGATTTACTGGAAATGAAGGCTTACTCCATCCTTGGTAGTTTTGCTACACCCAGCAGCCACACACCTTGTCGGCATGGCCGAAAATCGGGTGTTATTTCTCCTCGATTCCGAACGAAACACCAGCAAAACTTTCAGTGCCGCAATGTATATGTACATGTATTATGATGCACGCCGCAATGCCGGTGCCCCCGCAGCGCGGCAAGTCTCTGCCTCCACTCACGTCATACCCCTCGCGAAGTTTTATGTTAATGAAGCTTCCCTTTGTGGGGTGGAGTAGTTTGACCAAACATGTTTACAAATTATTTTCCCCCATTTATCTTAGAAAATAAACACCGCCATACACAAAATATTGTTAAGAACATCATCCTTTATTGATTTAAGCAAAAAAAATGCAATCAAAATTTTATTTCATGTTCCCTTTAAGTTTGAAAAATTGTGTGCATAAGTAGATGGGAATGTCTCCCAAAATGTCCAATCCAGGGTAATTATTATTATAATACGTGTAAAGGTACCATTAAGGAGACTCGCTATCATAAATTCTTTGCACGATGGGAGACATCGGTCATTGTTATTTATTATTATCATTATTCCTACAAATGTACTATTAGGGAGACACGTTAGCGTAGAAATTTCGATAGTAGGGAGACACGGGCTTAATAGGGAGACACCTAGGTGTCTCCCTATTGGCGCAGCCCCCCTTTAGAGACAAAACTTTGCCGTCGAAATTAGGTTATATTTGTTGCTCGTGGTCTAATTAGTAAAAATACCGAAATTCGTGGGAAAAGGACAAGGGAATATTGGGTTAGGGCACATTTAAATCGGAACATTTTTGTGCACAAGTCTATGGGAAAGACTCCCTATTACACCATTGCCGGTAATAATAATAATAATTATTATTATTATAAAGCTAGCAGTTATTAATGGTTGTGCCTCTTTTGTGTATTTGACAGGAGTTACTGCATTATAAATGAACGAAGCTCACTTTATGATCCAATTTATGTGAGGAAAAAAAATAGCGTGCAGGAAGGCCTTGGTACTAATGTGACGTTCTACGATATAATGACAACATAAAAAAGAAAGGCTTCAGTGATCACGCTTTTGGTGAAAAAAAAAACGATCCATGAGAATCATTGTTAGGAAAATTAATGACCAGGTGATGCCCGATCACTCAAATAAAGACTGCAGTATGCTGGAAGATAATTTTTTCACAAAATGCGCCATCACTGAAGCCTTTTTTATGTTGTCATTTATACAATTCATTGACTGCCCGAATACGCCATAATACCCAAAGGAACACAGTCATAGTGCTTGCAGTCTGCCCCGTTTCGTGCCAGTATACTGTTACTAGGCTATCCAAAATATGCTAATTGTCATTTTATCATGTATCTTATAATGATGGTGTACTGAAGTGTAAAAGGGAAAGTCAGAAGAATCTTTAAATTAATTAAAACAAGACAAGGTTTGTGTGTCCAGTCAAGCTGAACCCGAGAGTTACACGAAGTAATAATATTTCAAAGAAGTAACAAGATTAAAACGGTATGAGACTGTGATTCAGTCGTTCGTGAATGAGTACAAAGACAAATATTTGTTAAATGTCTTTGAAAGTATACAAGTCAGCCTAGTAAATACATTCCTTTTCAAAAATTACACAAACATAAGTGTCTTTGCAAATTGAAATCTAAAAGGTAGGCCATATGGTATCCACAATTTTTTTTTAATTAATTGCCAAGGCCTTTCAGGTAATGTTTTGTTCTCTTTCATCAATATTGGATCGTAAGGTGAGCTTCGTTCATTTATAATGCAGTAACTCCGGGAAAATACACAAAAGAGGCACAACCATTAAATGCTAGCTTTCTGCCTCGTATTCTCGCCCAAATGTCAAATAGACGTCGATGGAAATAATCATGTTCAGATATCTATTTCATTTCAGTTGTATACAGGGTGAGTAAACAAAACAATACCCAAATGTCGGGACCCCTTTTTTTTTTAGTAAATTCTGCATGTAGCACTTTCTACATATAGGATAAACTTTCTTTTAGTACAAGAATCATTCAAATCACTAATGTACTTTTCAAGTGAAGGAATTTCAAACACAGCCATTATTTTAATGTTCTGTCCAGGGATCACAAAGTAGGTAAGTGTTATTTCATCATAACGAAAACATTCACATAGAGACGAAAGTAAATTGTTTTTATTTTGCTGAAAGATAAGTTAACATTTTGTGATCCGTATGTCGGTGCCATGCTTGTGTTTAAAATTCCGTTACCTAAAAAGTACATATTAAGTAAAAAGGCACGACGTTACGGAGACGCCGTGCCATCGTGTTGTGTATAGTCGTCAATAGTATACAAAATATTGAGTGGCTCAGAGTGAAATGGGAGGAATATAATCGCAAGGTAAAATCTGGACTTTTCCATTTCACGAGGCGAAAACGAGTGAACTAGAAAAGTCTAGATTTTACCGAGCGAAAATATTCCTCCCATTTCACAATTTAAAGGCACTCAATATTTGTTTTATGTAACTGACATATTATCATTTGATATATTTTAACTTTCATTTTTGTGGAAAATGGTGGAAAATGTGTTTCTCTCTTCCAAACCACCCCTTCACGAAATTGTTTGAACCCAACTCTTTAGCGCTGGCTCTTAGGAACAATACGCGCTACGCGCAACGCTGAACGCACACCAGCATGCATTTTGCACACAAATACCGAGCCATGGAACAAGGACACGTCCTAACAGTATTTCCCATTCACCATGGGCGAATGGCACTTCTTGAGCCCCGGCGTGAATGGGAGCAATAACGAATGTCACGTGATGTGAGTTCCACCAATCAAAAAATTAATGCCAAGGATCCGTATGTCAGTTATTTAACACACCATAAGAAGAAGAGTAAACACGTCTTTCTGATTGATGCTACTGATCCTCTTTCCCTTAAAGATATAGTCCATCATTTGTAATTTGTGCATTTTGTTCGTTTGAAGCGACAAAAGTGCTCAAAATCTAAAGAAGGGTACTAAACAACTAACCTGATGAAGTTTCAGCTCAGCTTCAGCTGTATATTCTGAGAAAAACAGCATTCTAGGATCTCGATTTCAAATCAAAAGTTGCTGAATCATGTTTTGAATTGGGCCTCAGTGAATTCAGCGTCCGAGACACGTTCTCACTAGCCGATTGCAGCGACGCGATGTCGCGCACTGATCCGACGAATCAAATATAACAACCGCGCGCGCGTGTGCGTCGTGTCAACGCTTGCGCACTCTGCGCCGAATAAAAAAACGAACTACTAACGGAAATTTCCAACGGTGCGTCTTAAGACGCACCGTTGGAAAGGCCTTCTTTCGTTGATTACTTCAAATGACAGCTTGCCAGAAAAAATAATTTCACAGGGAGTTTAGTCCCCTTACTATCTTTCAACCAAGTATGTTTTTCAACAATAATTACGCCATGAAAAAAAAATAATTACGCCAGTTACTTTTCGGATAGCTGCAAATGATGGACTATAACTTTAATATTTCTAAAATATGAGTAAAAAGAGAGTTGAGTGAAATTGGGGAAAGAGCGCCCGTTGCATAAAAGAAAGTCCTTACCTGAATTGTCTGGATATGGTTGTACCTCACACGAAGCCGACGCTGCAGCACTGTTTAGCAAGTCAAGTCCTATTACAATCTGCCTCCTACCAGTAAACATCTCGGCAGGAAGACGTTCACTGGACCAGTAATCCCATGGGGGATCGGGGTTGTGATCATGCATCGTTACATAAATGGACTTAGGCTGGCTTTGAAGGAATCGACATGACGCCCGCAAACCCATCCGTTCTGTAGAAGTTATATTCCAGCAGTATATATTGTAAAGCGAATGCTGAAAGGGATCTTGAGAGGATGTTGATATGGACAGGGTGTGGTTTGCATCTACGATGTGCATGTGTTCACAGCTCAACAACGCCACTGCGAAAGTAAACAATAAGGTTGGGTAAATGTCCTTCTAAGCTTGAGGTGGACCTATGCCACCGCCAGATATCAAACGCCAACACCTCCCCCCAAAAATAAGAAAAAGTTCGCTTCTTGATTTCTATTTCTTTTTCACGATAAAACCAGGGGCCAATTTCATAGAGCTGCTTAAGCACAAAATTTGCTTAAGCAAAAAAACGTCTTGCTTAATAAAATTGATTGTTATGCTAAGTAAACAACAGCTAAATACCAGTCACAAGCAATGTACATCACATGGAGTTGTGGCCGGTAACCTAATTTTACTAAGCAATGTTTTTTCGTGCTTAGGCAAATTTTCTGCTTAATCAGCTCTATGAAATTGGGCCCAGATCTGGTCTGCCTAGGCCTATATAACTTAACCATGACCTATAATAGTTCATGTACAAACAGTTCTCGGCCATTTTCACCAGAACAATCCGAGTAATTCACCGACAAGTTACGTACCTCCGTGTTGAAAGCAAAGGCAGATAACCAACGCGAGAAACAGCTCGCATCGATCCATCTCCGATCACTCGAACCGCCTTTACCTGTTCCGGTATAGAAAATATAGGATTCAGTATTCACAAAAACTATGAAGCACGTTAGCACTGAAGAGCAAAATGATAAAAAATTCAAATCTTTTGTCAGATGGGCCACTCCGTTTTAAACTGCATTACCAACACTCATTCGCAATTAGGTTTGCGAATATAATGTTTTTGGTAAAAGCTTGATCTAAAAACAATCTGTGATTTTTAATCCCTATAAGACTGCATGACAACGTTTTTCTTCAACTTGGCTTTCAATTTTTTTTTAATTACCCTATTTGCGGCACAAGCATTTTTATCGGAACATGGTGGAGTTTTTGACAAGGCGAATCGTGCCTTTTTACTATTACGTTTGCGACCTAATTAAAGATATCAAGATGAACTCAGCGATGTTGTAAGGGAAATTAACAATGATGTACACCTTTTTCAAGAAATAAATGGTACAAGAAAAACCTACTGAAATACTCACCTAGACAAAGTTTTTCTCTTTTTTCTAAAACACCAATGGTGACCTACGGGACCCACAGCGTGCTAAACGCGGCTCGCAGCCAGCCTCGTGTTGAGCTGTGTTAATGTTGGTGAAGTGACTAGATATAGACGATGCGTGATCTCGCACTGTCGCGCAATCGTCAGGATGCGCGTGCGGCGGAGGCACGTGTTGAAGAAAACTACGGTTGGTGATTGGCCAGATCTAATAATTATTTCTCCACGCGTCTATCCTATTACCGAGTCGCAGCTCGGTAAATCTATCGGGGGTTGGGGGCAGATTTAGCAGGAGGACAAAACATAGGCCTCAATTGAATGTTCAATGATCAAACCCTGCATCAAGCTTTCTACCTAAATTATGAAATGAGCCTATATAATAATTGATTTTCGTGTAAAAAAATGTATATCAATCAACTGAAAACAATAAGTCCCTTTTCCAAATTGTTAAGTTATTTATGGAAAGTGTGGCGGTCCATACAACATACAAATGCAATAGGGTTGTCACTCACTGATATGCAGTAAGTTTTCAATCTTTGTGGGCAAGTCCGTTACGTCGTTGCTAAGTCGTGGAATGTCATGGCCTAGCGGTAAAGAACACCGGACTCATACTCTGGTGTTTCAGAGGAAACAGTGGCGTTGGGGCTCGAGCCCGCCGGGTCAAGACTTGTGCCATTAAGCAAGGCACTTTACCATTATTGCCTCGTCCTTCAGATGGGACGTAAAGCCGTAGGTTCCGTGTGTTGTGTAATCCAATGCACGTGAAAGAACCCAGTGACACTTATCGCTAAGTGAAGGGGTTTGCCCCGGTGTTTCTGGTCTCCTGTATAAACTCCCACGTGGAGTATTTAACCAAGAACCAATCACCGCGAAATTCAGGCTCCGACAACTGCTTAACCGAACATCAGCAGGAATAGTGGTTCCATCCCAGCTTTACCTCATGTTCATTTACTGGCATACTATAATTATTCAACAGATACAATTACAAGTATTTTTCAATGAATTCAAGACGTCAGTAATCATTTTTTATGCCTATTTTTTAAGAAAAGCATTCTCTTCAGTCGGGCAAACTTGCATACTGTGATATTTATTATTTGTCACAATTGACATTAGTTTAAACATCATTCTATTTTATAACCTTATCAGATAGAAAGTTGACAAGCCTTACTGTTAGTTATAGAGAAAAGTTTGTCATTCGTGGGAGGGGCAACAAGTGGACGCTAATCGAAAGACCCCGAGCTTTTTGAAATCGTGCCTTCGTCTCCAGCTTCGGCTGCATGATATTGCCATTTTGAATTTGATTTGGAATTAAAGGCTTCCGCGATTCTGATGATAATGTGCATGTGATGCATACATTATACAGAACGAAGTTTGAACAAATTTAGCGCCCTCTTGCATCTTGATATGTGCAGGTACAGAAGCAATCGACAGAGGGCGCCATTCAGATTGACTAACTTGTGATCTTCGACTGTGCCACCGTCAAATCTCCTCCCACTTTCGATGTAATTTTCTGAGGACGAATACTGCCGCAGTTCCGGTCATCATGGTAAGTCTGACAGAAATATGTTAATCGGTACATGTTTGTGTTCATTTTCCTGTGAGTTTTGGGCTTTTCAAAAGGAGTGTAAACATCACAAACATGTTATGTGTGATCTTCACGGCCGCTCGTTGCGTGCAATTCGGTGCATAATGCGATCATGCATGCCTAACGACACGTCAGCCCAGTATTCGGACAGAACAAAATTCAGGCATGCCGTATGGGCCGGGGCCTACACATTCTATCTACTATTTTTTCCAAATCAATATGGCTTAATATTTATTTTGATTTTACTACTAGCACAATTATCTTTACAACATACATGCCGAAACATTTCATGAACTTAAGCTGTGGGCGGGCCTAGGCCTAACACATAACATGCTTAAAATTAATTTAAAACTTGTTAAAAAAATTACGCAATGGCTATTGAGTATTGCTTACGGCAGCTGTAACTCAATGCCTACTAATTGTGGAACCCTCTGGTTCCCTGACCTAACAGTAACACTGTATTCAACATCAGGATCTTTGGCTGTTGGAACCAGACTGTCAACTGAATGGTTCTCAGACTTTATTTCCATTTTAAAAAAATCCTTCGAAGCCACGGATTACGAAGAAGAAAATGAAATCTACATGTACTTAAATAAAAAGAACGATTTGATTAAAAACTGAAAGTAAGAAATTATTTTTAAAATGATAATAATTGAGCAGCGTGGTAGCAGTTTCGAACCCAGATCCCCGGCAAAGTAGTCTAACATGTAGCCAGTCGAGCTAAGAAGCGTTCTGGTTGAATGTGTAGTTATAAATGTGATACAGATTTGCAATGGTGATTTCGCAATACCGCAATAATAGCAGTTGAAAATGGCGTTACGGCTGCCATAACAATAGCCACTACGAACAATTTAATACTCGATAGGCACATCTACCAAATATAAAATAGATGTTGCTTCTTAAGTTCTTTAGCCAGCTAGCATAATGTAGGCCTATCCTACATTTACTCCAAAATTTGTGTTCAAACCAAATTTTTGTTCGAAAACTTAGATTTATCATGTTTATGATGAAGAAAACTTTGTGTGAATCTGTCAGAGTTTCCTCGGCTTTGGGCAAGGGGCTGACATTGACATCGTCCTGGACGATGCATCCACTCGTAAGATGGCAGAGATCAAAACCGAAGATGGCAAGAAGGAGCGATTGTATCTCTTCTACGACGGGGAATCCATCGCGGGAAAGGTTAACGTTAATCTGAAGGGGCGTAAACTGGAACACCAAGGCATACGCATAGAGTTTGTCGGACAGATTGGTGAGTATGCCCAAACGCCCCCCCCCCCCCCCTGACTTTACTCTTTGCATACGGCAAGGCAATAAATCCACTCAAAATGGCTAAACCTACCTTGTGTGTTAAAGGGAATATACAACATTTGCAAACATCAAAAAATAAAACTTCCAAGTTTTTACGAAATACCTTACTAGGATGTTGGTAAATGACAGTCTCAAGCATCTTGTAAAATTATGGCACCTGGTGTGAAGTCATTTTCAAGAAAATGGTATTTTTGTATACATTTCCAACGGTGGTCGGCCGACCAGCTTTGGAAAAACCTAACTGTTTTTCAACTACTGTTCCAAATTTACAATTTTTCAGTCCAAATTGTATTTGCTATTGGTTACATGTTCATGAACGGGTGCAGGCCAGCTAGACTGGTTCCCTTGCCTTACAATTTTCCATCATCTATAAATCGATTCATTTTGTCTTTTGTGGAGTCAGGGAACCAGACTACTTGAACATTTTGTTTTTCTTGGTTTTTCCAACCTTTTCGAACACAAAACTTTAAAAATGTCTATTATACTAACCCCTCAAATAGTTCATTTCTGAAAATTACAGCAAAAGCCAATGATGTACATTCCCTTTTTAAATAACATCATTTCCATGTTTTGATTCTCTAGAGCTTTACTACGACAGAGGCAACCATCATGAGTTCACATCCCTAGTCAAAGAACTTGCGCGGCCGGGCGAGTTGTCGCAATCCACTGGTTACAATTTCGAGTTTTTGAACGTCGAGAAACCGTACGAGTCCTACACTGGTGCCAACGTAAGGTTACGGTAAGTCTCCAAGAGCCAGTTTCATCCTCTACAGTCCCATTGTATCGGGTATTTGTCGCAGAAAATCTGGACAACTCCTTCTTGCAAAAAGGATAAGGCCACAAAAAAAAATATTCGGTCTCTGGTCAGACCAAAGTTCCGGAATTGACGCGGCGCCGGCGACGCGGCTTCTTTTTTTTTCTTCAAGCTTGGATTGTACAGACAAGGTGGGGTACTATTTTGCTTTTTTGGTGTCCTCATGTACATTGGTGTCCTCCATAATTTACCTTGGTGCTCTCAATCATTTGCCTTGGTGCAATTTCCCATTCCTTGGTGCTCTTTGGTAAAACAAATTGAGGAGGTGCGGCAATAGAGGGCGCTGTTGGAGCTACCGCGGAACATTTGGGGAAAAAAAAAAGATTGACGCGCATGATTAAAATTGACGTGCGCGCTGACCAGAGATCGACTTACTTTTTTTTTTTGGCCTAATCGAAGTTGTTTAATACAATCTGATTAATGAATTACAAGATGATTCCTGCCAAAAATACATGTGTTTCTGACAATGGGTGTGCCGCAGATATACCCTTCTGAAAAAAAGTTACTGTCCTGGATATTAAAGTGTGATGAATTTTTAGTGAAAATTTTTAGTTACCTTTTACAAGAATGTAACTTTTAAAAATTATATCTCAGTCGCTGTCTACTTGTTTAATAGTTGGTATGCGTTTTCATTTGAATGACAGGTATTTCCTACGAGTAACGATAACAAAACGGTTGACCGACACAGTGAAAGAGATAGATCTACTCGTCCACACCCTGTCCCACTACCCTGAGGTCAACTCCTCCATCAAGATGGAAGTCGGTATTGAGGACTGCCTACACATAGAGTTTGAATACAACAAATCAAAGTGAGTAGAATGACCACACAGTGTGGGGTAGGGAGACAAATGGCATGACAGATACATGTAAGCCCTTTTCACACTTGAGCCTTTTAATCCGGGTTGAACTCAACCCCGGGCGATCCAGTGCCGCCTTGGGTTGAGGTTTTGATTTTTCAACCCCGCGTTCAACCCCGCATCGTTTCACACTTGTTTCATGCAAATCAAGCTTATCATGCTCAGTTACTACTGTTTTGAACCCTAGCAAGATTTTCAACCTGGGTTGAAAATCTCAACCCTGGTCTGGAGCAGTGTTGAGTTCAACGCGGGGCGAAATCAATCTCGGGGTTGACGCAGGGTTGACGCAGGGTTGAAATTCTTCAAGTGAGAAACGATGCATGTTTTCAACCCTGCGTCAACCCTGCGTCAACCCCAAGATTTGTCTAGTGTGAAAAGGGCTTCAGGGTGACAGATGTGGTCATGTGTGGTCAATTGTTCAATTAAGATGGAAGTCGGTATTGAGGACTACCTACACGTAGAGTTTGAATACAACATATCAAAGTGAGTATGGAACACACAGTGTGACAAATAGGGAGACAGACTCAGTGACACATAGGGGGACAGATAGAGTGACAGGTGGTTGCAGACCCTGAGGTCAAAGATGGGAGATTAGAAAAGAGCTTTATAAGGGGTGTGGTAGTCTCGTCAGTTCATGGTCACTTTTTATGTGAATGATAAGAAGCCGCAAGCTGACTAGTCTAGTCATAGACTCCAGTGTGTGTATATGCCCGATTGTTACCATTCTAAAGGTAAATACACTGTCGCTTTTTAGTGCATTTTCAGCATTGAGGGCCATGGTATAATGGTGTCACACCTTGACAGATGTTGTGTGACAGTTCGGGACACAAACAGCGTTACAAACAGGGTGATAGAAAGATACAACCATCGTCTGCGGTTTTAAGGCCGTTGTCCAGTCTGTTCTTGGTTGGCCTGCTTTATCCCTATGGCGTCCCTCGCATCGACTCTAAGCAGTCGCATGTCATCTGAGCGAGGTTTAGATAGATAGAAAGATGCAACATAGCATCTCTCACAACACACCATCCTACCTTGACTTTCTCCTCAAGTGCTATGAGCGCCTTTTCAGGCAGATACCGGCCCTTTACAAATGTTATTAGCTGTTTCGGTAACACACCGAAACAGCTCTTGTTTTCGTTAAGATTTTTTTTTTTCTTTTTTCTTTTTTTTTTTTTTTTTTTTACCCCCCTCTCTTTTTTCAGACTTTTTCTCCATAGGTTTTACACACGTTTCTTCTACCACTCCACTTTGCCACTTTTTTAAATCCGATTAATTTCAAACTTGGTACATACCTAGACCACCACCCACAGATGGTCCTAGAAGAAATTTGTGATCGTGACGTCATCAGGTGTCAGGTTACATCACATTAAAGATGCATTTTTCCCCATATGTTTTGTACACGTTTTAAAACACTCCAGTTTGGCATCTTCGTAAATCCGATCGACTTTAAACTTAATTCATACTTAGACCACCACCCACAGATGGTTCTACACGAAATTCGTGATCGTGACGTCATCAAGTGTCAGGTTACGTCACATTAAAGATGCATTTTTCCCCATAGGGTTTGTACATGTATTAAAACGCTCCATTTCGGCACTTTCGTAAATCCGATCGACGTTACACTTGGTACACACTTAGACCATCACCCACAGATGGTTCTTGAAGAAATTCGTGATCGTGACGTCATCAGGTGTTACGTTACTCCACATTAAAGATGCACATTTTCCCTATATGTTTTGTACACGTTTTAAAACACTCCACCTTGGCACCTTCATAAATGCGATCGACCTCAGACTTAGTACATACTTAGACCACCACCCAGAGATGGTCCAAGAAGAAATTTGTAATCGTGGCGTCATCAGGTGTTGGGTTACGTCACATTAAAGATGCGTTTTTCCCCATATGTTTTGTACAAGTTTTAAAACACTCCACTTTGGCACCTTCGTAAATCCGATCGACCTCAGTCTTGATACATACTTAGACCACCACCCACACATGGTCCTAGAAGAAATTTGTGATCGTGACGTCATCAGGTGTTGGGTTATATCACATTAAAGATGCATTTTTCCCCATAGGGTTTGTACACGTTTTAAAACACTCTACTTTGGCACTTTTGTAAATTATGTGATCGACGTTAGACCTGGTACACACTTAGACTACCAGCCACAGATGGTCCTAGAAAAATGTTGTGATCGTACCAATGCCGAGATGGGTTATAGATGAAAATTCATGTGATGTCATCATCAAATGTCATGTGACGTCCCTTAAAGGGGCATTTTGTTCTTTATAGGCCTATATTTACAGACCTATATGTTCGATTTGGTTATAACTTGACATGTACGTATAATGTGCTGTTATAGATGACATTTTTAGTGACGTCACTGATTGTTCATCACGTTCTCAGAGTATTTTGAATATCCGAAACAGCTTGGGTTTGTCCACAAACACATCTCTAGTTATTATTATTATTATCCAAATCTTCTTAAATTCTGCAGGTACCACCTTAAAGACGTTATAGTCGGGAAGATTTACTTTCTGCTGGTGCGAATCAAGATTAAACACATGGAGCTTGCCATTATCAAGAGGGAGACAACGGGTTCAGGTGGGTGGCTTAAGAGGGGAGTGGAACACCCATAGGGGTGTAGGGAGGGGGAGGAAGGGTGCATGGGGGTAATGAATGTGTGATGAGGATCAGGAAGATGGCTAAAGGTGGTGGTGGATCACACCCTAGGTTTTTTTTTTTTTTTGGGGGGGGGGGGGAGAATAGAAAGGGTGCATTGGGTAATAGGTGTGTAATGAGGATCAGGTGGGTGATATTGGGTTAGTATCAATACCCCTAGGGGTGAAAGGGGGCAATAAAGGGTGCATGGGTTGTGACCAAGATGAGGTGGATTGGATAGGGGGTAGTTGTAATGGGTTGGGGAAGAGGGAAATGGGTGCATTATTTGTGGCTTAAAGCAAACAAAAGTAAAAAGAGGGGTGTGGTTTGGTGGATGGGAAAGGGTGCAAAGTGGTGAAAAAAAAAACTGTTTCTGCCTTTATATTCCTGAATTCTGCTGCATTTCATTTTTTTTTCTCATTTTAATTTCCACCTTTGGTAGGTCCCAATACCTTCAACGAGAACGAGACCATAGCAAAGTATGAAATCATGGACGGGGCACCAGTGAGAGGTGAGATCTCTTTCCTACTAAATGAAACCAACTCTTTTAGCTATTACTAAAATTCTTTCTTTAAAGGGAAAATACAACATTTGCAAACTTCAAAAAATAAAACTACCAAATAATTTTGAAATACCTTGCTGGACTGTTAGTGAATGACAGTGTAAAGCATCCTGTAAAATCATGGCACCTGGTATACTGTCATTTTCAAGAAAAGTGGTATTTTTGTATCAATTTCCAACGCTGATCGGCCGATGAGCGTTGGAAAAAACTGGCTTTTTTCAAATACTGGCCCCAATTGACCATCGCACTTGTTTGCAATCGATTACAAACCTATGAACGGGTACGAGCCAGCTAGACTGGTTCCCTGACCTTACAATTCCCCAATGTATGTAAACTGCTCTGATTCTTCTTATATGGAGTCAGGGAACCAGACTATAGGAAAATGATCGTTTTTCTTGGTTTTTATTGCATTTTCGAACCCAAAACCTCAAAAAAGACAGTGTAACTATATTTGCTATATATTTCCAACCCCCCAATTCCATCCATTTCTGAAAATTACAGCAAAAGCAAATGATGTATATTCCCTTTAAGTAATAACTGATACATGAAGGGGTGTCAAAATAAACTTACACACCATCCCTTCACAGTATGCCATCAAAAATGTCTTGGCTCACATCTTGAAGTTTCCTCCATCTTCCTGCCTTCATCTCAGGTGAATCCATTCCCATCCGGCTGTTCCTGTCTGGCTATGAGTTGACGCCGACGATGCGAGACGTCAACAAGAAGTTCTCCACCCGCTATTACCTGAACCTCGTCCTTGTTGATGAGGAGGAGAGGAGATACTTCAAACAACAGGTCGGGTCTCGGCCAGGGCCGTAAATTATTATCACAATGCATTTCCAGCGAGATTATTAGAGGGCGCCCTTTCTACATGCATGCATATTCACAGATGTTGATGCATAATCATAGTTGTTCAAGGCTTTATATAATAACCCTAACCTTCCCAAATCCTCCAAAAACTTCTTTGTAAAATGGAGGATTTTTGCAGGATTGAGGCTATATGGCAAAAATGTGTGGCTGATTTTCAGGGATGCACTGTGTCAACGACCTTGCATTGTTACTGCTCAGCCGTGCATAAATTTAGGCCTAGATTATACTTGAAATCCTCCGCACTGCTCCAGGATGTCACTGGCTCTGCCTCAACATATTTACAGTGATTGCTGGAGGATTTTGCAGGATTGAGGCAGTGGTCACCCCTCTAAGGACCACATTCAAGAAATACCGGAGGATTTTGCAGGATTGAGGCAGTGGTCACCCCTCCAAGGACCACATTCAAGAAATAATGGAGGATTTTGCAGGATTGAGGCTGTATGCAATTTTTACATGGAGGCAGTTGGAGGATTTTGCAGGATTGAGGTTGCATCGTAGCAAAAATGCCTGGGGACTTGGGGATAAGGAATAAAGGTGTATCAAGCACTGAAGTAAGGCAGCAGATACATTGCCTGGTTGGAATTAAATGTGACTTCTAATACATTCAGCTGAGTTTGAAGGTCTTGGTGAGGTCTTCCTAGCATACTACTCCATTTTTCTTGTCAGTTATTTTAAACAACTTGGGCTAGAGGCAAAACAAGTTGTACAGAACAGATCAATTGATGTCAATCTTTATTTCCCTGTGTATAGCTTTTTACAGTTAACTTTTTTAAACAAATTTTCCTGTTTTTGTTTCTTTTCGTAGGAAATCACACTGTGGAGGAAACCCGACAAAGCCAAGAAACCCCAGAACTTCCAAACCCAGAAGTTTGTGTCTCAGAAATCCTAGAATTAGGGATGTAACGACCGCTACCAACCCCTTTCATCATGCCGTCTCGTCTACAAATGAAGATGAGAAGTGGTGGAAACAAAATAAAAAGGCTGTATACATATATAAAGTCAATGATTGGTGATCATATTTTTTTTATTTGGGAATTGTTAGTTGCTGGCTTTTAGAGAAATGTAAATGAAGAGTAGAATGTTTGAGTTAACGTGGGTCGACAAAATTATTAGATATTTTTTTTATTTAAACGAGGAGATGGCAAAACCTCTTCCGTTTAATAGATTCTGTTGGTTTTGTTCATAGTGTAGTTTCGTCTTTCAGTAAATTCAGTTCGGTTAGTTGGGGAGAAGAAAAAAAAATGGTCACCAATTATTTTTGTTTATAATCAAAATTTAAAGCCTTTGTTTATGCTGTACAAATATTAATCTTGTAGAATAGATAAACAATTCTTTCAAAATTGCCTTTTAATACAACGGAAAGTGCATTTTGATTTGACCAATCAAAAAGAACTGATAAGATGAAAATGTGTTAACCTGATCGGTAAACTGGCTAATAGTGGTAAGATTAACCACTAAACCTGGTTACTGGTGGATAAAACCTTGGTAAACCGGTTAGAGAAAATGGTAAAGTTACTGTTAACTCTAGCATTCTTATATGTATATGATTTAGCCATAATAGTGTATAACAAATATGTTTCAGATTCATCTCTTTTGTAGAGAACTTTGTTCTATTAAAATGTGTCTCCGAATTTGCCATTTTACTTAAACCCAGTCTGTTAGGCGCCGCTAGACTTGTACATGTATATTGAAGAAAAGACCCACAATTTAACGTTTTCGTTCAGAGGGGTGTTGTATTCATATTCAATATCTTTCTGTGCATGTGAAGATAAAAAAAAAACAGCTGATACACAGAGTCGGAGATAAACACATTTTGAAGGCAACATCATGTGAGACAAAAACCTTTTTCAACATAAAGTTCTTTTGATCGAGTCTAAATGGACACAGTAAAAGAATGGAATTTGAAAAAAATCTTTTATTTCATTTTTTCTATATTCATCATTGAAACCATTAATTGAGAAAATTAAAGCCGATTTACACGACATCCAATATAAATGATTATAAATTTAAAACTTCAATGATTGTTTGATATATTGAACTTCTAATAATAATATCACAACATGTGAAAGATTAATGCCAATTCCATTTCATATCTATGGTCCATGAATATAAAACCAAGCCTACACTGCGTGTAGTTTCCATAAAAATCAACTTTCTTTTACTTTCCGTTCTGCGTTCCTTCTGCAATTTGTTGTTGTCAATGAAATGGCCTAATTTTATTAATTTCCTGTTTCAAAAGATGAAAAAATCCTTCATTGGCTCTGCAATTTTGTTTGTGCTATTGTGTCTGCGAGACTTGACCTGACCCTGCATTTTTAATTGGGCGTGCTGTTTCAAATTGAAAAAAGTGTTTTTTCAATGACATTAAAGTCTATTCATAGATGGAATTTTTGCGTCGGGGTGATGTAAATCAAATGAGGTTTTTGCCCTTCACCGTTACGTTCGCATCTATTTTTCTGTGCCTGCTCCTTTCTTTCAGAACTCGTACTTGTATGTATCTGTATCGCAAGTAACTTGAGATTTAGTTTTAGTTTTAAACTCAGTCAGCATTTGTATCTCGTTTGAAAGACGAAGACACTACCAATAAACTGTATACATGTAATTACTGAAATATGCCGTGGTGTCATGTTATTACGTACTTTACAGAAATGCAACTTTTCCTCGGATCCGCTGATATCCTCGATTTTTACTTATCATGAATGCCATTACAAATTGAAAAATACTGTACAAAGTCTTGTGTGGTTTAGAATGTCCTTGTTTTTGTTGTTGTAAATTCCCAGTTGCATGCCTGATACAAACTCAGCCGGACCTAGTTGTGTATTTTGAAACATTCTGGTGTCACTGATACATTATGAACCATCTACCAATGCCGGTTACAATGTACTATGGAAGAAAGACATCAAAAATATACATTGTACACAAAAGTAAAAAAGTGTTTGTCGTCATGTGAAGGGATCCTTGATTCTTCTGAAGACAGCCGGGAACTTGTCGCCATTGTTACGCGTGACCTTTTGACCTTCCTCGGTGCACTGACCCAACAACTCCACAACTGGGTCCTGGACCTATAAACAAAACAAGGAGGAAAGTACCTTTTTTAATTTGAAACTCGCCCGTTAAACTGAAAGACTCAAAATAAAGCTGGTTGAAAAGGAATCTGGCAGTCTTTAGCCCCAACAGTACAGATCACAGATCCATAACAACTAAATCACAAGTAAACGGACAAAGAACAATAAAAAAGAGATGCCATTGCCAAAGTTCATTTGAAAGCCTTGCGAATTGACTTGGGGCTTGATAACTTATGAAGACTTGTGACTGACTTGTGATGACTTGTGATTGGCTTTATGATTGACTTGTGATTGATATGTGAATGACTTGTGATTGATTTGTGAATGACTTGTGATGACTTCTGATTAACTTATGATGACTATGCTCCATCCTTGCAGTCCTGATTTGAAAATCACAGGCGTGTGGTAAAAGGCACACCTGGATTTTTTTAGGTGAGTGATTCTTCTAGGCTGTGATTCTGTGGTCCAAGCTGGGACTGAACAATCTGGAGTTGTTTTTTTTATAATATTCATCTTGGTTAACAGTAAAGCCATTTTCTCTTCACTGACATACTTTTTCCCCACTAATTATGAAGCATAATTATGCCGTAAAAGTAAGCCGAGGTGTGCGGTAAAGAGGGATTCAGGCGTGCGATTATTCGCACTTCTCGGGAAGCTTTTAGGCGTGCGATGGCGTGGGGGTGTGATCGCACGCCTCAAATCAGAAGGACTGTCCTTGGGTTTTGTAGTGACGACTTGCCGTACCTGTTCCTGGTCTGTGATTCTCTGGAACAGTGGATGTTCACTCAGATGTTTACACATCCAGTCGTGCAGCTCCTTCACGTCTGTGATTGTGTACAGAAGTCCCTACCAAGAAACAAGAAAAAGTAGTATCTAGTGAAGACTGTATCAAGCCAATAATTGTAAATAAAAACTGCTCATTGAAGTAATATTTTCCTTTTGCATCAGTTTTGTTTGTGTTATGCACTGTTTTTGTTTTTCTTAAACTCTTTGTCAAATTATCACTATCTAGCAGTCTAGAGGGATTTCAGTAAGTTTTGTGGCAGGAAAGTATCGGAATTCTTACAGAACTTCCATCTCCAGTAACACCCAAATCTTATTTTTTATCAATGATCCAAGCAAATCAAAACATCGTCTTGTACCAACTCACCCCTTCTTTCATGATGTAGGCATACTCGGCAAGAAGAGTCTGGTTGACAATTCGCCACTTGTGTTTGGTCTTCTTGAAGTGTGGGTCAGGGAACAGGATAAACATCTTAGATATCTACAACACAATAGAATCTTTATAAATAAATGCAGGATAATTCTGTGTAGTAAGTAAAGTCCGTCACGAGACGATGTGGCCCGTCAGGCCGGCATTTATCTCTGGTTTCCTTGGCATGAAACAACTGATAATAGTTCTATTCCCCCTGGATGGGATGCCAGTCCATCGCAGGTTACTCCCCAGCTAACGCCGGTACCTATTATACTTTTTGTTGGAAAAAGGCAAGTGGGGGTGAAGTGGCTTGCCTAAGGACACAACATATCACAAGCAGCTGGATTCGAACTCCTGCCCCTCTGATCATGAGTCACAATCCCTAACCACTAGACCACACTCCCCCTGAATATGAATTCCTTTTGTTTTGTAGGACTTTTTTGTTTTAATAAGATGGAAATCGTTTGGATCTGTCCACTTATACCTGTCCTTTCCTGAAGAAGTTTGGCAGGTGTTTCATGGCGTTAACTCTCAGACAGGCAATGTTCTGGTACGCCCCTTCCTGATTCTGTCTCAGCGCTTTGATCCGATCCTGGACGTAGTCCGACACCTTCATACGTATCTCCATACCCAGCATCAGCGTGCGGGGGAACATGGGCGACAAGGACACTGTATAATGCACATAAAGATCTGGATAATAACCACGTTGTATCAAATAGAGCAAGCATTATGTTCATTATAAATTGTCCGGCTTACAATGCCAGTTAAATTCTTCAAGAACACCAAGTTGGCTGATATTCGGCTTCGGATTTTAAAACAGAACTCGTTACAGTGAGCAAAGCAAAACACAGAGTCTTTACTTTCCAGGGGCAAAGTAAAATAATTCACCATTTTCACGCCTCCTCCTTCCTTACCGTTTTTTCTAGACACTGTGGAGTGTCATGTTGAGGCCTCCTCCGCCTAGGCTGAGAAAATGGGCCCATTGAGCAGCCTCCGTTGATTAACTCTTTTCGTTTACTTTAAAAAGGGATTCTTACTCACCTAGAAGGCCACCATATCCGCATCCTACATCCAAGAACTCCACCTGGGCTTTGGGCTGGCTCTCACTGTTGGACGTGCCACACTCTGCTTGCGACCCAGCACAGAATGCTGGGTAGAGGTCACTCCAATCCATCCCATCTGGATCAACTGGACTGTGCGCAAAATCAAGGATTAAGTCAATTCAACACAGCCTTTGTCTGTCACCACCAGGGGCGTCACTAGGGTTGGGGGAAGGAGGAGGGGGTTGTCAACAGCAACCCCCCCCCCCCCCACCCCCCCCCCCCCCCCCCCCCCCATTACTCCATAGGAAGCAGGGGTGTGAGTGACCACTGATAAAAATAGCTGAAAATGTGTAAAAAGCTGAATTTTGGAAATCGCCTATACTTTTGTACACAGCAATTGTAGGGAAAAAAGCTGGAATCCGAAACCAAAAAAGCTGAAATCAGCTTAAAAAGCTGAGATTTCACACTCCTGGGGAAGATTGTATCCAGTCCCCCCCCCCCCCCCCCCCCCCTCCCCAGAGCAGAGGGAGAGGGCGGGTGTCCTGCAAAAAGAAAATCCTGTCTAGCTTTTAGTTTTAGCACGAATGGTCTGTCAAGTGTCAGCAAAACCCCCTACCCCAAAGTAACCCCCCCCCTACTACCACCCCTCCCCCCCCCCCCCTCAAGCCCGTGTGTTACGGTCATGACGGTTTACTGAACTGTTTAGTGATCCTTTCTGCTTGAAAAACTAAACCTTGAGGATTATTTATCAGCCATGATGACCTGATATATTAGACACTAATGTCTGTATACATTCAATAACATGCTAATATCTACTCACTACTCGAAGGAGTGGTCTGAATGCGGGTTAGAATGGGCTCGTTGTCTGTAAAACTTTTTTTGCGGCATGGGCGCAGCCATCTTGATTAGGGTTTCAAGTAAACACTTGAGGGCGCTGTAGCTAGATTCTCTGTCCAGAACCCTTTTTTTTTTCTCTCTGAAGCTTGGCAACTTTAGTACCGTGTACATACTCGAAAAGCTTTGATAAAAGATTTTTAAACTAATGTTCAAGACAACAATTTATGAAACATCACAGTAAACAACGCGTTGCCCGACTGAAGAACCTTTATTGTTTTAAGATTAAAGCCAAGATCACCACTGACATCATAAATTCATTGACACAAATTTATTTGTATTTATCGGTAAATTAACTGATATACGAGGTTTCCTGCTGATTCTGGGTGAGCCCTGCATAGTTATAGTTGTCGGCCAGAGCCTATTAAGTTATTTCACAACGGTTGCAACCGGCCCACAAAGATATTAAACAATTTGACTTAATTAGCGGACAACCCTTTTACCAAATTTATATTTCTGTGCCGTACATACCGCCAAAGACTTTTCTCAATTCTTTATTCAAATTTAATAGTGTAATGGTAATTATTCTTGTTGAATTAATTTTTTGATTGATTCATTGATTAATTTGACGGTTGCTTTCAAAATTGAATAACAATTAAGCCCACGTCATAATTTGTCACCGTCACCACAAATTAAGGCACCTGGAGGCTCCGCATAGTGGCAATATATAGTTACGTGTTTCGAAGCGAATTGAGTTGACGATGTTTTGAATGGTGATCGTTTTAGCCTCAGGATTGTCTGAAAGCTATGGTCTTGAATAGCACGTAAATATATGATTTTTATTGAACAAAAAATATATAACTGTGATTTATTGAACTAATTAATTATAACTGTACTTTGTGAAAACTCAAACGCTGTACGGTGTTCGATAACTCCTTTGATTCAATTGCATATCGACTCAATTATGCTTTATATCTCAGTTACTAAAATCAGCCTTATTGAAAAGAAGATAGTGCAGAACTCGGGCCTACATATAATTGTTATAAAGTGCACAAGTGGTCAAACCTCGTGGTTCACGCCATATAATAGCTCTTGCGTACTGTTGATTGGCCATTTTTTGAATGGGGGCGCGCTTTACCAATGCAATTTTCCAGTAATAAACTGGGTAAAAATAGCTAATTTCAAGTTAGGCCTACTTCAATCTAAAAAGTCCGAGTTTGTAAACGTACGTGTCACATGTCCATTAAAGCAACGGGGTCTACCCGAGTGTTCCCCAAATACCTACGTTCCCCAATACCTATGTCCTCAGGGTTAGGGTTGGGAACATAATAGGTATTGGGAACTTAGGTATTCAGGGGAACATAATAGTTATGCACCCATAGCAAGTTTACGCCAATAACATTGGATTCACTGTCCGTGGAGCGCCCTCATTTGTCCCAAATCAATGGCCAATCGTCGATGTACAGTCTACCCGATGTTCACGCACCCAAGGTTAACGGTGACCACAGTGTGGCCGAAGAACTTGGCAGACAGAGCGATGCAGCCGTGAAACTTGCTTCCGGTTACCTCCAGATCCGATAACTTGATGCATATCGATGTGAATGGCACGTCGGGGATAGGTGCGCAGATGGCAGGCGGATCATGAGCTGCAGAACGAAGACATCCAATAATATTTCTATCGGAATTATAATCATCAGAAGTAGAGGGGGTTCTCACATTCTGATCATACAGGGTGAGTAAAAAAACACGAAACACAAATGTCAGGACTATTGTTGTAGTGAAGTTCTGCATGTAGCACTTTGAAAATCTAGGATATCAAAGCCCAATTCATAACTTTCCTTTAGTACAAGAATCATTCAAATCACTTATGTACTTTTCAAGTTACGGAATTTTAAACACAACCACCGTTTAAAAGTTCTGTCCATGGATCACACAATAAGTGTGCGTTCTTTCAGCAAAATGAAAAAAAATTCACACACATCCTTATGTGATGTTTTTCGTTTTGCTGAAAGTATACACTTACCTTTTTGTGATCCGTGAACAGAACTTTAAAATGGTGGTTGCGTTTAAAAGTCCGTAACTTGTAAAATATATATAAGTGATTTGAACGATTCTTATATAAAGAAAGCTTATGAATTGAGCTTTCATTTCGTGGCTTTTGTGTTACATTTAGAACTTCACTAAAACAATGGTCCCGACATTTGGGTTTCGGTTTTTTTGACACCCTGTAGAGCGGAATGACTCTGAAATATTCGGTATAATGCCTTTGGAAACAATTTCTTGCTGGATAGAATTAGCCATTCGTTTGATTCAGAACGCTCTGTCAGTATCAGTTAGCACACGCCAGTTAATATCATCAGGTTTTTAACGTTAATTACATTCTAAAGCACATCTTGAATTTGTCTTTGAAATTGTTATTTCAAACGATATTGGATTCTGGAGACAAAGTTCACAAAAAGAATTACCTTTGATCACTTTTCAACATTCGAAGCTAAAAACTTAACCTGAATATTAATGTCAATGGTGGTTCCTGACTTTTGAAAGAATCGGGGCCCACAACATGTTATTAAATTTTAACAAGAAGTTCTTAACTTGAGAGAGTGCTTATGAAATTTGTTACACAATGTCAAGAGTAGAATAAATTGGGTCTGCTGTCTACGTACCTGACACCGTCTCGTCGATGATGTCATGACCTAGGACGGTCAACTTCAAGTGAACACTCAAATCTTCGACATTATACTCGGCCAGCACACAAGCTAGATTTAAAACAAAAACCCTTTTAAGCAAGCTACATGTACATTCTGAACTAAAGAACACTTTGGAAATGGTAATATAGTTTCACATTTATGACATGCATCAAAGTCTCATTTATTTTACCATTTGTTTTTTCATTGAGGGGTTGGAAGTTTGAACTTCTGATCGAACGCTTCATCTCGTCGCGAATCGTTCGTCGTACAAAGAAGCTATTTATCAATTTTCAGGTGTCTGCTTATGTTCTTCATCCCAAAAAATGGTAACCGAACGCTTTAATTCTTGAATACCATGCGCATGCGTAAAGTACGTAGTGACACATTCTTGATCGATGCGATATAATAAAAAAAAAGGAAGAGAATAATTAAACAAGTGAATCGGAGTCTAATAATTTCCCTATATACCCGCATTTATTTGGTAACGTTTTGATGTCCAGATCAAATTTTGCTCTAGTGGTGTTCCGATGACTTTAGCTTATTTTGGTCGTGCTTTTACGTTTGACAAATTCTAAGTCACGGACTTACCATCCACATCAAACTTGCCAGCGAACTTGACCTGGCCGCAGCAATGAGCTGAGGTTGCATCCGTTGTGCAATCACCTGATGCTTGGCGCGTGCTTACGCCCTCTGTTGACGAAAGTACAACAACAATATTTTACCTTTAATAGACTCAAGGGCGTCAATTCGCTCGTATACCCACCGCCCAACCGCCGTGTATCTCTATTGTGCGATTTGCTATAGATGTATAGTTGTTGGCATGTTTTTCGGTCTTTAAAGTTAAAGATCAAATGGAGGTCCGTATTTCATTGTTAAAAATAAATTGGCTCAATCTCCAAAGAACTGTGCGAAATGTACAGGAACTAAATGTTGGCGGGGCCAAAAAGTCGGATTTGTCAAGTTTTTAAAGACATAGAGCGTTTTCGAAACGACTGGCTTTTGCTTCGTCTTCGGCTTAAGGAGATTAGGACTCCAACTTCTGGAACTCCAGCTACATTTAAGGTGCCTGCACTGCTCTGCTTCAGGAACATTCAATCGGTTGATATGAAACCACATGTTGTAATATTTTTGTTTAGTTTGCCTCCCAGTGATTCAGAAGTAGGAGGCAAAGCCGTATCCGAAGCCGAAGCAAAGGTTTCGAAAACACCCATAGAGAGCGACTTTAGCTTACTCGTTTGAATAGCAATAAAAGTTGATTTGGATTTGGAGGCTGCCTATATTTCTAGACTTACGGTCTGCAAGAATCATCATTGCCACCTCCTTGGCGCTCTTGGTTGCCAGTTCTGCCTCAAGGAGACCCACCAACATCTCCTCTTCTTCCTTGGTCAATGCACGCTCTTCATAAGGCACCTTAAAAAATAACCAAATGCAAAATTGGGGCTTTTAAAACTCTTGGTGGCAGCACACACTTGAAGTCGCATGGTGAACTATAAGGCTACAGTTTAAAATCACACACAGGTGTATGGGAAGTGGCTGCAGCCGCTACCATAGTCTCGTGTGTAATTTTAAGCCGTAGCCAAGAAATTCGGGCATGGCTTAACATCATACACTCACTGTATTGTACTAGAAAAAAAACTAGCAAAAATGACTGAATGCAAATTTCGTAGGAAAAACAGAATTCGAAACACCTTTTCACAAACTCACCCGAAGAGAAAACGCACCGACCGATGCCGCGATGGCGCAGATGGCGATGAGCAGTAATGCACGCATGGTGTTATTCTTCAACTCAAAAACTCAACTCAATTCTTCAACTTCAACTCACAACAACTTTTCTCTCGCTTTGAAGTGACGGTATGATCTGGTACAAAACGATCAATTCGGGAGGCATTTATAACATTTAGGTGTTTACTTTAGTTAAGGGCCACAAAATTTTAGGAGAGTTGCTAAATTAATGGCCCGTGCAGGTGATCAGCAACCGTGTCCCATAGTTTTCTGTTTTCTTTGCTTCAAAAGCAAATAAAAGTTGGCAACAAAACGGTACACAACCCGTATAAATATTGCTAGCAATGTTTATGACTGTTTGATTTCACATCACGGTTTGTCTGACAGTGCACTTTTTTCAGGTAATCTTTGACGACTGTGCAAACGGAACTGCCAACCATATACACAATTACCAGTAGAAGTTGCTGAAAAGGAACTCATGTATTTGTTCCGTTTTTGGACGAGTGGTTTAAATGGCTAACCCTTCAAAGCATCTTACGTCAGTGTCATATTTCTAGTGGTATTTATCAGCTTTCGCTGAGTTTTGAAAAACAATAGTGGAATTGAAAAGAAAAACAAACGCAACAATCTTAGTTCAAGGATCATGTGCAACTGCAGTCACATTTCGGTTTTTTATTATTATTATTTTTTTTTTGAATTCTCATTTCTTGTCGGTGGTACACAGTAAAAAAAAAACCAAGTTGGATACTGTTTGGCAATGTACTTTACCCAGCATTGCGATAAAATTACCCCATATTAGGTTGAATTGGGTAAAAGCTGTCAAACTATTGGGAAGAATTTGCGCAAGAGTGTAGGCAGTTGATAATTCGACCAGCATTGTTCGAATTATCAAGCCATTTTGCCCACATTTTTTTACAGTATATAGACAGCCTATGCAAAAAGACTCTCAAGCCGTCAGACAATCCTGGGTATTCGGTGTCTATATAATACGAAGGTAAAGTTGCCAAACCGAATATCGATCGCCGACAAACATCATAGGCCTAATTCAAATTTGGTACAATTATGTATTTTCTGAGTAAAAGTGATTAAGCATGTTACAAAATTTGAATATTAACCCCAAAAAACTGATCGATACATGAATATATTTAGCATGTTAATGGCTTATGGGTTTCAAACGTTATCCACAAGCAGGAACCAGTCTCACGTTGGGTACAATTAACTATACTATGGAATGACGTTTTTAACGTGATTTAAAATTAGTATGAAAGTTCCATTAGCCTTCTGTCAATAGTAACCACATCTCAACACTAATCATTCTGCAAAAAACAATTCACTGTATGATTTTAAGTATTAACTGCGTATAGAGACCATGAATATACCACTGGTAAAATGATTATACCTTCACAAAGCATATGTACTTGTAAACGTTCTTGCAAATAATTGCCATCATAAACCTTTCAATGTTGTTTTTTGACTTCCAATTGCAATGGAAATGTTAACCATCATCTGACAGTTCAAATATCCAACTGTACTTTGATGCCCTGAAATAGTGCCTCATTTTTATAAAAATTTAAATTTTGGTGAAAGAAAAATCCCAGCCTTTAATGCATTGACACACAATCCATTTTCTTCTATTTTTGAACTTCGCAAATATTTTGCCGCTCTTATAAGACTTTTGGAAACAAATCGGTTACTCTATATAGAAAGACACAAAATCCTGAAATATCATATATACACACACAAACACTAAATGTCGGTTACAATGTGCTTTAAAACATCTGAGTATAAGTGAACATAAAGTATGACAAATGTTCGCAGATTAAGTTTTATCCAAAGGGTATTAATTACAAAGTGAAGTTATTATTTGCTTTGTAAGGATGTTTAAGTGATTGCCTCAAATATCTATTTTCATTATTCACAATTCTCATTATTCACAATTAGTTAATGGTGTAATTAAGGACGTATCGTTGTAAGGTGTATTAACGTAAATGACATATTATTAAACGATATCTGGACATATAAACAGGGAATAAAGCTTAATTTGTGTACAATTTCAAGCAAATAAAAACCAAACACAAAATTTGGGTGGGGGAATAGAAAATACCCGAAGATAGTCGGGTAAAAACAAAGGGTATTGTTTACTTTCATATAAAATGTTAGCCTCTCAATCTTCAAACTCATTAGTCAACTCAGGTCATTGAGGTTTATTTTCCAGTCAGTTTTGCAGCCACCTGTTTCTTCGCTTTCTTGGCGCCCTTCCCTACGTTCTCGTAAGACGTGTCATCTTCCTTAGAGGCAGCCAGCAGAGCCTCGAAGATGAATCGGTATTGCGCCTAAAATGTAAACATCGATGAAGAAATATCATGCTTTCAGTCACAATAGACACAACCATCGATCGAGCATTGATAGCGTGCAAATAGAGCGCCCTCTATAGACTACGACGCCACTGTTCTCCTCTTGTCAGATGGGATTTAGTCAACCGTAACAATTCCACCAAGTTTCAGGTGCTTAAATGATAAGCTTCGATTTCACTGTTCTCTAAGTCACGGTTGGCACGTGAAAAAAAATGATGTATTTGTTTTGTTTTGCCTTTTTTGGCAAATATGTTTCTTTCAGACTTTGAATATTTAAATATTACCACATTATCTTTATGAAAACAAAACACTCCAAACGTATCGTTATTACGCAGAACATAACGTTCATTATGATAAAAAACTGGCTATTTTTTTCACCAAGGTTTACTACGCCCATTTGGGGTCAATATGCAAATTGAAGTCAAAGTAATCGACAACCCAGCTAGTTTAATATAAAAAGTGTATCAGAGAACTTACCGGTGTTTGCACCATCTTGTTTCGTTTTTGTCTCATGCGATAGATGAAGCCAAGAACATCAACTTGTCCTTCTTGGCGCATCTGATCAAGCATGGAGTCCAGGGCGATGTAGGTTCCTGTGCGGCCGATACCATTACTATAAAATAAACCGAAAACAATGGCAAGTTTCAAAATTACCTAGGCTCACTTTTGTCGATAATTTTATAATAATGGCCTACATGGTATTTAACCAAGCAGTTTAGCTGTTGACTATCGCTTATGGCACTTATTCGTAACTTAGTTCCTACCTGCAATGTACAACGGTCCGTCCCTTGTTATGTTCAGCGTTCACAACTTGCATGAAGTTGAGCACAGTAGTCGGGTGCTCTGGTGCTTCCATGTCTGGCCAGGTCTTGAAATGAAACTGTTTCACCAGCCTGTTACTTTCCGCACTAAACACCTAAATGTGATACGAACATATGGGTCTAAGGGATGGTGATATTGACATTTTAATGGAACAATCAAAGCGGCCTTGTCATAAAATCGATACTTCGCCAAACTTCAGCCAGATAAAAAGGAACCAACCTTTTGGTAGAACACTATAAATCGTCGCACAGGATTTACGGATTAACATTTCAGCCTTGAAAACGGAAACAAAAAAGAAACAACTAGGCCTACCTTGTCTATCCGAAAAGCACGAATTGTGTAGTCCAAAAACACGTCTTCTTTCTCAGTGCTTACTGCGATGTCAGAATAAGTCTTTATTCCGGTATCTGGCCAGTACTGATGACAATTAACCTCAATCTGACCAACAAAATGCAATGGAAAGCAATTTCAGTTTTACATTTTGTTTGACAAGACAAATTACAAGACAAATTATACTAGACCTATCAGTATTCACTAAAGAAAAGACGTAAAAATCCATCTTACAAAAAAAATTCCCATTTACGTCTTGTTTGCAAAAGATATGCCCCACGTTACCTCGCCGTTTTCTACCGGATTGGTCAGCATGATGATCTTATCCACCTTCGTCTGCCACACCATACGCCAGAAATCTCCTACGGTCGATTCGGTTGGTCCTTTTAGACAAACACAAATCAATGGATGTCTTAAGCAATTAAACAATCGCTCGTCTCTTTGTAATTGGGCCTATAGTAGTTTCTTCGACCTCAAATTATTTTTTAAATGTAAAGCCAAAAGGCAAGCTTAATTCCATTTGTATTATTTACCTTGACTGGCTATGTACATGTCCTTCTCCAAATAACCCTGTAAAGGAAAAATCAATTTAGTTGAAAATCAAAATACTAAAAATACAGTCCACCTTTTTAATGGTTAATGCTAGCTGTCATGCTTATATGGACGTCAAAATTAATGGTAGCCAATACAAATTATGTTGTTTTCAGAATTCAAAGAATGCTAAATTGCACTGTATAAAAAAAATGAAAAATTATGTATAAATTTACCAACTTGGTATAACACAAATTCAGTGAAAATTCCCATAAAATGGTACATGCTACTTACATCGATGTAGCAAGCGTTTATGTAATCAGAATCAGGATCATTCTGCAACGGCTCCAACACGACACGCGAATGGTCATCTATGAACAACGACATCGACAAGAGAACTGATTTATTTTTCCTGTAACGTGGTTTCAATTTCTAAACAGTAGAATGTGCCCCTTTTTATATAATTAAGTGATACTCCAACCCAAAACTTGTTTAAAGCTCACTTGCTTGAAACACGAAAGATATTTGACCCCCAAAAAAAGGACTTAAAAAAATTAGAACCAGTTTAATGTATCATTTAGTCCTTACACATGTTGTATATTCTTCCAAGCAAAAGATCTAGCATCATCAAATAGCCGTCCAGATGTCAACCAATACTTACAGACAATGATGTCCGTATCAAGGTTCTTACTCTCATTTTGTGGTTTCATAGCCACAGTCGCTGGACGTAACTGACCATCTGGAAGAGTCTGAAAGTTTAAATAATAAGACCAAACGTAGAAAAGACTTTGTTTTGCTTTGTTGATACTCTCCTTACTTATAGAGATGTCGGTCCGTGTGAATTTCTATATGAATGCTTTACCTGTATGCATTGGTTTATAAACTTTTGCTGACCATTTCTCCAGACCCGATAAAGGACAAAGTGCTCTGTCCGAAACGTAGAAAATAATTCTCACACTGGTCTTTTTTTCCAAGCCACACTTCTTTGTCAAAGAAACGTATGTTCTGTGTTTTCCCCCGCAAATATTGGTTGTTATTGCAGCTCTTTTAAAGATAACAAAATGGTAGGCACTTTTTTATGTTTGTTTTCACCACGTACCAATCTTTGATTTTCACTCACCATGAAGTCTGCAGGGAATCCATTTTGACCAGCCTGCTCCTTCTTGCGGATGTATTCTGGGAGCTCCTCAACACGAACCGATGTCAGCTGACTGAATAGCTTACGTATCAGTTGCTCTTGCGCATCCTCGTCCGCAGCTGGTTGCGGGATGGATGGTTTCGGATGAGGTTTGGGCTTCGGCTTACGTGCGATGGACGGTGCGGAAGACTTCTCTTTACCCTCGTCCACGGATGCGTACACAGCAGAATCTGGAACCTCATACGTTGCGTCGGCAGCGTGCGGTTTCAGAGGCGGTTTGGGCTTCGGTTTCCGCTCAGTTTGCGGTACAGACGACTTCTTCATGATGTCAGCGTCTATGTATGTGTACGCGTGAGGTTCGGCTGAGCAAACCTCATAATCATCCACATCCTGTGATATACTTGGGTTCTGTGCAATGGGTTGGGCGGAAGATATCGTGACTACACCATCGCCAAGGCTCGTGTACGGGGCCGGTTCCGCTGTAGGTTCCGGAACCTGATAGTCCACATCTAAATAGAGAATATCATCCGACAGGTTTCAAAACATGAAATAAATTGAATGTTACACAACTTTATCAGCATGATTTTTTCTAAACATAAGCCTACAGCTGGTAAAACAATTCCAATCAAAATGTCGGCCGATATCTTCAAAGGTCATTGCTAAGCTCTGCTCTGCAGCTTTTGACCATTGGAAAAGCCTTTTTGTCCCTCTTCATTGCCAATGGTGGTCTTTGCTTTCAACCATATTGGGAACAGATTCAAAGTTTATCTTGAAATGAAAAACTTTTACAGAAAACTCACCTGCTTCGAAAGCTTTGTTCTGTGGAAGAGAAGTTTCTCCATGGACGCCATCAGAAGGCTGGTTCTTTCGACGGCGTCTTCTGTAAATTAGTTCCAAGGTTATCAAATCAAACAAAAGCATTTTCCTCTTCATTTTACGAACATTGAATTATTACTTGAGTTTTGTGAGTGGTATTAAATCCTTGGCATTTGTATAACCCCCAATTGGTCCTCGATGGAAAGACAAAAGAGGATATTTGCGACTGATCAATCTTTATGCAATTATGATTTTGATGTACCTTTTATACAGCACAATGACGACAATTATAACCACCAGAATCAGGATTACAGCAGCTGCTACTGACCCGCCTATCACTGCCGAGGATGAGTTAGTTGCGGGATTCGTGTCCATTTGGGGCGCTGTTACTAAGACAATTATAGAAAAGGGAGAAAAAAAATTCCAAATGCGATTTCGTTTCGATAGTGATTAAAGAAATTTGTTGTAGAAAATATTCTGAAATTTCTTCAGCGGAAATCAATTCTTCAAAGGAAATCGATGGATTGCAAAGCTGAGATTGTCAAAAATCGGACATATGCTGCACGTCAAACGATGTGTTTACAATCATAGACGGTCATCACCAAGCCTAAGCTAAGATAAGAATTTATTTTTCAAGTTGACGGCTTAAGAGGAGCTAGATCTGTCAAGTAAAAGTTAATTACTTTTGCATTTCTCGAGACTTCATCTACGAGTTTGTGATAGATGTGGACAACGCCGGAGTCCTACTAGAAAAGGCAAAGTCGACTTTTGTAAATATCCGGACAAATTGTCTACATTTTAATACTGATTTTCAAGTAGCCTTTTCGAGAACTGTTTAACCACCCCCCCCCCCGATAAAAAAGGCCTTGTGACGCCATTGGGAGATTTAAACAATCTGCCGCCCCATCCCCCACCCCTTTCCTGCAAAACTTTCTGGATCCGCCCATGTATAAACTTATAACCTTTTAAGGTCGTTTTCACTTGAGCCTGACTGTACAGTCCGGCTCCGGCAGTGGTGCTAGCAGCAACCTGAAAACTGTACTCGGTGAGCGGGGATAAACCCTGGATGGTCACCGATTCCTCTGATGTCACTGACTGAACGACTTCTGTAGATGGTGGGCCTACTTCAGTCAGGATGTACGTGTAGCCTGTGATGATACCACCTCGGCTTCCACAAGGTGGCTTACTCCAGGAAAAACTCAGGCTGGTTGACGTCACCGAGGTGGAATTCACTTCAGTTGGGGACTCAGTTGGCTCTAAAATAACCAAGAAATAGTCAAGATTAAATTCTCGCAAATGACCCATAAGGGAGACAGGTTTTGCTCAACAAAAACACTTGTACCTTAAGTAGACAAGTTATTAGAGAGATATTTGAATGTCTCCAGAATATTTTAAGTCCTGTTTCTAGGTAGATGTTTAATGTCACAAATAGCTTCAATCGATTCCTTGTGAAATTTACAAAGTTTGATGAGGGTAGGTTAAGTGTCATTAAAGTTCGGTTCGGATTGTACAAAGAATTATATTTCATATAACTCTTGATGTAAAACTCGTTGAAAAGTTTTTTAGATTAAATAACCTTGTATTATGTAATTAATGCGTCGAAGACATTTGCTTTTGTGCGTCGAGGTGACACAAACTAATTATGGCAAACAATTCCATTTCAAGAAAATTTGAAAGCATAAAAACTCACTTGTTATTGGTGGCTTGGTCACCTCAGGTCCCTTTACATCACCAGGGTACAACGGCCGAATGTAAACTCTGTAGTTCAGTGTAGACTCTAAGCCAGTTATGAAATGGAAAGTTTCTTGTATCGATTCTTGAGCTATAGTGTCTTCACACTCATCCGTGGTTGTCAATTCGTAGCCAGAAGAGCAAGGATCTGGTTGCCAGGCAACAAACAGTTGATGAGGATCGCCTGACGACACCTCCAGCCCAAGTACGCCATTTTGAGCTGATGAAAAATTGCGACGAGTAAGGAACACGTCAAGAACATTACATAATAAATAAGTATATAATCTGCATGCCTTGGACAGGTTTTCGGCATTTCCGAATCATAGTGTTATAACACTGTTAATTCTTTGGAAAGTTTACTAAAATAATATTTCTTACTTGTGCACTGGCAGTTACTTCCAAAATATGGTGCTTCGCAGCCTGAATAAAAAAATAAAGAAAACACGTGATTAGATTAGTGATTATGATAATATAAATATGGATTGCTGTTTACAAAAATGGGCAATGTAAATTATTTTAAAGATGAAAGGCAATTCCTCATCGGAAGACACACTCACCATTGCTGCATTCTCCTGTATCTTTACTGCAGGTTCCTCCCGATGCACAGTGACATGTCTGCTTACAGTCAGCACCAAATGCTCCTTCAGGGCATTCTGACGAAAAAAAATAGTTCTCCATAAAGAAACCACTCAATTAGGATATTTTGATAACAACTTAACTATAATTAAGTAAAATGACACTAATGACTGATACAAGCCAAGCTACCTTACCTTGCATACAGTCAAGTCCCATGTAACCTGCAGCACACGAGCATCCATAAGGATCAGGAAGACAGAACAAACGCCCTCTGCAAGCCTCGCGGTGTGGATCAGTGCTACCGAGACACCTCTGATCGGCAGTCTTACCAAAGACCTTACGACCATGGGCTGCAGTTTCCATAAAACATTACACAGAAACGAAAACTTTTAAAACGTAAAGTGACATTTAAATATGTACCTCAGTACTTTTACTACCGCAAAATATCTGGTTAGGCCTGACAGACTTGTTCTGAGATGTGCTTCCTTGCAGAAGCCATAAATTACGTTCGTTATTGTAAAACAATTCTGGGCTTGTTTGTTTTATAGTTTGCTGCCTGCCATTTTTCTTCTGGAAGGCCTCCAACTCTTTACCTTGCTCGCAATTATCTCCACTGAACCCCGGAGCGCACACACAGGTACCAGACTCGTCATGACATACACCGCCATTGTAGCATCGACGACAGGTTTTCAGACATGATGGTGGGTCCCAACGTCCAGAAGGACAATCTATAGTATTAAAGAAGCGAAAGCACTTCCAATTTTGAATCTTAGAAATTGAACAAAATGAATTCCACCAAGTTTACAAATATATAAAGAACAAACAAGCCCAATTTTGTTTAGAGACTCAATGTAGAGACTCTCCAACCGACCTCTAACTATGAGCCTCATGATTCCATGCAGTTGCTCCTCCTCTTGATCTGAAACGAAGCAGCTGTATACTCCATCATCATCCTTAGCGACAGTCGATATCAGTACACTCAGGAGGTCGCGCCAAGTATCAATGACGTCACCCCCATCACGTCGCCATCTGTAGTTGGTGTTTGGTGAGTTTACGTCACGCATTTGCAGCACCACAGAGTCTCCGATGCTTGCTGTTTGCGTCCGCACAACGGGACGTATATGAACGGTGCTTTCTGAAAAGGCAGTAAATTTAAATCACCAGAACACTTGCAAAGCAAAAATTCAAGAATTGTTGTTGATCATGCACAAAAACAGCAAATAATAGTACCATTGTTTCCTTACCGTTTTTCGATAAAATGACGGTCTGTATCCTAGTAGTGATGTCATTGCTGATCGCCTCAGAGTAGAAGACGCCTGTCCTGTCAATCCCACCCTCCTCTGGTAATCTCAGGATCAATCTAGCTGCACATCCTGTAGACGGATCAGACGATACCATAGATCCTGAGGGAAGTGCTCCGCTATTCCCTCTTATTGTTAGTTGGCGGCCGAATGAGACACTGGCAGTGATGTCATCAGGACCTTTGTACGCTGTGATGCTTGCATCATTGTCTCCAATGAGAGCAGGATTTGTGACCAGAGTAAAATCTATACCGCTGTCTGTCCAAAAAAAAAATCCATACTGAAGTTTCATTATTGACCAAAACAAGTTTCATTTGACCAATTATTTTTAAACCGGCCAATTATTTTTAAACTCAGGTCAGATCTGAACAACTTTTTTCTTCATTTTTTGGTGACAGCATACTGGCCATTCATGGTGCTGTCAACAACATAAAGTACATCTGGCAAAAATACCTGTTTGCTGGAAATCACATGTAATCACCGTCACTTCGCATAGTCCGAGTCTCGCCATTCCGGGGATATCGACGCTAACATACCGGGCAAGTACAGGCGGATCGCAAGTAAACTCTGCGAATTCGTCGGTTTCAGCTTGGACTTGACTCACTGGAGTTCCACACATTACATTATTGGTATGTCTGTCGCTCAGCCCTGCCCTTACAACACCATCCTGTAAATGGGGTCCTTAATTAAAAATATATATAAATTTAGAAAAAACTCTATTAATCATTAATGTATTGTAAGTTATAATGTATTTACTCTGATGAGTGTCAGAACTATATATTCCTATTTGCAATTTCATTTGCACTGATCATTTAATGTGGAAAAAAACAGAAAGAGGATGTGATAGTTTTTTTAATACGAACTTGATATACCAAAACAGCTACGAACAATACACGACGTTGACCCCCAAAATGTTACACAGAAGTTCTAAATAAACTCAGTTGGAAAGTTCAAGACATACAACCTTATCTTACCGTTGACAGAGGGACGAACTCGGATTTTTCCAAGACACTGACTTGCTTTGAGGTCCAGCTTCCACCATGGGTTCATTTCTTCCACTAATATTCGAAAATATTTTGGAAAAAATCATACCATAATGTTTCACCATTTCAAGTGGCGCAATAACTATGGTGTCTGATTCAGGGATTCCGGACCTGTTATTTTATTTTCTCATTAGTTGGTCTTCAATGGAGTGTTCAGACAGAGAACCATTAAACTACAATATGGCACAGCGCAATACAGCTATATTCATGCACTACTATTTGAAAAGGGGTATACCCGATGTTCCCCAATACCTTTGTTCCCCAAAATCCTTAGGGTTAGTGTTACTTTAGGGGTAGGGTTGGGGAACATAGGTATTGGGGAACAGTATATTGGGTAACATAGATATGCACCCTTTGAAACCATGCGTCCATAAAGAGACTCGTGAAAGATCATGCTTGGTCAAGGACGGGAGGCTCAGGCTCAGCACAAGATGTTAATTGTAATTTGTTGAGGATAAAGTTTCTGGAATAGGTGAGTTTTGGTGGAAGCCGTGTATCTGACAGCCTCGGCGATTATCAATATGGGAGGGGACCAGCTGTCCCGCCCATGGCCATTGTAGCTTACTTACTTGTCCGGCTGCAGTACGGTTCCCCTGGAAGGCTATCTACAGCTTTACCAGGGATGAAACCATCTGTTGAGCTTTGAGTGCTGGGCTTGTCAGTCAAATTGAGGGCTGCATGATACACCATTCAGAATAAAAAAAAATGAGTATTTTGAAGAAAAAAAACCAACAATTTTTGGCTGCAACAGTTTGACTTACATGTAAGCATTATAGAGGGTGTGTAACCTAAACCGTGACTTTATTGCGGGATGTGGCCAAATGTGGCTTTTTTAATTTGGCATTTTTTATCTCTAAAAACCGTTTTAAGACAATCAAAACTGGTAAATTTGTAGCGTCTCGAGGCGCCTTTATTCATCACGCGTTGACATGGCACGAGAAGCCACGTTTTAGGGCCTATTATTTTAAGAGTTGCATAAGTGAACAGGAACATTTGGCAGTTAAGTACTTTGCATGAACATCGCGCTATTGAGAAAATGGAAATAATTGTTGATCCCTTAAGGATGGGAGACACTGCATTATTAATTTGAAAACGTTGCCTCATTTAAATCCATACGTCTTTCACTGTCAAAATTAATAATAAACATATATATCACAATTTAATCCCGACTTTAGGTTTACCTGCTGGATGGAGTTCACATGGCCATACCATTACTTCAGCCAGTGAAAGCCAGGTTTCTCTAGGAATATCGACGCTAACATACCGAGCAGGTCTGGAGGGATCACAGGTGAATTCAATCCAATCATTGATTAAGGCTTGATACAGGCTTACTGGTGAACCACACGTCGGGTTATCAAGATGTGCATCACTCAGGCCAGCACGGACAACAGCACCTTGTAAACGTAATCTAACGTCGTCTGAAATTAAAAACAAAAAAAATAAGAAAGACATAAAAATATGCATTACTTTGGTACATTCTGAGGGATGATTTAAATACGCAGTTTAAAAAAAAAATCAGTTATATGTGATGTTTTTTTTCAGCTTTCAGTTGGGTCATAATTTGTGGTACTTGAAACACTGTCAGTTAGCTCACTCCAACCGTTGCAGTTAAATAAATGAGGTGTTTACGTACGTTCAAGATGATCTGGATTCCTGATGGCAATTTTCCCAATGCAATGAACAGAAGTCATGTCTATCTTCCACCAGGGATTTTGATCTAAATCTGAAAGACAAAAGTCAGGTAAAATATCCAAAACACACGTTGGCAACAAATAACTACTCTTAATTGAAAACCGGTTTAAGGGGAAACGCCGAAAAATTATTGGAATACTTGTGACTTTATTAAGAAGTTTTGAAATGAATGAAGACAAAAGGGATGAGCTGGAAGAAGGGTTGGTGGTACGGGTGTTTGCATGCAGCGCCATACGCCGGTGCGAAATGCGAATCCACTTTCACGTCATGAAACATTCTCTGAGAGTTCGACAGATTTGAATGGCCCCATTCGCGAATTCGCAGCGCGAAAACGTGACGTGACGTCACAAATTCGTATTCGCCCTTTCACGCCAAGTATGCATCGGGTCAATTTGCAAATTTTACGTTAGATTAAAATGCATGTTAATCTTCGATTAATGAGTGCTCGAAATCATTGAAGTTATATCGTTGTGAATGAGTACATTTTGTCAATGACATTGTTTAGACAAACTCAAAGTTTCGTGCACAGTAGTTTGGAATTTAACTGAGGCGTCATATTTTGTTGGAATTATATTTTAAGGCAATATCAAATGGAAGTCGTTGAAGTTACCTGTATGACTACAGTGGGCGACATCATAACCATACAGTAAAGATCCATCCACAGCTCCTGAAGCATACCAAGTACCAGAACTATTAGAGTAATCGGAGCTCTGGCTGCTTGGGAGTCCCGTTAAATTCAGGGCTGCAAGAATAACAGGAAAAGAGGACTGCAAAGCCATTCATTTATTTACAGAAACAAACTTCAATATCGAAAAAAGATCATTTGGCATCGCTGATATGATATGTATGGTATTATGTCATGATTCAACACATTCACATCATCTAGTGATGCTGCTTAATGAAGTATACTTTGTTCAAAGATGAATTGAAAATTGATATTGTCAGATTTGTCTCTTTTTTCTCTTAGATTATGCAGATTTTATTTTTTTTTCATTCATTTCTTTCTGGTAATGAAACCAAGGATTCCTCAAAAGTACCCTAAGCACTGTAGCTCGAAAGCCCGAAGAAACATGCAGAGAGAATACAATGAGAAGCAAATACAGTTTTAGAGGTGGGAGGAAAACCCCAGAAGAATGTTCTGAGGAAAACCCATAGAATCAGGCAGGGACTGAAAACCCAATCCACATATTGGCCCGGGCAGGATTCAAACCCGGGTCACAGCGGTGGAAGGCGAGGAAAGTACCGCTACGCGAACCTGACTCCCCAAATAGATAGTTTTTACAGCACATCTGATCCTCCTTATCCCACCTGTTGTTGTGTCAGTCTTGATCGTATCCGTGGTAACCTCTTCAATCATGACTTCAACCAAGTTGAGTATGGTATTAATCCCGTCAACCCGACCACTTCTAGGGATATCCACGCTGACGTATCGTGCAGTGACGTAGGGGTCTGGTAGGAAATCAATCACAGCTCCGCTTATAGCGTCATCATAAGCAACCCGTCCTACCTCTGGGTTCTGCAGGTGATTGGAGCTCAAACCAGCACGAATTACACTACCGTGCAATCGACGAGCTGCAACAAAATTGATAACAATGATCAATAACATGTATAAAGTACTAGCAAACAGTATTATTTTTATTTTGACTGAATGCCTTCTTAATTTGAACGTACTTTTTCTGAACTATTCAAATTGGTTGTTTCTCATTTTGAAGTGTTTGTCCTAAGCCTGCATATCTGTGTGTAACGTAATGTCCGTGGGGTACCTAATGTCTAAGAAATAGCTAGTCATGTCTATAGACCATAAACGTAGCGGCCATCTTAGAGGGCATCTGGTTTGATTTAATTCAGTAATAATGAATACACACAAGGTTCACTATCATAGCATATCCCAGCAAAACAAAGACATTGCCCTCTAAGGTGGCTGCTACGCAAAAGGTCTATAATAAGTCACAATTATAAGATTTGAGGCTTTGCATGGTGGAGTATATCAATCGTTTCGGTTTGCGGTAACACCATGTGGTAACACCATAGCCCCAGAGAAACACTGGTACACCCGTCGTATCAGAGAAGCTATTGAGATCCACAAACATGACACTGTACCACAAGACATCGGCTATTTCATAAGCAACATATGGCATTCAATAATACCAATATCATTTCGGTTTGCGGTAACACCATGTGGTAATAACTACTGCTTAGAAGATATTAGTTCTGAAAAGAACTTGTGCTGCTTATTATCAACTTTGCTAAGTAGTTTTTGTTCTGATAAGAACAGTCCTGCTGTAAGTTCTGAACGAACTTGTCTTTGGTCTTAACGTTTCGACTAGCCTGCTCTAGTCTTCGTCAGGAGAGCAGTCTCCTGACGATGACTAGAGCAGGCTAGTCGAAACGTTGAGACCGAAGACAGTCTCCTGACGATGACAAGAGCAGGCTAGTCGAAACGTTGAGACCAAAGACAAGTTCGTTTAGAACTTACAGCAGTACTGTTATTATCAGAACAAAAAACTACTTAGCAAAGTTGATAATAAGCAGGACAAGTTCTTTTCAGAACTAATATCTTCTAAGCAGTAGTCATTACCACATGGTGTTACCGCAAACCGAAACGATACCGATACCCCACCATGCAAAGCCTCAAATCTTATATCAATAATACCAAGTTGCAACACTCATAGCTCACAGCCAACTGACACACCTGAGCGAGCAGGACACTCAGCTGGCATCCCAGTTCAACACAATTAATGCCCAGGGCTCACAGCCAACTGACACACCCGAGCGAGCAGGGCATCCCATTCTAACACAATGCCAACAGACAACCAATTAGAATCCACCACTGCAAGCACCCCCAATCCTAACACAGCCTACTTAAGGAGTAGCATCTACAACTCTCTCCAGTCTCCTGACGATGACTAAAGCAGGCTAGTCGAACTGTTCTCATCAGACCAAAAAAAAAACTACTTAGCGAAGATGATAATAAGCAGGACAAGTTTTTTTTCAGAACTAAATATCTTCTAAGCAGTAGTTATTACCACATGGTGTTACCGCAAACCGAAGGTCACAATTAGTTAAGCAGCTCACACGACCCGATTTCAATCAGCTACCCATCCAAATATCAGTTGAAAAAAATACACAGCACTTACGATTCTGGGAAAAAACATCGTCTATTCTGTTAACCAGAGTAATTTTCCTTAAGCAGTAGACAGCCCCCAGGTCCACTTTCCACCAGGGGTTCGTTTGTTCCTCTAGGGAGGCATACCCTGCGTGAATAGAAAAAAATATGTAATTCATTTGATCAATTAGTCACGTTCATTCTCAGTCTATTAACCAGACTAATTTGCTTCAAGCAGTAGACCCAGGTCCACTTTCCACCAGGGGTTCGTAAGTTGCTCAACAGTGTCAAACGCTGTGTGAATAGGGGAGAAAATATTGTATTAATTAAATGTGATAATTATACGTTCCTTCTGTGTTTATTGTTTTAACCAGACTCATTGTCCTGACGATTTACACAGTTTTCCTTGGTTTCTCTTCAATTTAAAGTATGTGCTTTAATTTGTGGTAACATTCTTCTAAATTTCTTTAAAATTTCTATAACGTTTTGTGATTTTTCGCAAGCAGTAAAAAAATAAATAAAAAAGGTTCATTTTCCACCATGTTTGGGTTACTTTGTCAAGTTTTGAGTGTTGTATCCTTTGTGAATGGGGACAAGTTTCAATCAAAGAATCACTCTGGCTTCCCCCCCCCCCCCCCCCCCCCCCTGTGTATTCTGTTAACCAGCAGAGTGATCATTCAAGTAGTTTTACTCTCTAATTTCCAAAGAGTGAAATTAGGGACTAGACGTTTTAGAGTGAAAAAAAAACCACTTCAGTCGAATCTCGAATGAAAACTCAATCTTTACGATTGAAGAAATTTTACTCTAAAACGTCTAGTCCCTAGTTTCCGACTGGAAGTAAATGTTAACTCGAATGGAGTGAATTTTCACTCTTTGGAATTTAGAGAGTAATCGACATCCTCCATTGACGGAATAGCACGAGCAACATTCACAAAGTTGCACGAGGTTGTTTTATCTACCATAAGCTAGCTTTATCTCTGTTAATGTCTCAAGTTAAATATCTTTCGGGATAGAATCAGGGTAGCTAAGTTTTCTTCTTCAAACATTAACAAGCTTTTGTCACGTTTTGCGTTTGTAAACAGATTTTGTCAACTTTTGTCAAGGTTTTGTGGTGCGACGTTTGAAAATATGCTATGAGCACACATTCTGGAATTTGTATCCTTGTGGAGTAATTTCTTTGTTCTCGTGTACTAAAGTTTTCGAGTTCGAAAGTGTAGGCCTATTTTCAAAATGCTCCTATTTAAACCAGAATTCCTGGGCTGAAATTCGGGCTTAATATCCCTTACATAAAATACTTCAATTTGCGACCAATCAACACACCTTGGAAATTCCTAGTTTTTGAGTAAATTCCCTATTTCGTGATAACCTTGTGGAGACGTACTCGCCTATAGAAATTGCTCTGTGGAGACGTATACAATCTTTGTTCCCTATTGTGCACATGTCTCCAGAGAGTACCGTGTACCACAACTGTTTAACATCTCATGAAAAGAACAGTTCTTTCAGCAAGTTTATAGCAGTCACCTACAGAGGGGAGCACTAACCTGTGTGTGATGAGGTACCAATATCTCGATCCACAGCCTTCGAGGGTCTATAAGCTGGTAGTGAGGTAGAACTCTGACTCACAGTAGCTTTGGGGCCACGCAGATCAAGAGAAACTCCTTCAATGTAAAACAGTCAAGAAACGACTGTAGACCTAAGAGGAACTAACAGAACGGGGACGTGTGTTTCGTATATGTATGCGAGTCTTTCCTGATTCCTCAATGATTCGGGCCAGGTTCTCAAGTTTCGGGGAGAATTTGACTAGAATTTTAATCAAACCTGCACCCAGCTGACCCTAACTGTAGTAAGCTGAGTGCAAGTTGGACTGTTTATTTTTAGTCAAATACTAACCATGTGTGTTTTCGCAGTGCACATTTCTGATCAAAATGACGTCACACTTCTAAAGTACAATCTGCATGTTGCTGCTACACACTGGAACGTCTGATCATCAGACTAGTGGTCTCCTTAATTAACCCTAAAAAAAAATGTCGCTGCGTGGCAACCCCCGGTCCGAAATTTATGTTAAATTTAAGGGCTAAGGAGACCGCCTCCCTCAACTTTTCCGCAAAATACCCTTGCAACCAATCTTTTCAGGACCCAAGCTGTCCTGATTTTTAGCCTCGAGTCTTGCGTATCTTTTGATACCAAAAAACAAAGAAAAATCCGGCGCAAGGCGCCATGGAAGCTTCATTTTCCCAATACATGTATAGTGTAGGCTTACACAGAATTACCATTGGTGCATGTGAATAATTAATTAGCATTCATAAATACCTCAGACAGTTTAGCCATTCCTATTGGTCGAGAGCCCGTCACGTGGCCGGTATTAAACGGATGATAAAGACATGGCTAGCTGGTCTTTTCCAGTGTCACAATAAAATGTGGACTCCTAGTGTCACAATAAAATGTGGACTCCTAAAAATCCAGTGCCTCTTATCGTTTCATTGGTTGAACGTTCACAATCCTCACGTAGGCATGCGCAACACTACCAGGGAGTTAGAATTTTATAGTTCTAAATTCAAAACGCAACGCGCCAGGTGCGTTCTGCGCGACATCGCATAGAACATGATACGCGCGCGTCAATCTCCATAAAAGGGTTGTTTTCATCTTACTCGCCAGCTGAACACTCCATTATTTTGCAGGAGGGATGATTCAAAAAGCATAAAGTGAATTTGTTGAACAAAATCGGGATGTTTTGAACGAATTATATGATTTTTTTTTACCGAAAAGGTATTTATGAATGGGAATAAATATGTACTCCGTCGGTATTTATCACTCTGTTTAATACCACTTAGAGTCTGTGTGCTGATAATTACCCTCGCCTCCGGCTCGGGTAATTATCAGCACCCAGACTCTAAGTGGTATTAAACAGAGTGATAAAAACCTCCGGAACACACATTTATTCCCTTAATAATTCCAAAACCCTTTGACCTGTAGTCATGACATTTCTTGGGTATGTTCATATTAATGAGTTCCATGCATGTTCCGAGTTTCATAATTTTTCGTCAATCGATGGCCGAGATCTGAGGGGGAGATGGTCAAAATAACCCGGCTCATTTAGCGTTTTGTTTTGCCAATGAGGGGTGAGGCCCATCCGCTCGCAAGTCCACAGACGAATGTAATGTGATTCCACCCATAGTCAGGTGGCTTAGACCCAATATTTGACAAGATCGTGACCAACTGGTCCAAAGCACCAAACTTGGCAAATATGTTGTTATAGCCTTAAAGAAGATATTTTTAAGGGGTGACACCTGAAATTGTTTTGTGAAGGGTGCCTAATTTGCATTAATCGTTAATCCCTGTGTGTAATACATTATGAAGTTGGTCCACCCTCATCTGTGCAAGTTGGCACACAGAGATATTGTTTTTTTCACTTGGTTTCCTGGTATGTGTTGACATAATTCAATGATGATGATGCCACTTCAAGGTTGAGGGGAGGCATGTGACGTGTATCGATAATACTTTACAACAAAAAAAGCAGCAAAGATGGGGATTACATGACATACAGAATTAGTTACATGACAGGAACCGAATTTAAGAGGAAACATCAAACACATCCAAACTTATTTCCGTTTATTTTACCCATGCACTTGGCCCTTTCTCCAGTTTTGTTTTCTCATACAAAGCCAGCCGCAAAGAGGTCAGTAATGACACGAACATAATTTAAGGGGAAACATCAAACACATCAAAACTTATTTCCGTTTATTTTACCCACACTTGGTCCTCTCCAAATGTCTATTTTTTCTCATATTATTGCATATATCGTTTGCATTTATCCGAAAAGTAAATACTAACTAATTATCGACAAGCTTACTAAGTCTTGGATTATAGACTAGTACCGTACACCCCTTGAAATTTATTGTAGATGAATCCCAACGATCAGTTAATATTAACTGACTTTTGAAGAAAAAAAAGAGTGCTATTGACGAAATCGTGTGTCGCGATCATGTGTATTGTTTTTGTTTTTTCGAAAAGTGTACTATCCACTGAGCTGAAACTTCAACAGAATTTGAGTGGTGTTACCCGTTTTATTATTGGAAACAACCAATATGCATGAAAAGCAAATGACCCTAAAGGCTTTTTATAAGTCCATGCACACCCTGCCTATGGGGAAAAAAGATTCGAGCGTAGAAACCAGAGTCCGAACAAGCAACCTTGCTGGGGAGGGTGAGCTGGGCAAAAAAAACCAGGCGATCTATGCCCAAACTCGAGCGGATAACTTAAATCTCCTTTACCTTACCGCTTCTGCTTCACCTCACGGTTCATCCCTGCCAAAGCCGGTGCAGCATGATTTTAGGTTTTATGAAATACGGACTCATTGGTGATATTGCGCATGCTCATTCATAGATAATTAGGAGGGGGACCGGTCTCGTGAGAGGGTTTAACCAATAAAAGGAAAAAGAGAGTCCGATTTCCATACGAGTCCGATTTTCATATGACACTGGATTAAACTTCTGATGTATACTCTGCCGCCCTCTACGTCGCTAGCGGTGCAAATAGGTTGAAAATACCAAAAGCGAGTATGTAGGCCTACATCATCATCTAGTATAGCGGTCGCAACCGGGATCTCGTTCACAACGCCTCGCCATACTTTGCTTTATTTATTCGAATGCATGCACATGTGCTGCAGTGGTCTGCGTGTGCGTTGTTGATTTGATTTTCTCAATACATGCACATGTTTTTGATAAAACCGAAATTCAAGGGAATAATACGAAAGCCCATTAGCGCCACTGCAAGTATATATGTTACAGATTGTGTAATTCGTTATTACGGATTATTAATTCGTTATTACGGATTACTAATTCGTTATAACGGATTATTTATTCGTTATTACGGATTATTTAATTCGTTATTACGGATTACTAATTCGTTATAACGGATTATTTAATTCGTTATTACGGATTATTAATTCGTTATTACGGATTATTAATTCGTTATTACGGATTATTAATTCGTAATTACGGATTATTAATTCGTTATTACGGATTATTTAATTCGTTATTACGAATTAGGTCTGATGTTCTCACACGTGGAGAGCACGTGACCAGGGGCCTGTGTATATAGGGCCGCTAGGCGGCGCTATCTTTGCATACAACGTTTGCACTCCTGTGCCATACTTGCCGAGTATGACTCAGTAATCCGTAATAACGAATTAATAATCCGTAATAACGAATTAAATAATCCGTTATAACGAATTAGTAATCCGTAATAACGAATTAAATAATCCGTAATAACGAATTAGTAATCCGTAATAACGAATTAATAATCCGTAATAACGAATTAGTAATCCGTAATAACGAATTAAATAATCCGTTATAACGAATTAATAATCCGTAATAACGAATTAAATAATCCGTTATAACGAATTAGTAATCCGTAATAACGAATTAAATAATCCGTAATAACGAATTAATAATCCGTTATAACGAATTAGTAATCCGTAATAACGAATTAATAATCCGTAATAACGAATTAAATAATCCGCAACATATATACTTGCAGTGGCGCTAATGGGCTTTCGTAGAATAACGACCCACATCAGTTGAAACGATTTTTGCGCAGTGATCGTGGGGCACGGTTGTCGGTTTGTGCGGTCGCAATCGGTTAATATAATTATGTAACGTTGTAAATTGCATATAGTTGTCTCTAGGCTCGGTACTTCCCTGGCACTGCATTTACATTGCTAGCACATTTACCCGGTTCAAAATAACCTGGGACCATTTTTTGTCATTATAAATTGATAAACAATAACAAAACTTTACAAATTTAGTAAATTATTATTAGCTTTATGCCATTTATGATTAAAATCATTTACGCCCGTTATCATTAAAATCATTTACTCCCGGTATACTAATACTACGCGAGTATAAACGCAAATATGTTTTACGATTTATGAATGTATGTATTGTCTTTCACCTCGCTTTCTTCTTGGAGAACCAAGACAATACTGTCACCAAAGTATGCACAGTTTCTATTTGCTAATAATGTGCGCTTCCATGTACTATTCATCGGGTGATGATTGCCCTATCCGAGGACCGAATTCTCTGCTAAACTTACACAATTATATTCAAATATTGGACCGAGCGAGCACAGATTATACACCGTCTGGGACTCTCCAAAGCTAAGCATGTGTCAAAGTGTGCGTCTGTATTTTCGACTTTCCTGCCTATATTCTTTTCCCCTCATGATAGTCAGGTGGCTTAGACCCAATTTTTGATACGATCGTGACCAACTGGTCCAAGGCACCAAACTTGGCAGATATGTTGTTATAGCCTTAGATATTTAGAAGGGGTGACCCTGAAATTCTTTTGGGAAGAGTGCCTAATTTGCATAAATCATTCATCCCTACCGTGTAATACATTTATTCCCATATTTGAGTACATTTTTTTTTTAAAGTATAATTTGGGGATTCCACTTACACCTCCTTACGTCAATAACATGTTCTAAAACATTTAAGACTGACTGGATAATTATGAGACGATTCAAAATGGCTACTATTATACTCTAAAGTTGCGCTCATTAACCTTGTCTCCAGATATCATCAAGTAGTCTTGCCAAATAGTATTGATGAGCTTCAAATTCATCAAGTTACTTACTGGCACAGTAACTCGATTAAGACTTCATGGAAAATCATGTGGACAATGATAACATTGTGATATTTAGCCCAGAACACAAAAACGGGGAGCTTGATCAAGTCCCCCACGTCAGGCTTCAAGTAATTTTTAGCCCAATTTACGGACACCTCATTTTCCCCCTTTTTGTTTTTGTGGGCTAAATATCAAGATAATATAATTTTTCACATGATTTCCCATTTATTTTTGTAAGGATAGCTGTGTCATTAAGTAACTTTGTGAATTTGAAGTTCATCAATACTGAGGTTTGGCAATACTACTTGATGATATCTGAGGGAAAAGGAAATGCGTGCAATTTTAGGGTATACGCCATTTTGGATCTTTATTATGTCCTCATAATCTTCAAGTCTCCGATATTCTTTAGAAAATGTTATTTATTTAAGTAAGGATATGTAAGTAAAATCCCCAAAATATACTTTTCAAAAATAAAATTCTACCCAAATATTTGGGAATAAATATATTACACGACAGGGATTAACGCTTTATGCAAATTAGGCACTCTTCCCAAAAGAATTCCAGGTATCACCCCTTCTAAATATCTTCTCTGGGGCTATAAGAATCTATCTGACAAGTTTGGTGCTTTGGACCAGTCGGTCACGATTCCAACCGTATGCAACCTGACTACCAATGAAATGAGACAAACAGTTTCAGTCATGGTTTAATACTTCGCGGTCACATCGCACAGTCACACATTGTATATGCACACGAAACAGAGGAGAAATACACTGAAGTAATCTACAACTTCCGGGTGAAGTTGTATAAAGTTAGAAGGATTTTCCCTACCTTCCTTGAGGCTGAAGACAACGAAGGCGACCAGAAATGTGCCAAAATCATCCCTGAACATCATGGTAATATCTCCCAGTGAAAGATGAAAACGATCCTTATAAAACTGGAAAAACAAACGCTGTTTTCACAGCTTGTCCGATATTTCCCGATGTAATCCGCCTTGCCTATAAATACAGGCAAAAAATTAATACACGGCCAAGTTCTAGTTCTGATGGCCCATTCATGCATCGATGAACAAACAAAAACCGACCGATCCTGCGACTTTGCACTACATAATATGCACATTCACAACAGTATTTTTTATCGTTCGACTTCCTCGTTCGTTGCTTCGTTATCATTGATCATAAGGTCGAAAACCTACGCCTTATTAAGCTCGGGTCATCATACTTCACGCGAAAGTGAAAGCGAAGCGAAATTCGTGACGTCAACAATACATTCAAAGTAAGATTTGAGGCTTGGCATGGTGGAGATACTAAATAATGAAAGGTTTGCGGAAACACCATGTGCGAATAATTCTCAACTAAGAGAATGGTTCTGAAAAAGAACCAGAGGTATCAGAGGTACCAGAGGGGAAAAATACATTCAAAGCGCGTCCACTTTTGTTGAAGGCGACATGAATTTCGTTTCGCACATGCGTTCGCGTGAAGTATGAACTAGGCTTTATACAATAACTCTACGGCTTTCTACTACATACTAGTCTCCTGAAAGGGGGAAGCGGGGGGCTCCTGAGGGCATTGCATTGGAAATTTAGGGGAGGGGGTGATCAAGTGCCCCAGCCCCCCTTGGATATGCTACTGATGTCCCCTTCCACTGGAAATGGTATTTAACATGTGAAAAAAGCATTATTGTTATTATTAGGCTCCGCCTAGGGGTAACCGCATTAAAAAATGTGTGAGGGCGCTGTTCATTTGGTGACCTTTTTTTCTGAACAGCAAATTGTGATTAAGGGAATCATTGTGTGTTTGGGAGGTGTTAAACACTATATTTAAGACTGGTTGGAGTCCGGGATGCTGATAATTACCCGAGACGAAGCCGTGGGGACCGGGCGCACCTCTATACGTTCCCGTCATGCCTCGGTGAAAAGTTTCTCCGGAAACAGCCGAGACACTTTCGAACGAACTCGGCCACACTCGGCTCGGGTTTCGATGCGCGTAAACTAGTAAAGGGGTTCGTTTTTCCTTTTCCTGTTACCCTTTTTCCATTTTTGTTTTGGGAAAACTTTGTGGTAGCTTATTGTCTGTGTACCTCCTTTTCTCTTGACGATTTCAAAACGGTAATTGATTGGACTTTAATACACGGATCGAGCTATAGCAATAGGTCCTTATATTTTTTAGTGGGGGGGGGGATAACAAAGGTAAAAGATTATTTATTTCAAGTGCGCCCTCTTTCGTTAAATGTCCGTTCATTTGTATGGTTTCCGCCGCACCTATCTTGTGCGTGCATGTATTTCCCAATGGTATACCGGTACGATGTGTTGTTGGCCAGACGTTTTTGCTTTATTGTGAAGTGAAACAGCAAAAAGAGAGCCGTACTCGCTCTCAAACCCGGCGAAATTGTGGCGTTTTTCAACTTCTTCAGCACATTCTTTGCCAGTATGGTGAGTTGAGATTTGTTCAGTGTCTCGTTGAGAATCGTTTGGTGAAGTAACACTGTTAACAAAATTGCCCGAACCTGAATGCAAGAAAAAAAAGGGAATATCTTATCCTGGCCCAATTTCCGGACATCGAGCTACATGTATACATGTAGTTTTTATACATGGCTGTGTGACAATGTAAAACCTGATCTCCATGAACCACTTACAAACATCTCCCACTGACGGTTTACTAGCATTAGCGATATAATTTATGTCCGTGAATTCTAAAAGTGATGTTTGATTGTGTGAAACCCCTCACCACAATATTAGCACTGCAGTTTTGGAAAGATTTCCATATACGAACATGACGAAGTTCACTCAACACCCTGTGTACAAACCCTATGCGTTTGGACTGAAAAATTTTAGGCCGAGTAAAAAAAAAAATAGTTTCTCGTCCGGGGTTTTTGAAAAAAGGGAGGAAGCGGGGCTTTTTATTTTTTATTTTTTATTTTTTTCAAGATGACCGCCTTTTCAAAATTGCCTGCAACCGTTGGTGTTCCACTGTTCAAAGACACTTTTAAAGATGAAAGACAAGTTGGACAAGAGAACTGAACATATTTACAGTGTCATTTAGAGTTGAATTGGTATTGGTATTTATTTTCCGATGAATTTGTAGACTTTTTCGGTGTTTTTCTACTACATTTTTCAAAAATGAAAAAAAATTTAAAAATCCAGGTGGCCTCCAATAGGAAGCGGGTGGGGACGAGAAACTTGGTTTTTTTTTTTACTTCGCCTTAAGTGTTTTCTAAGAAAATGCTTGTATTTTCTCACTGCTCAAATTGACTTTGATGACATGAAATTGCTGTCTGGGGGCTTGTTAGTCAATACAGAGGACAATTAGTGAACTTCGTATATGGAAATCTTTCCGCAGTTTTAATCACCAGGCCTACTAGGCTACTGTCAGTGTCACTGAGTACTGGCCTAAGCCTGCTAAGGCCAAAAAAAATACTTCTGCTTCCGGTTTCCCTACCTACATGACCTAGGCCTACTCTATCATTGCCTACTGTGACAGCCCCTACTCTAATTTTTTTTATGGGAAAAATGAGAAAAAAATACCCAAAACCATCCATTTCTACCTTTTACCGTTGCCTACACGTAGACGCCTCCATAGGATCGTACACAAAATAAAATTGGCAAAAAAAATAATTCCCTACCTACCTATCCTATCCTATTTTCCAATGCTATGTAATCGGAAGCAGAAATTTTTTTTCTTTTCTTGTCCTAAAAATGATGGCGTTGATTACCTTTTTGGCTCGTTGTTTTCTGTTGTAATCTCGGTTTGTTCTCCAACCCCAAACATTGCCAAATGAGAAATCAACTGAAAGTCGTTGCTTTTCTGTTTACACGATGCAGGCTTCGTCAAAGACCCTCGAGATCACGCAAGAAGCTTGGCTGGATAAACTACAAAGTCTTCACATCACCCGGTCCGATATGAATAAACTGATCATGGATTATCTGGTGACAGGTCAGTAGAAAAAGGAGTCAGGATTGACATTGGGGTGGGAAGGGGGTTGAATAGTTCGGAAAGATTTCCATATACGAAGTTCACTCAACACCCTGTGTACAAACCCTATGAGATTGAACTGAAAAATTCTAAGTGTTTTCTTAGAAAATGCTTGTATTTTCTCACCGCTCAAATTGACTTTGATGACATGAAATTGCTATCTGGGGACTTGTTAGTCAATACAGAGGAAAATTAGTGAACTTCGCATATGGTAATCTTGCCAATAATTCTTTTGACCATAAAAATAAGTTGTTTTAGAGAGGTTTTCAACTGTTATTTGTTTTTGGTATTTATGTTTGTATGGTTACATCACTGCAGATACAAGCTGTGAAAGATGGTTCAGTAAATGGAGGATAGCACAAGTAGAAAGTCAACTGTGATGTTTGACAGTGACCTCTCCACCCTAAATGAGTTGCATTATTTTGACCATCTCACAGCCGGGGGCTGGAGGGGGTGGGAATTCCATGGCATCCCCCTTCCCCCCTTTCCCCTCCTCAGTTCTCGGCCATTGAGTGATGAAAAATAATGAACATACCCAAGAAATGTCATGACTATAGGTTAAAGGGTTTTGGAATTATTAGCTAATTAATTATTCATATGCACCAATAGTAATTCTGCACGGTAACCCATGGTAGGAATTTTATATTTTGGTATCAATCAAATTAGGTTTTGCCCTTCAGCGACGTTTAAACACTGTATACTCAGTGTGTTACCTCCTGAGTGAAAGTTAAATCCGATTCAAACCGGCGAACCTATCCCGTTTGCTCGGTGGTTGATGAGTAGTAAGACATTTGCCCTAGAAAGCAGGAGGTCGTGGGCTCTAGTCCCATCGAGTGATTTTTTTCCAACTTTCACTCAGGAGGTAACACACTGAGTATACAGTGTTAAAATGTCGGTGAAGGGCAAAACCTAATTTGAATTATATCACCCGACGCAAAATTCCATCTCATAATAGTTTTTGGTATCAAATGATGTTCAATGATGTTCATGACTCGAGGCTCTGGTCGCGGAAAAGTTGCAAGGGTATCTCGGAAAAAGTTGAGTGGAGGAGGGGGGGGGGGAACTCACCCCCCCCCCCTTCCCCAGCCCTATGAGGGTCAAGTGCAAATGCTGAGTGTCGCACTGTATTGCCAATTATTCCTGTTACCGATTCTTTCCCTTCTCTTGCAGAGGGTTTCAAAGATGCAGCAGAGAAGTTTCAGCAGGAGTCCGGCACGCAACCAGCCACGACGCTGGACTCTATGAGCGAGAGGATACAGATCAGAGAAGCGATCCAAGAAGGCAGGATAGAGGAAGCCATTGGATTGGTCAATGATATCCACCCGGAGCTCCTAGATAATGACAGATATCTGTACTTCCATCTACAGGTGGGTGTCTGGGTTCCAAACCACCCTGGAAATCAGGGAAAGCCTGATTTTAAACGAGTTTTCATTTTTTTTCCAGTCAGGGAAAACTTGAGGAATTTAGGAAAACACTGTTCTGTGGGCCAATGGTTACTGTGTTCGACTTGTTTGCCGTGGTACATGGGTTCGGATCCTGACCATGGGAACATGTCGCTTGTGCTCTTGAGCAAGGCACTTTACCATTACTGCTTCGTCCTTCGGATGGGACGTAAAGCCGTAGATCCTGTGTGTTTTATAATGCACGTTAAAGAACCCAGTAACACTTATCGCTTAGAGAAGGGGTTTGCCCCGGTGTTTCTGGCAGTGGCTGCAATATGCGCCGCAGCACCTTGTAAACCCTTATAAAGTGCTACATAATGGTTCTCATATTACTCATGTACTTCATTCATCTAGTAATAGACATACATTGTAACTCCCAGTGCCTCCGTTGCGATAATGCCTGAATAGGTTTCTGCAATGTAGCCATACAGATACAGATACACTAAAAATCTGGGAAAACTCAGGGAATTTGACAGTGACCCAGAAGAGAAAGTTTTTTTCCGGTTTGGTGTATGTGCATCTTGTGCCATATGTCCATGTTGTGTTCATTGACTGACTGGCTGTGGTGGCTTTTTACTGTTGATGCAGTGTGAATATTACACATTTCTCCAGACAATAACTCGTGACTTCCCAGTAACTATTGCTCACGGAAGTTTGAAAATTTCTCAGGGACATATTAGGAAAAAGATTGTTAGATTTTTATCCAAGTTTTTTTCCGTGAGTATCCTTCATTAACTCGAACCCTTCCCTGAGCCTTCATAAATCCACCAGTATTTCTGGAGGATTTTTGGGAAGGCACTGCCCTGTCGTTTACAAAACGAGTTTTATCCCAATTGTGCACAAACCTTTTTTTAGCAAGAACACAAGGAGAATGGAAGCAATACATTTAAGAGTCTGGCCAAACTCTCTCTTTACATACTCTTGAGGGGGTACTTCTCACAAATGTCCACCGAGTTAACTTATATTAATGCTTTGGTGAACATTGCAAACCCACTTTGGGAAAATTGAAAAACTTAAAATTTTCAAAAGTAGCTGTGAAAAATATCCACTTCTTGCGTTAAGAGACTGTTTCGTTGCTCTCTTAATTGCAGCAACAGTACCTGATTGAGTTGATCAGGAATGGCCAGTTGGAGTCAGCTCTGGAGTACGCTCAGACCAATCTTGCCGAGCGAGGAGAAGAAAACGCTGAAATCTTGCCGGAGCTGGAGAGGACGCTAGCCCTCCTGGTGTTTGAGAATCCAGAAACGTCACCCTTTGCGGACCTCTTGCATCCCTCACAGAGACAAAAGGTGGGAAGATTTTTAACAGTGTAAACTCTGTCCCGAGCCCATATGGTCCATCAGGCCGGCGTTTATCTCCAGTTTCAGTGGCATGAAACCACTGAGAATATTTCTACTCCCCCTGGACAGGATGCCAGTCCATCGCAGGTTACTCCCCAGCTAATGCTGGTACCCATTTATACTCCTGGGTGGAGAGAGGCAAGTGGGGATAAAGTGCCTTGCCCAAGGACACAACGTATGGCCAGCAGCTGGATTCGAACCCCTGACCATCTGATCATGAGTCACGAACCCAAACCACTAGGCCACACTTCCCCACTTTTTAACAGTGTTCTTACCCCAAATCGATTTTGCCTTCTACCGATATGATTTTGCCCTTTGCCGATGAAAGTCAGACAAGAAAAAATTTAGGTAGCCTTAGAATTTAAGTCTGATTCAACATCAGCTGTTCTTCCCCCAAATTGATTTGCCTTTCACCGATATGGTTTTGCCCTTTGCCGATGAAATTCTTACAAGAACATTTTTAGGCAGCCTTAGAATTTAAGTCTGATTCAACATCAGCTGTTCAGAACAGCTGTTCGGAAAATTGCAACTGCATATTCAACGTCATCAGGTGCGGGTGCGCACAGTGTGCAAAATATTCTAAACACGCACGCATGTTGCTCGAAATGTCTTCGAAATATGGCGCAGCCGATGCGCGCCACGAAAATTTGACTCTCAAAATGCCGGTGCGCGTGACAATCTGTAGGGAGTGACGTCATTTGAGAGAGACCTACACAGTATATTACCATACACTGACGTATGCAATAGCTCTGTATACTCACCGTTGCCAAGGGCTTACAAGGAAACAGCTACTCGGGTGGGACTCGAACCCCAGACCTCCTGCTTACTAGTACAGATGTCTTACCACTCGACCACCGAGCTTGTTGGGTCGGCTGGCTGGTCCGAACTTCATGTTCATCCTTTGCTTTGTAATTCCTAAAAAGCACCTTCAAGTTCTTAATCTTCCTGTTTTCTCATCCTTCTCCAGGTCGCCAGCGAGCTAAACTCAGCCATTCTGGAAGCCGAGAGCCGCGAGTCGATGCCCAAGCTAGCCAACCTCCTCAAACTCCTCCTGTGGTCCCAAGAACAACTGGACGCCAAGAAGGTCAAATTCCCTAAGATGAAGGACCTGGCTAAGGGCGAGTTCCAAGGACCCAAATGATGAACGGAGTCGTCCTCCACTCAAAAGCCTACCCCCATGAAATCATAGACTGTGGATATTGATCACCTCTCGTGTCTCCTGTGACTCCTACAAGGAGAGCTAGATATAAGTGACTTATCTCCAAACACTTGCACCAGAGAACACACCGGCCAAAATAAAAGTTCTTGGGACGGAAACATTGAAGGGAGATGCAAACTCCTTCCCTTGGGAAAGAATATACGTACTCTGCGATCAGTGGCGGCACCAGACTCTACAATTTTTTATTTAGTTATGTGGGTTTTTTTTTGTGTGGGGGGGGGGGGGAAGTGGGGAAGAAGCAAAGATATATTTTGGGGGGCAGTCAAAATAATGTGATTTCCAAAAGCTAAGGCGCAAGTGATCCAATATCAGGTGTAAATACAACACAGTGGATATAGTTTGTTATAATGGTATGGGCCAACAGTGCCCCCAGGGAAAACAGTTCATCGACAACTGATGGGGCTACCCTGGTAAAATAACACAAAATAAATAAATAAATAAAGTGTGCACAGAACCAACATTTTACTTTCTACTTTCAACTATAGTTCTGATTCTGAACAGCGAAGGAAATGTACAGAATTAATTTCTACATCTGGGGTAGGGGAAGAGAAAAACGTGCCCCCCCCCCCCCTCCCCTTTAGCGCCGCCCTGTCTGCGATATTAATAGCCTTGCGTAGACCACAAACCATAAACGTGTTTTATGAATTACAGACTTGCCCACTTATGGTTTAAATTACGTGCATATTTAGGTACATTTGTAAATAATGAAGAGTAAAGCAACATGGACTCTGAGGAACTGTTGACAGAACGCCTTTCTGTCTTAACCACTTGACAGAAAAAAATATGCACAAATTTTATTATGTGATCATGTGACTTCAAATCACATGATTTAGATCACATGACTTTATCGAAATGAAGCCACACACAAGGATTCAACGTCTGTATGTATTAAACAATCATTAGTAAACTTTTTGTTAATAATTATATATTATTTTCTTTTATAATGTAAATAAGCTTTTTTTTGGTCTTTTTGTTCTGTCTGTATGCAATAATAAAAATTGTGTTAATGTCATTGTTACCTGCCCAGTAGAGATATTGATTTAAATAGCCCTTTGACATATTAAGTATTGACAGTTTTTTCCTTGATTTTTATTTTTGTCCATGCCTTACTTTAATAAGGGAATTTGGCCAGCCTCAAATGAATTTTGCCCAATTTTGAGTAAAATGCAAGGTTTACCCCTTACAATTTTTGATTTTCCAGAAAAAGTCACATTTTGCCCAAAATTGGAATTTCGTGGAAATGTTAAAATTGTAAGGGGTTAAACTTGCGCTTTCATCAAAATTGGGCAAAATTTAACTTTTCTGCTCAATTTAAAGTTGTAAGGGGTTAACCTAACATTCTCATCAAAATTTGGCAAAATTTGACTTTTCTGAGAAATTAGAAATTGTAAGGGGTTAACCATGCATTTCCATCAAAATTGAGCAAAATTTGACTTTTCTGGGGAATTTAAAATTGTAAGGGGTTAACCTTGCATTTTCATCACAATTGAGCAAAATTTGACTTTTCTGAGAAATTAAAAAATGTAAGGGGTTAACCTTGCATTTTCATCAAAAATTGGCAAAATTTGACTTTTCGGGGAAATTTCAAATTGTAAGGGGTTAAACTTGCATTTTCATCACAATTGAGCAAAATTTGACTTTTCTGGGGAATTAAAAAATGTAAGGGGTTAACCTTGCATTTTCATCACAGTTGAGCAAAATTTGACTTTTCTGGGGAATTTAAAATTGTAAGGGGTTAACCTTGCATTTTCATCCAGAATGGGCAAAATTTGACTTTTCTGAGAAATTAAAAAATGTAAGGGGTTAACCTTGCATTTTCATCAAAATTGGGCAAAATTTGACTTTTCTGAGAAATTAAAAATTGTAAGGGGTTAACCTTGCATTTTCATCAAAATTTGGCAAAATTTGACTTTTCTGAGAAATAAAAAAATGTAAGGGGTTAACCTTGCATTTTCATCAAAATTTGGCAAAATTTGTTTTTTCGGGAAAATTTCAAATTGTAAGGGGTTAACCTTGCATTTTCATCACAATTGAGCAAAATTTGACTTTTCTGGGTAATTTAAAATTGTAAGGGGTTAACCTTGCATTTTCATCACAATTGAGCTAAAATTGACTTTTCTGAGAAATTAACAAATGTAAGGGGTAAACCTTGCATTTTCATCAAAAATGGGCAAAATTTGACTTTTCTGAGAAATTAAAAAGTGTAACGGGTTAACCTTGCATTTTCATCAAAATTGGGCAAAATTGGACTTTTCTGAGAAATTAAAAAATGTACGGGGTTAACCTTGCATTTTCATCAAAATTTGACTTTTCGGGGAAATTTCAAATTGTAAGGGGTTGACCTTGCATTTTCATCACAATTGAGCAAAATTTGACTTTTCTGGGTAATTTAAAATTGTAAGGGGTTAACCTTGCATTTTCATCAAAAATGGGCAAAATTTGACTTTTCTGAGAAATTAAAAATTGTAAGGGGTTAACCTTGCATTTTCATCAAAAATGGGCAAAATTTGACTTTTCTGAGAAATTAAAAAGTGTAAGGGGTTAACCTTGCATTTTCATCAAAATTTGGCAAAATTTGACTTTTCGGGAAAATTTCAAATTGTAAGGGGTTAACCTTGCATTTTCATCACAATTGAGCAAAATTTGACTTTTCTGAGAAATTAACGAATGTAAGGGGTAAACCTTGCATTTTCATCAAAAATGGGCAAAATTTGACTTTTCTGGGTAATTTAAAATTGTAAGGGGTTAACCTTGCATTTTCATCAAAAATGGGCAAAATTTGACTTTTCTGAGAAATTAAAAATTGTAAGGGGTTAACCTTGCATTTTCATCAAAATTTGGCAAAATTTGACTTTTCTGAGAAATTAAAAAATGTAAGGGGTTAACCTTGCATTTTCATCAAAATTTGGCAAAATTTGTTTTTTCGGGAAAATTTCAAATTGTAAGGGGTTAACCTTGCATTTTCATCACAATTGAGCAAAATTTGACTTTTCTGGGTAATTTAAAATTGTAAGGGGTTAACCTTGCATTTTCATCACAATTGAGCTAAATTTGACTTTTCTGAGAAATTAACAAATGTACGGGGTTAACCTTGCATTTTCATCAAAATTTGACTTTTCGGGGAAATTTCAAATTGTAAGGGGTTGACCTTGCATTTTCATCACAATTGAGCAAAATTTGACTTTTCTGGGTAATTTAAAATTGTAAGGGGTTAACCTTGCATTTTCATCAAAAATGGGCAAAATTTGACTTTTCTGAGAAATTAAAAATTGTAAGGGGTTAACCTTGCATTTTCATCAAAAATGGGCAAAATTTGACTTTTCTGAGAAATTAAAAAGTGTAAGGGGTTAACCTTGCATTTTCATCAAAATTTGGCAAAATTTGACTTTTCGGGAAAATTTCAAATTGTAAGGGGTTAACCTTGCATTTTCATCACAATTGAGCAAAATTTGACTTTTCTGAGAAATTAACGAATGTAAGGGGTAAACCTTGCATTTTCATCAAAAATGGGCAAAATTTGACTTTTCTGGGTAATTTAAAATTGTAAGGGGTTAACCTTGCATTTTCATCAAAAATGGGCAAAATTTGACTTTTCTGAGAAATTAAAAAATGTAAAGGGTTAACCTTGCATTTTCATCAAAATTTGGCAAAATTTGACTTTTCTGAGAAATTAAAAAATGTAAGGGGTTAACCTTGCATTTTCATCAAAATTTGGCAAAATTTGACTTTTCGGGAAAATTTCAAATTGTAAGGGGTTAACCTTGCATTTTCATCACAATTGAGCAAAATTTGACTTTTCTGAGAAATTAACGAATGTAAGGGGTAAACCTTGCATTTTCATCAAAAATGGGCAAAATTTGACTTTTCGGGGAAATTTCAAATTGTAAGGGGTTAACCTTGCATTTTCATCACAATTGAGCAAAATTTGACTTTTCTGAGAAATTAACAAATGTAAGGGGTTAACCTTGCATTTTCATCAAAAATGGGCAAAATTTGACTTTTCTGAGAAATTAAAAAGTGTAAGGGGTTTACCTTGCATTTTCATCAAAATTGGGCAAAATTTGACTTTTCTGAGAAATCAAAAAATGTAAGGGGTTAACCTTGCATTTTCATCAAAATTTGGCAAATTTGACTTTTCGGGGAAATTTCAAATTGTAAGACGTAAGTCAATTTAAATTACAATTTAGAAATTCCAAGAAAAGTCAAATTTTGCCAAATTTTGATGAAAATGCAAGGTTAACCCCCTTCAATTTGAAATGTTCAAGAAAAGTCAAATTTTGCCCAATTTTGATGAGAATGCAAGGTTAACCCCTTACAATTTGAAACTTCCAAGAAAAGAGAATTTTTGCTCAATTTTGATGAAAATACAAGGTTAACCCCTTACAATTTGAAACTTCCAAGAAAAGAGAATTTTTGCTCAATTTTGATGAAAATGCAAGGTTAACCCCTTACAATTTGAAACTTCCAAGAAAAGAGAAATTTTGCTCAATTGTGATGAAAATGCAAGGTTAACCCCTTACAATTTGAACTTCCAAGAAAAGTCGAATTTTATCAGTTTTGATGAAATTGTAAGGTTAACCCCTTACAACTAGTAACTTCAAAGAAAAGGCAAATTTTTCCCAATTTTGATGAAAATGCAAGGTTAACCCCTTACAATTTGAACTTCCAAGAAAAGTCGAATTTTCTCAGTTTTGATGAAAATGTAAGGTTAACCCCTTACAATTTGTAACTTACAAGAAAAGAGAAATTTTGCCCAATTTTGATGAAAATGCAAGGTTAACCCCTTACAACTAGTAACTTCAAAGAAAAGGCAAATTTTGCCCAATTTTGATGAAAATGCAAGGTTAACCCCTTACGACTAGTAACTTCAAAGAAAAGACAAATTTTTCCCAATTTTGATGAAAATGCAAGGTTAACCCCTTACAATTTGAACTTCCAAGAAAAGAGAAATTTTGCCCAATTTTGATGAAAATGCAAGGTTAACCCCTTACAATTTGAACTTCCAAGAAAAGTATTATTTTCTCAGTTTTGATGAAAATGTAATTAAGGTTAACCCCTAACAATTTGTAACTTACAAGAAAAGAGAAATTTTCTCAGTTTTGATGAAAATGTAAGGTTAACCCCCTACAATTGGAAACTTCCAAGAAAAGAGAAATTTTGCCCAATTTTGATGAAAATGCAAGGTTAACCCCTTACAACTAGTAACTTCAAAGAAAAGGCAAATTTTGCCCAATTTTGATGAAAATGCAAGGTTAACCCCTTACAATTTGAACTTCCAAGAAATGTCGAATTTTCTCAGTTTTGATGAAAATGTAAGGTTAACCCCTTACAATTTGTAACTTTCAAGAAAAGAGAAATTTTGCCCAATTTTGATGAAAATGCAAGGTTAACCCCTAACAATTTGTAACCTACAAGAAAAGAGAAATTTTCTCAGTTTTGATGAAAATGTAAGGTTAACCCCCTACAATTGGAAACTTCCAAGAAAAGAGAAATTTTGCCCAATTTTGATGAAAATGCAAGGTTAACCCCTTACAACTAGTAACTTCAAAGAAAAGGCAAATTTTGCCCAATTTTGATGAAAATGCAAGGTTAACCCCTTACAATTTGAAACTTCCAAGAAAAGAGAAATTTTGCCCAATTTTGATGAAAATGCAAGGTTAACCCCTTACAATTTGAACTTCCAAGAAATGTCGAATTTTCTCAGTTTTGATGAAAATGTAAGGTTAACCCCTTACAATTTGTAACTTTCAAGAAAAGAGAAATTTTGCCCAATTTTGATGAAAATGCAAGGTTAACCCCTTACAATTTGAAACTTCCAAGAAAAGAGAAATTTTGCTCAATTTTGATGAAAATGCAAGGTTAACCCCTTACAATTTGAACTTCCAAGAAAAGTTGAATTTTTTCAATTTTGATGAAAATGCAAGGTTAACCCCTTACATTTTCTAACGTTCAAGACAAGTCCAATTTTGGCAAGGATAAGGTTCTAAGGAATGGTACGGATAACACAAGAACAAGATGGAATTTTCTGAAATTCTTTATTTTTATAAGGTGTGTGTATACATCAGCCTTCATATTAATCATTACTGCACGTTATTAACCAACATTGTGTGTGCACGTTACGTTTAGAATGTGTATTGATAATCACACTTTAATTCTAAAGTGCCGATAAAGTTATTTTTATAGAGTGTTTTCATTCAATCTTGCAATATATACAATCAGAAAGAGAAACAAACCATCATATAAACAATCTCTAATTTCTTATATTACTTCCAATTTTTACATATAAGAGTCTAGAATAACCGACGAGAACAGTACTATTATGTTCAATATATCCTTGATATTTTCTACAACTTTTACCTTTTTTCAAATTTTAAGATTGTATCCCACAGAAACTACAGAATATCAAGATGTGAAAAAAAAGTACCTATGTTTGCTACTTTGCGAACTACCCTGCTGTTATAAACAATTTGTTTTGGTCGTTTTGAGGATTCATTGAGAATTTAAACCGACGCAGGGTAAAAGACTACTTGCTTCGTCTTTACTGACATCAAACTTGAGCCAATAACAGGTGTCGGCATTTACAGGTACATATATAGAAGGTGCAAGGTTGAGAAGGTTAGAGTTTTAAGTGTTTATCAATCGAATCCGAGCAGTTCCACTTGTGCGTTCGGCTATGTTAGCATTCCACGTCCCTCACTTTACATGTATAAGAGTTCTGAAGTTCACCACTAAATTGTTAGTATCTCCACTAAGAACGTACCTCCCCTAAACTGTAAATTTGTGCGCAGTTAATATAATTCTGGCAGATATTTTGGCTTCTGGGACCACACCCAGATAGGCATGACCACGCCCACATCAGCATGATCACACCCACAAATGCAAGATCACACCTGCAAAGGCATGGACATGCCTACACTGGCATTTCCGTACCATTCTAGAATGACCACGCCCATATCGGCATGACCACACCCATATCAGCATGGCCACACCTACATAGGTATGACCATGCTCACACTGGCATTTCCGTACCATTCTAGAATGACCACACCCATATCAGCATGGCCACACCTACATAGGTATGACCATGCTCACACTGGCATTTCCGTACCATTCTAGAATGACCACACCCATGTCGGCATGACCACACCCATATCAGCATGACCACACCTACATAGGTATGACCATGCTCACACTGGCATTTCAACACCCATTCTAGTATGACCAAAGGCATATCAGCTTGACCACACTCATATCAGTATGACCGCACCTGTATCGACAAGACCACACCCACATAGGCATGACCACGCCCATGTTTAATTTAGAGAATGTTCAACATAAAGAGTATTGCTTTAAAACCAATCACGGCAAGGTATTTAGAAATTATCAAATTGCAAATATAAATGGGGTCAGATTGCACAGTCAACATAAAATACTGTTTCAAAACAAAATACTATTATTTATCAAATCAACTGACTCCTGTCCAGAATAATCTGCATTATTTTACTTTATACAAAACTACGACAATTTTCTTCCTGATCAGCAAGGTAGAGGCAGCAAATTTCTGTACAAAAAAAATTCGGTGATAGATTCCCCTACCTGATCCTTATATAATAAATGAATAATGGTAATATAAAAAAAACATTTGATTCAATGTTAAATATAAATAAAATCTTTGGGTTATCTGCAATTTCTAAATAAATATTGAAACCAGCAGAACACATTCTTCTGCAAATGTTAAAAGAAATCGGAGTCGAGGAATCTTTAACAAGAGACGGTACCGACACAAAAAAAAACAAAAAGAGACAATGACCCACCGCACAAAAACCAATAAAACCTAACAAATTGTTGTTGAGAACTTTTTCTTTATGGGCAATTTTGCCACGCAGCATTACTTAATGTTGGCAGAAGATTATTGAAATATTACTTTTGAGAACTGCACTTTAACATCCTCTCTTGGTCCACTTTAATATTCTATTTGTTTATATAGGTGGGGGCGGGATTACGTCATCCGACGAAAACATCTATTCATTTGCACACCAGTTTTCATCGGTTGCTACGTGTTACCATTCAGCACTCCAGACTCAAGAACCATTGAGTTCCAATTACATGGGTCTGGGAACTAGACCAGGCAATGTAAAAAGCTCCTGGGATATCCACGCTCACCCATATAGACCTTAATCATGCTGCCACCATTTCAGTCATGTTCCCTGTATCCTATAACAGTACTGAATGATAAAGATTTATGTGCAAAAAGGAACCAGACTATTTTTCCTTCCAGCCTCGCTTTGGTTACGTTGATTTTAATGGGAACAAAATAAAGATGGCCGCAACATGATAATGGTCTATTAAAGTCACTGTTGGACCACTTAACCACGTAATGGCACAAGGAGTTGAAGTACGTCATAACAGCAAGTATCAGCAAACCAGAGTCCTACTTGGGCTCATCTTTGGATTTCTAAACCTGGGTTTTTTTTAAACCTTTGCTTCAGCTTCGGCTTTGCCTCCGACTTCTGAATCTCTGAGAGGCAAACTAAACGAAAACATTCCAACCTTTGGCTTCATATCAACCAATTGAATGTTTCTGAAGCATAACAGGCACCAAAATGTAGCTGGAGTTCCAGAAGTTTAGGGCCTAAATCTACTTCAGCTGAAGACGAAGCCAAAGCCGTTCGTTTCATAAAAACGTTCCAAGACTGTACTGTTTTGATTTGTGCACTGGGGTGCCCGACAGGATACTTCCCAAAGATTTACTTTTTAAATATTGGTGCCCATTGCAAAACAATGATGATGTGCTTTTCTTAAAGATGTTGCTCAGAATTCCATTTTCAATTAAACTCCTTCATTTGATGAGACAGAGGAAATTACTGCTGCTGATGTAAAAAATGGCAACACTAAACTCTTTCTAATATACCAAATTTGATACAACTATGTTATGGCAACACTACCCTGTACTACGAACTATACCCTGTATATCTAAAAAAAAAAAGGAAAACTATTTGGAAAAAAATGTCTTCGCTACGTGAACAGGATAAAGAAATAATATTCTAAAGCAGACATTGTTGCTTCCTATTACACCGCTAAACATGGAATTTTCTTGATGCTCGTAATTTTCTTTCGATTGATATGTAAAAATTAGACCAGCTACTCGGTATCCGCTCCGTTCACAAGTACCCCCTCACCGGCAAAGGAAGTACAGTTGGGGGTGCGCGGCCACTGCGTGTACATAGAACAAATCCCCTGGTGTACGCGCGTCACACACATGGAACGGTGCGCGTCAACCAGCGAAATGTACCGCCCATGGGACGTCGTTGCTAGGTAATAGGGCGCCCTCTTTCGTAGCGCACGGAGCTAATAGAGAATGTGTAATGAAATTTTTAAAAATATCTTAAAAGCTACTGGTCATGATTAGTTGTCACAGTGGATACTTGGTAGTAATGTGGCTAGCTATGTGAAGGCCATAAACTTGGAGAAATGTTAAAAGAAAGGTTTAATCATAGACATCTTAAAAAAAAACCTAGCATCTTGCTGCATCTTTAAGCCGCCATGTTAAGTGAATGCTCATCGTGGGCATGAACGCCCAAGGGCCGATCAAACAATGTGCACGCATTATTTACAATTAGAATAAGAGTTCGCGTAACATGGTGATTGCGGGACGCAGCGTTCTGCTACTGGAAACACACAACGTAAACGCACGTTGAGGTTTTAAGATGCCTATGGGTTTAATGGGCTCTGGGCAAGAACGCCCTCAAGCAGTAAAAATGCTCATAACTAACATGACGCCAGGGTTTGCTCGCCAATAGGTGCTAGGGATCTCTTACTTTTTGTTTCTAATTTCTTTTTTGTCATTGGACGGATCTTGTTTCACCCCTTGGGCTAACACTTCCATGTGCGCATGACATGTGTGATTGGAATGTATATACCTTGATTATGGCAGGTATTACCCACAATGCTTTGCAGCATCTCATTTCCTTCACAACATTTTTTGTTACAGAGATGAGTTGAAATAAAGATGGTGGCATGAACATCTGCTGGGGGCGTACTCCCCCTCCCCCCCCCTTCAGTAATGCCACTGGTCACAGTGGTTGGAGGTATTGTGCCACAATAACATATCAACTACAGGGCTGGATAGCTCAGTTGGTAGAGCACCGAAACGGCAATCTGGAGGACACAGGTTCAAACCCGCTCCAGTCAATTTCTGTGTTTTACTGTTCGAGTGTGAACTTTCAGAAATGAAATAGAGTCATGCACAAGTCAAGTTATAACTCAAGTCAAAATGCTCAAACAAGTTAGCATATCCAACATAGGGCTGGACAGCTCAGTTGGTAGAGCACCGGAACGGCAACCCGGAGGTCACAGGTTCAAACCCAAAACAGAGGACAAAGAATGACATAGGATGCGTTTGTCACTGATCAAAGGAGTAGCTTGGGACTTGACTTGCGACTGAATGATTGTGATGGATTCATCACAAATTCTTATCTATCGTTCTGGCAGATTTTGTGTTGGGAAAACTACACCATTTACTCCAAATCAGGGAACCAATCTATCAAATATTTGCAACTAAACGTCAATTTCCGGGCAGTTTGATCACCAAAACAGCAAAGATACAAATGTTACATTGCCATGGCGATTATCAGCTCTCTGCTCCGCTGGATTGATCCGGATCCGTTTCCGGTTCGAAGACAGGAATTGTTTCCGGTTCAAAGACGGGAACTGTTTCCGGTTCAAAGACGGGAAGTGTTTCCGGTTCAAAGACGGGATCTGCCTCTGGCTCGGCAACCGGTTCCGGTGATGACATCAGGCCCAGGGCGATTCCTGCCTCCTTGATCTGTTTTTGAAGGAAAAAAAGGGGGAAAAATGAAAAAATGAAGTGATTTCTTATGTCTGTGTCTGACACGGCTCCCAAGACTACGACCACATCTACTTGTAACGAGACCATTCCAGATTTCGCCATAAGACCCACCCATTTTGGTGTTTCTCACAGAGTTTGTGAGTATAACCTCAGACCCTTCCCTGGTTCCCTGACCTTTCCCCGGTGTCCAGCCACCTTACCTGTCTCATCCAGTCTTGACATTCTTTCTTGGAGCGTGACAGTAGGTCCGCCTGGCCTTTCAGCACCCTGATGTTCCAGGCAAAGTTCTCTGACGCCTATCAAGCAAGAATCATAACATATGACGAGACAACAGTAAACAATGCGTCGCTAATTGAACAGTTGCAAATACAGTGGAACGCCGCTATATGGAACATCGCGGGATCCACAGAAATTGTTTGTAATAGCGATCGTTTGGTAAAGCGATTTTATGCTGCCAGTGCTCACTTTTCAATAAAAAGCGCCCTTCAGAAATTTACCCTGCTTGCCCTAGTACATTTTGTTACTACATGTACTGGAAGACGACGTTGAACATGTGTCCACTATTGAATTATGTAATTACACAGTTGTCAAGCTTACTACCTACAGCAATAACTGGTTTTCCCCTTCTATTCCATGGGGAAATAATAGCCACTTATTACTTTTCGTTAAAATTTTTCAACAACAATGTTTGGAACATTTTGTACACAAAAATCGGGAGCCAGAGACGATGTTCAGTATAGCCGAATGTTCAGTATAGCCGAATGTTTGGTATAGCGGTGTTCAGTATAGCGACGTTCCACTGTAGAATAGACCTTTTGCACAGTGCGCCCTCACAGAGGGAAGGTCTTTGTTTATCTGTGATACACATGACTAGACCCTTTGTAGTTTCATTGTCACTGAATTTAAATAACAAGACCTTTCATCAGATCAGAGGGTCAGGGGTTCGAATCCAGCTGCTGGTGATATGTTGTGTCCTTGGGCAAGCCACTTCACCTTAACTTGCCACTCTCCACCCAGGAGTATAAATAGCTACTGGTGATCGTAAGCAGAGAATTCAGATGTAAGAGGAGCGATGATATTGGGTCTACATAGGATTGGTAGAATTATGGGGAACTTAAGGTAGCTATCTTTGGTAAATTACCAGCAACTTAAGGGGCCTACCTTTGAGAGTCGTTTCCCCTTCAGTCCGTCTTTGGTAAGAAGGTAACTCAAATTGTCCTGTAACAAAAGGAGAACATGGAATTGAATCTTTGTACAAATCATTAAAATAAGGATGAAATGCACTGAAATGAGAGTGTGGCTTACGTGGTATTCCAGCCCAGCTTTCTGTACTTCGTCAATTCTGCTCACCAGACAGTCGGCTTGCTCCATCAAGGTTTTGCTCTCCGACACCATCTTCGAGAGAGAGGAAATTCAAATTCAAATCGTGTTTCCAAATATTGAGTACTCCATGCATAAACTCTGAATGGTGCTCCAGTTTAGGATTATTTATGGCAAATTAATACATAACATTTTGTCGGTCGCAAACCAAAATCTATTGAGCTGCTTGAAAATGTGAGGCATTCTGGCAAAATGAGACGGAACTGGGCACTGGCCAAAGTGGAGAAAAATGCACCCAAAAAAAAAAGAATGGGGGGCGGTGATTTTCACATTTATGTCATATTTATGGATAGTTGTGATGTATTACACATATTTGAAAGAAATAGTGTAAAAATCCTGAAATAACAGATCTTTAAAGGAAAATCAATTGGCATATTTCTTTTTCAATTTGAAACTTTACAGGCTTTACTCTCAGTAATGTCATGACGATAAATGCGAATTTTAAACAGCCATAACTTGTAAACGGAATATCGGATTGAAGTGCAACAAACAGTATTTTCTTTCCTCATTTTTTTCTCTTTCCTAATTTTATTTTCTCTCCTAATACACCATTGTTTGTACACACAAACCCACATTTTGACAACTGCCCAATTTTGTCTCATTTTGTCAGACTGCCTCACTACTACTTTTTGGTTTAAAACGAGCGTTACCGAATCAAAGGCGCTTAAGGCCTTCTTGAGCATGTCAGGAGCGCTCCCTTCCGCCTCCAGGAATGCTAGCCCCTCCCTCATGGAGAGCTGTAACGTGACGGTGTCCGAGGACCCGGCTAGTCTGGTGGCTAGGAGTCGTATGCACTGCTTGAGGTTTGCGATGGATGCCAGACCGCAGGCTTCTTTGAATCGAGTCATGGCGATTTGGACGTTCTCTCTCAGCTCACTGCCTTCCTTGAGGGGGGCTAACGAGGCCTGCAGAGGTTAATTATTCAAGAAAGTTAAGGTCTTCCTAGTCGACTTGGACTTGCAAGTCTCAGTCTAGGAATTTTTTTTCCTTTACTGACTCGGTCAGTAAGTCAGTCAGTCAGTGACTCAGTCAGTCAAATTGGTCCTTCAAATCCTTTTTTGATAAAAATCTATTTCTGAAGAAGTCCACTGAAATGTTTTTAAAAAGGAGTAAACTATGGTAACTATTTTTTTTTCTGGTCTAAACCAGTCAATAAAAAGAATGAAAACCGAATATACTGCAACAATAAAGTGTTAGATTTTACAATATTTGGGTGGGTTGGGTTTCAAGCTCAAAATTCCCACAGTTCTAAGCATTGATCACTCCATGGATTGGAACTTATTACATTTCATTAAAATCCTGGAAAGGAAAAACAAAAATCTTGCTTCCAACCTTAAAGACCTCATCAATGGTCTTGACTCCCACCGGTCTGACGTGGGTGTAATCTCTCGTCCTCTTGGACTTTTTGACGGACATACCACGTTTTGTCGGTTTCTGAAAGATCAACACAAATTCCAGTTTAGTTCAAGAGCAACTACTGATTATCTGTCTGACAAAAATGTTTGCCTTGGCATCGTTTAGGGGTGGGGCCTATACTTTACCCCGTTTCCACATTTATCTGGGCATGGATGAGGGTTGCGGCCAATAAGTTATCACACCTCCACATTTGTCTGGGCATGGATCAGGGGCATGGCCTATAACTCCACCCGCCTCCACATTTATCTGGGCATGGACAAGGCATGTGGCCTATAAATTACCACACCTCCACATTCATCTTGGCATGGATCAGGGGCGTGGCCTATAACTTACCACGCCTCCACATTTATCTGGGCATGGACAAGGCATGTGGCCTATAAATTACCACACCTCCACATTCATCTTGGCATGGATCAGGGGCGTGTCCTATAACTTACCCCGCCTCCACATTTATCTGACCATGGATAAGGGGCGTGTCCTATAACTTACCCCGCCTCCACATTTATCTGACCATGGATAAGGGGCGTGTCCTATAACTTACCCCGCCTCCACGTTTGTTTGTGACAGCCACGTGGACAAACAGCGACGCTGGTTCCAGTGACTCGCCGGTGTTGGAAAGCAAGGTGAAGTGCCTGTAGCCTGGAAGAAACATATTAATGAAAAAATAAGGCTCGAAAACAAGTGAACTTTTATTGGGTTGAGATTTTCTTGATATCAATACAAAAATTGTTACAAATTTCACCCTTTTGGTCCTTTAAATGGAAATCTTTTCTTTCTTTACAGCACAGATGTTAAAAACATATTGTTTTTTTAATTTGTATACATTTTAACTTACAAATAACAGTAAATGCCGTTTAAAAATCTACCACTGAAGATCATAGAGATCAAATGTACATTGTGGAAAGTACTTTTCACTTTGCTAATTTCTTGTTCGCTGCTATTTTTACAGTTAACAAAAAACAAAACAAATCGTGCTTAGCAATCAATGCAAATGTACGTAGGAAATCACAGAGAGAGATTAAAAAATGGCAACTGAACAAAATTGATTTTGTTTTTTCAGTTTTTTTATTTTTCCAAGCTTTTTTCAGCGAGAAAAGTGCTCTTCGAGAGAACTGCTAAGCGGTATTTCCAGCTAAGCAGGTTCATGAGACAAGTTTTCCTACCTGGTTGGAGACATTCAAATGGAATGGTGTATTGCCCAATGAACTCATCCCCGATGAAATCGTCGTCCAGAACGACGAATCGAACCAGGGCCAGCTCCGGTAGATTGACGGTGAAGTCAAAACTCTCGTCATAGATCGGATTGTACCCTGAATAATGGTCAGAAAACAAAAAAAAAACTTAATGGTAATGAAACAAAACTAGATCTCGTAAAATGAGTTTGGACTCTGTGCACCAATGGTAGATTTTTTTAACAACTCCTGTGAGTCCAGTGAATTTTGTAGGATTTTGGAGGATCAAGGAAGGGAAACCCAGCAACTAATAGCACTATTATTTTTCTATGGGGGGAGGGGGGGGGTTGAGTGCAAATGAAGTACGATAAAAAATTTGGCATTTTGTAGGATTTTCACGGATTGAAGAAGATACAACTCAGCAACTATTCACATGGGCTTTGACCGCCGAACAAGTATACAGAGAAATTTGCATGCGTGAAATTTGCATACCATTGTGAGGAATTGTTTTGGTCCGTTCTTCGGCGCAGTCCGCTGGGATCCCGAATATCTCCATGGAAACATAAGGGTCAATAACCTGAAGAAAAAAACAGGAAACATTTAAAAGAGGGATTTATAATAATGTATTGAAAGCACCCAAAGTCTGTCATGGACTGTTCCATATAAACTATGAGCACCACCAAACTTTGGTTGATGAGCATTCCCCACAGTTCTTGTGACAGAGTTTGATTGGGCTATAATAGTCACCTGACCAAAAGTCAAGATGTGATTGGTCAGTGCGCACCGTTTGACTGACAGGGAGGAAGAGTGAATTGCATTCAGAAAGTGGCTTAGTGTATTCATGCACCGAGTCCACAAACAGACAGACAGACAGACAGACAAACTCACATCTCCCTTGGACCCAGAGCCTTTTGGTTTAGGGAACTTCTGCCCACTGATGATCTTGATGTGTAGAATCTGGGGTGAGACTCCTGGAATGATGTCCCGCGAGTTGGCACTGAAATACGAGATCTCTGCACAAAAAGCAAAAAAGGAAACAAACAGACCAAAGTGTTACGAGGATATTGCATGCTTTAAAAGAGATTTACAGCTGTAAAGTGTGGGGGTGTGGCCTGGTAGTCAGGGTTTGTGACTTATGATCAGAGGGTCAGGGGTTCGAATCCAGCTGGTTGTAACCGGAAAGCGTGTCCTTGTAATACAGTTATGAGGACACAAATATGCTGTGTCCTTGGGCAAGCCACTTCACCCCCACTTGCCTCTCTCCACCAAGGAGTATAAATAGGTACTGGCATTAGTTGGCAAGGGGAGGGGGAGGATTAACCTGCAATGGACTGGAACCCCATCTAGGGGGGAATAGAAATATTCTTAGTCGTTCTGTGCCAAGGAAACTGGAGATAAACGCCGGCCTGATGGGGCATATTGCCTAGTGACAGACTTTACTTTACTTTTAATTTAAAAAAGGTAAGCCCCATCCTTTCCATTCTTCTAAATTATGACCACTTTCCTCTCCGCGTTACCTTCTCTCATGACGCCAGGTTTGAGCACGTAGCCACATTGACCGTTCTGACGAAACTTGCCATCGTAAAGATCCGTCATCAAGCCTGGCGTCTGGTAGTTCAGAGCAACTGCCAATAAATAAATCAACACATTGTTACAATGTATCACCTATTCCCTGAAGAATCCATCAAATCATAGAGTGCTCAGGAGGTTTTGGGTGGTACAGGGAGTAACAGGCAGGGTGGTTTGGGGCAGTACAGGGAGTAACAGGCAGGGCGGTTTGGGTGGTACAGGGAGTAACAGGCAGGGCGGTTTGGGGCGGTACAGGGAGTAACAGGCAGGGTGGTTTGGGGCAGTACAGGGAGTAACAGGCAAGGTGGTTTGGGGCAGTACAGGGAGTAACAGGCAGGGTGGTTTGGGGCAGTACAGGGAGTAACAGGCAGAGCGGTTTCGGGTGGTACAGGGAGTAACAGGCAGGGTGGTTTGGGCAGTACATGGAGTAACAGGCAGGGTGGTTTGGGGCGGTACAGGGAGTAACAGCCATCTTGAAATCTCACCGATTTGGCAGCCGCAGTTCCAGAAATCCTGCGGGTTGTAGTTGCTGGAGTCTACGCGGTTAGGGTTGGGGTAGATCCTCGTCAGGAGATGCTTGTTGTGACTAACGAAATCCTCAGCGCAATCTCGGGCAAACTTGATGCCCGTCCCCTCGCTCATCGAGCAGATCTCCCAGTATTTCTCTGCCGACAGAAGGGGGGGCGGGGGGGAAGGGGGCAAGTTAATCTTTTGGCTACTTTTATTTATGTTATTGTCTTCAAAACTTGTTACATTGACATATAATGCTTGCCTACCCCTCCCCCCCCAAAAAAAAAAAACATGCTGCATCTGTTCAACATGTCAACATGACGTTACCAATTCTGTTGTTTTACTTTATTTTTCAGTTTGAGACTATAACTTTTCAGACATCTCTAAAATTACAGACGATAATATATATTTTTCAGACAGACAAAATTTCACCACAGGGAAAAATACTAACAAACATCACTCTTGCCCACCCCTGCCCCCAGCAAATTGGGCGTGGTTATGAAGGGGCGACGAGAAATGACGTGGACACTTACGTTTCTGAGCTGCCTCGTGGAAATCTTCAAAGCGGACAGATTTGCATAGTGTGACAAGTTCTGATAGTTCCTTGATTAGAGCTCGTTTCTTGAAACCCTCCTACAGGAACAAAGGAAGAATGAAGTGTCACCGAGATTGAGATATATGCTGCAAAACTGATCCTGAGAATGCTGCGTATCTGAGAATCAAATTATTCGAATATTAGTTAAACACTGTTTTGTGAAACTGGCTGAGTTGTAGTCAATCATAAGTAAATCACAATTCATCATAAGTCAATCACAATTCATCATAAGTCAATCACAAGCCATCATGTTTTTCAATGACAGGTTAATGACAAGTCAGTGATAAGTCAATCACAAATAAATAACAAGCCATCACAAGTTGTCAATCACAAGTCAATGATCGGTCAATCACAAGCGAATCTCAATTATTCACAAGCGAATCATAAGTAATCACACGCCAAACAAAAATCAATCACAAGCCATTACAACTTGTCAATCAAAGTCAATAATAGGTCAATCACAAGCCATCACAAGCCATCATAAGCCATCATAAGCCATCATAAGCCATCACAAGTCATCAAGTCTGAAGTCAAATCACAAGCTATTCAAATGACCTGTGACAATGGCATCCCTTTGTCGCCATTCATTGACTCCCACAAAACTCCAGTAACTGACAGCAGATAAGATTATAAATGAAGAAAACAATTCCACTTTCTCCAAAATTTTTTCATTTTGGATCTCACCTTCTTAATTTTCCTCCTCTCGCTGTCGGCTCCTTCATCTTCGTCTGTGACTTCTCCTTCCTCCCCGACAAAATCAGCAGGCAATTTCTTCCCCTGAGTGAAAAACAGTAAGAGAGATGTCACTCATGGCTAAACTTGATGCTGCATCAGATTCAAATCAGCCGGCAAAATCTGGGCAAGATCTTTTAGTTGGATGGGTGGGCAGTAAACTCCGTTCGCAATTACCCCCTCAGTGATGAAAGGAGAACAAACGAGTGTCTTTTCCCCTGTATTTAGGTTTTGCTCGCCACCATTCCGTTTGCAGTGGCTAATCGCTTCTACAAAAATCTGAACGGAAAAGCAGTGCTTTCTGGGTTACTATAGATATCTCTCTTAGAACGCCATCTTCGAAGGAAAATTACAACTGTGTGTTCAACGCCCTCAGGTGCGGGTGCGCAAGTACAAAATGCACCAAAACGAAATCGGCGCAGTCACGAAAAGTTGACGCCCAAAATGCCAATGTCATTTGAGAGAGACCTATTGAAGAAGGCGGTGGGACCAAGTCAAGCAATTAGCAACGCACACATGGAAAAGCTGACCCCAGCAGCAGGCCAGTGTTTTGTCCAATGAGAGCTGAGAACGCGCTGACCCGGGTCATTGGGTGAACAGAAACCGTCCAATGAGAGCTCCATAACGCAGTGGGGACCAATGAATTATAACGTGACATTACACTACTTACCTTTAGAATAATTTTCCCTTTGAGTTGTTCGGGTGTTGGCAGGTAAGCGGCAGACAAGTCCGGCGAGTCTATTCTTAATTTATCTACAAAGCAAAAAAAAAAAATTTGCTTAAAGTATCTGCTAAGCACAAGAAGTATTTTCAGGGCAAAAACTGGTTACCGGCCAACATGTCATGTGATGGATACCAGGAGTGACTGGTTCCCCACTTATTTTTGCTTAGCACAAATTAAAGATAAGCAATAAATCCTGCTTAGCAGTTCAATGGAATTACTTTTTGAAAAACAAAACCAACATGTGAGCAAAAAAAAGTAAAGTCTGTCACGAGCCAATATGGCCCATCTGGCCTGCGTTTATCTCCGGTTTCCTTGGCATGAAACGACTGAGAATATTTCTATTCCCCCTGGATGGGATGCTAGTCCATCGCAGGTTACATCCAGCTAATGCCGGTACCCATTTATACTCCAGGGTGGAGAGAGGCAAGTAGAGTAAAGTGGCTTGCCCAAGGACACAATATATGAAAAGCAGCTGGATTTTGAATTCCTGATGCTCTGAACCCTAACAACTAGGCTGCGCTACCCACCGCTCCAAGAAGCACTTACCTCCAAATACTGTTTTGATGTGGTGTGCCATAACTCTTTGCTGGTCCAAACTACAGTGGTTTTCAATCGATACTAGCAGAGGATACCTGAAAGTGAAAAAAAGTCAGTGACAGATTGAAACTTTTTGCAGCCAATTTTAAGTTAAAACATAGAAAAATGACTGCGGTGGGATTGGGACCTGTCACCTCCCAATCACTGTACTGGCATGCATTGGTTTCATGGCTAATGACGGTACCCAGGAAAACAAGAAACTTGCATTTTCTAAACCTTTGAACTGGGTTCGAATCCATCTTCAACTAACTTGTTCCTTGGCTCATTTGTGAATACCAGATTACAAAACATCCCCCAGGATATATATTTGTCAGAAATTTTCCTACCATCATATTTTTCATCTCTCCACAGGTTTCTTCAAGCTCGAGAATAAATTTCTGGTTTCAAGATTCAGAAATCAGGGTCCAAAATCATAGCGTTGCATAACAGTTAGCAGAGAAGTTGTGCTAACTATAGCAAAAAATTGTGCTAACCTTAAGCACTATTTCATATTTCAATTCTAGATTTCTATTTTAGTGTCACTAATTTAACAAACTGTTTCCTCAGAGGTAAGCATGCCTTTTGCTGCACTTACTGCTTACGGTCTCCATGAAATAGACAGAGGCTCTGTTAGCAGAAAATTATGTGCTTAGCAGCAGTTTGAAATTAGGCCTAGGTCTTACTGTGAGGTTTCAAATGCGTGTTGGTTGATTGCTTCCACCACCGCCTTGAAGGAGATCTTGGACGTCAGCGTGTGACCGTGGTAGATGATTGGCTCACCGTTACCGCCATCCCAACAATCCACTGCCATTCCAAACACACCAAATGTGCATTGTATTACATTGTATTACACTGTATTACATTGTATTACATTGTGTCACATTGTATTACATTGTATTACATTGTATTACATTGTGTCACATTGTATTACATTGTATTACATTGTATTACATTGTGTCACATTGTATTACACTAATTGTATTTAGTTCCCGATGAATCAATAACACCATACAGTGCTGGGGTGGTTTTGGGCGGTACAGGGAGTAACTTAAGCTTTCTTTTAGTATAAGAATCATTCAAATCACTCATGCACTTTTCAAGTTACGGAGTTCTAAACACAACCACCGTTTTAAGGTTCTTTCCAAGGATCACTAAAAAGTTCCAGTGTTTTTCCAGCAAAATGAAAACAAATCACATAGGGATGTGTGTGAATTGTTTCGTTTTGCTGAAAGAACGCACACTTTTTTTGTGATCCGTGGACAGAACTTTAAAACGTTGGTTGTGTTTAAAACTCCGTAACTTGAAAAGTACATGAGTGATTTGAAAGATTCTTGTACTAAAAGAAAGCTTATGAATTGGGCTTTCATATCCTATGTTTTAAAAGTGCTACATGCAGAACTTCACTAAAACAATGGTCCCGACATTTGGGTTTTTGTTTTTTTGACTCACCCTGTAGTATAGTGACGATGAGCGTGGATAGCATGATTGCTGTTTAAGGTGGTCAACTTCATGACTGTTTTTACTATCACCATTTCGCCCTGTCTTAATGCCCCCACCCTAAGGGAAGGATTTCCCCACCCCTCAACCCATCCCTTGCTGTCAACTTACGTTCCACCCATCGGCAACCCTTCTGCAATGCTTTGACGTAGGCAGAAACACTCGATGGGCCTTTTAATTGGTCTTCCGTGAGGTAACTGCAGTAAACAAAAAAATCGAAAAAAGAAAAAGAAAAAACAAATTCTCACACTGCATGTTATATGATTCTTCAGATCCAGTGCTAATACATGTACAGTGAAATCTCGATAAGTCAATCTCTGATAACTCAAAACAACTGTTTAGTCAAACAAAGAATCCAATTCCCTTCAGTAGTATAACAATGATATACAATCCTGCTTAACACAAAACTCTGCTGAAGTCAAATTTTGAACCTGTTCCCTTGAGGTTTGATTTATCAAGATTTCACTGTATAATCTGCAAAAAGTCCAAAATCCAGCGTCATAGTTAAGTCCATAAGTCAATCATGAGTCCGATCACATGTAAATTGCAACTCCTTTCTTACGACCAGTCACAAGTCACAGGACAAGAACAATGACATAAGAATGCCTTTGTCACAATTCATCAAATAAGCTAGTGACTTGGACTAAGGATTAAATATTTTGTGATTGACTTGTGGTGGACTCAACTTCGACACTGCGAAAATCGCATTATCTTGGACCATGTGCTCTTGACATTTCTGAACGGTGAACCTTATTCTTGTTAAGCAAACCTTTCTGTGCTTGGTCTCAAGTAATGGCAATATTGTTAATATCATCCAGGGTAGTGCTACATTTAAGAAATCACTCCGGGAATACAAACAAAATATACTTGGGATGTAGGTAAAATGGTGAAAATTCAAACCCCCACCCACCCATAAAAAAAAATAAATAAATAAAAATCTAACACAAAATCAGCTGTTCGAGATATAAGTGAACATGGAAAGGAAACATTTCACCCTGAAGATATGAGAGAAATGGTAAAAAGCAATTCCACAAACCAAAAGAATTTAAAAGAATCTATGGATCAGATATCTGGATGATTCTACAAACAAAAGACAAAATAATGTAAACTTCAGGATTGATTAGGAAGAAGACACATAAAGAAAACACAACTGAAAAAAAGTGGAAATTGTTAAGCAAAAAAGGAAAAAGGACAAAAAATGTTTTGGGCTTTTAAGGGATTTGGTCTAAAAATGAAAGAATGAACTACTTCCTGACAAAGAAAAGGAGATACCTTAATCAAATTGGGAGGCGGGGGCAAGTATAATTTTCATTTTTTTCAGGATTTGGGAAGAAATGAACTGCCATATTTCACACATCTACTTCTTGTAAGCTATCGCATAATCTTCAAGAATTTGGGGAAAGAAACTAAATATTCATGTAAGGGTTTGCATAATTATACTGAATATTCATGATGGGTTAATAATGTGATGAATATTCATGACAGGTTCCAAATATACTGAATATTCATATAAAGAATTTGAGGGAAAAAATGAACAGTTGACTATAGGTTAGGGTTCTAATAATATATATGAGCGTCTCTAGGAATGTTGCCCTTTGTCAAAGACTTTGTGGTATTTTCTAAAGGTATCACAACGTCACTTAAAGAAACAGACTGTATTAATTAGGGAAGGGAGCAAAAGAGCCGAAAACATCTTACTTTGTTAGACCAGCAGGAGGATGTTTGGGGCATAATCCCATCTGAGGCCAGTTGCCGTACCTACGGAGGGAAGGGGGGAGGGGTAAGACCGACGACAAAAAAAAAAAAGGCCACGCCCACAAAAGGGAAATGGCCACGCCCACAAAATGCAGATGGCCACGCCCACAAAAAGAGATTAAATAACAGGTGGGGGAAGAGTGTGGAAAGGATCGGACATGGAAGAATGTTAGAGGAAAAATATTAGTGATTTTTTTTTTAGAGGGATATTAGTGTGTTATCTTGAGGTGCATTTTTGAGATTGAGCTTGAAGGAGAGACAAAACATTTTGACGGGAAATATGTGAAATTGTGACTCTTTAGGGCAGGAATTGAATGCTGAGTTAGTAAAGAGTGCAATCAGAACGATGATGTCACACAGATGAAACAGGAAAAATTTGGTTTCCTTGAATTGATACATGCCTACAAATCATAAGACCAAAAAAACCTCTTGAAAAAGGCAAAATTATGATCTGAAACTTTAACAGTAAGGTTCAGATTAAGCAAATCTGCAACCTGACACTTGACATGCTCGAAAACAAAATCAGCCCAAAGAAATATGAAGATACCTCATTTGCAGCAAATGATCTTGAGATGAACACATCCCATCTATCACAGCGCAGTGTTGTAACCAAGTCATTTTTTCACCAAGTCAAGTCGCAAGTCAAACTTTCACAAGTCAAGCCAAGTTGCAAGTCATTTTTTTCCGCGTCAAGTCAAGTCTCAAGTCAAAAAGCAGCACTGCTTCAGGGAAAGTCCGAAGAACAAGAACTATATTCAACCACATCTTAACTATCTTCCATCGAATCCAAGCTTAGTAGTTGACAACACTAGGATCAGCCTAATCGCTGATTACAATGTTACAATGGGCTCCGTGCGCAAACAACAGAGGGCGCTATTTGCCAACTTTCGAGAGCTCAGTGGACGGGACACACCAGGTGCACGTACGTCAGGCATCGTCAGGGTTCGAATGTCTCTCCCAGTGGTCTCCCCCAACTCTCCCCTTCTTACCGTTGGGGGGGGGGGTACTTGTGCACGGAGCCCATAACTGCGTACAATATAATGGGCGTGCACTATGAAAATTAATAACTAAAAAAATTAGGAAAAATACAGAAACTTTGGAGTACGGCACTTTTGCCTGAGTCTGTTCCCAGTCCATCTCAAAATTGCCTATAACATTTGAAACGTGACCGATGACCGAGCACAGAAAAGATTTGCCTAACACACAATTTAGCTTCATACACGACATATTAAGACCAGTAGAAATGGTATGAGTACGGGATACGTACACGTATGGGCTCGGAAAACCACCCTTTTGCGAGGTTATTTCATCCGGCACACTTTGGGCGTGATTGGGCGTGATCTACATGTAATATGCAAATTAGACACATGCACATGAGTGTTTAACAAAAAAACTGGTCTTCGAATGCAAAGCTGTAATACTTGAGCTGCTTGAATACAATATATGGCCGAGTAAACTGGCCACCTTCCAACCAACCCACCCACCCACCAACCAACCAACCAACATAAACAGCTCAAGCCCACGGCGTGTTTCACACCCGCCGTGGGAAAAATTGGATTGGCGTACAATGTGTATACATGTATATGTGAGTTTGGTGAAATAACTACACAAAATGTTGATATGACCAGCTAGTTTTTCCGAGCCGCAGACGTATCCCATACTTGCACCATTTCTAATGGTCTCTATTACTTTAATGCTCACGTGTTGTGCGACGACGCTACGAAGTAATGGGATAGAGGTTGCGTCATATCCTGACACACACTCCTATGCTGATAATCAAAGATGTCACAGTCTTCTGACAGTAGGTAGTTAGTGAACCCTAGGAAGGAGAAAAGAAACAATAATTTCAATATTTTGACCAAAATCACTTGATAAATTTAGCAATTCTTATTATGCCAAAATCTGAGGTACATGATATAAGCTGAGACAGACTTATGACAAACCTGTGAATGACTTGTGATCAATTTGCGATTGCCTTGTGATTAAGTTGTGATTGGCTTTTAATTGGCTTGTAATTGACTTCTGATCAACCTGTGATGGACTTCTGCTCAACTTGTGATCGACTTGTGATTGACTTATGATCCTCTTGTAATCCACTCGTGACCAGCTTCTGATTAACTTGTAATTGGCTTTTGATTAATTTTTGTGATCGACTTGTGATCCACTTGTGATCCACTTGTGATCCACTTGTGACCAACTTCTGACTAACTTGCGATTGTCTTGTGATTGACCTGTGCTTGAGCACCTACCATCAATTCCCAGATGTCCCTTGTCTCGTCCTTCGGCAGACGGCTCATATTTGTTGATGATAGCTTGGCATTTCTCTCGTGACACACCGGCCATCTGCGCAGAGAATAAACAACCAAACAAACAAAGCATCAAACCGTGAACGGCATCAAACCACGACACGGTTCAATTAGTGTTGTGTGAACCCTTAAGGACATATTTTTCTTTCAGGGGAGATCGCTAACAGTAAATTTATCTGTTTTTAAATTTATTTTTGTTTTTTCCCAAACACCTTGGGTCCAATTCCACAGATCTGGTTACAATTTCACGGAGCCACCAAAGTGGAAAATATTGCTTTGCAAATATATATGCTTAGTAAAATACTGCCGAGTACCAGTCATGAGCAATGCACATCCTCTGACAGTTTGGTTGGTAACCTTTTTTTTTTCTTCTTTGTTTTTGGCTAAGCAAATATTTTCTGTAAGTTTACAAGCTGGGGCCAATTTCATAGAGCTGCTTAAGCACAAAATTTGCTTCAGCACAAAAAAGTATTGCTTAATAAAATCAGGCTACTGGCCAAAACTCCATGCAATTGTAATGCTAAGTAAACAACAGCTAAATACCAGTCACAAGTAATGTACATCACATGGAGTTTTGGCCGGTAACCTGATTTTACTAAGCAATGTTTTTTCGTGCTTAAGCAAATTTTGTGCTTAAGCAGCTCTATGAAATTGGGCCCTGGTTGAAGAGGAAGACTCCAGTTTTACCTTAAACACATTCCCTTTAAATTTCAGTCAGCCTATTACTACCAGTGTGTGCAATCAAGGAAAACACATTCCCGAGACATCTTGCCAAGACAGATCCATTTAACACAGTCTCATTTACACACGAATGCTTTTTCTCATTAAATCTTTCCACAGAACCAACCCCCCTCCCCCCCTTCTTTCCTCCGAGGTTTATTGTCGTTCTCAAGCCGGCTCTCTCAGCTCAACATCCGCTTGAAAATTACACTCCGGAAAATCAAATAAACATCTGACGTCTTACACGAGATTGTAATAAAACCGTCCCAAATCTCACAGATTAAGAAAGGAAAGGAAAGCGGCAATATGATGAGGCGCGAAAAACAGGCACACCGTTTATTTGAACTTGCCCTGCAAAGCTAACAGCAATTACAGAGCTGTGAGGCATCGTAGACGGATTGTGCAGGCTGGTCGGAATCTGGCACGTAGACAATACTGAGATATTGGTGACTGCTCTATGTTCCGACACCCCTATGTTCCGACAACCTAGATTGTGTTACTCCCGGTTAGGGTTAGGGTTAGGGTTAGGGTTAGGGTTAGGGTTAGGGTTAGGGTTAGGGTTAGGAATAGGAATAGGAATATGTGCAGTCGGAACATAGGGGTGTCGGAACATAGAGGTGTAACCGAGATATTAGCAGGTGTAACTTGTGGTGCATGACAAATGGAATGCTTCTTTTACCATCATGTCAATAAACTGAGCTTTCTTTTTTAAATGTCACAGACCTTTAGAAAGGTCGTTCACAGTCCAAAAAATAGAATATCTTTTGGAATAATTAGAACATTAAGCCTAACAGAACTCAACCATTCAAACCCCAACGGCATGTTTTATTGGAATCTGTCAGGATGGGTACAGTACCCCTAAACTGACAGTCTTTTACATTGGGTTGGCACACCTCCAGAATCAAAGTCAGAAATAGGTGTGTGCAGTTTCCCATATGGTGTTGGGAGTTGTCAGGATGGGTATGGTTCCTAGTAGATCATGCTAGGGAGTTAGGTTAAACTGTATAACACTTGATCCCATAAACCTAAATAAGGACCAGAGTTTTACTCATGCATTTAATGCATTTTCAGATATTAATAAGAACACTTTTATACTTATTTATTGCTAATGGAATTCTATTTAACTGCAAATTACCATTTTGAAACAATACTACATTTATTTGGCTGGTATCCAGATCAAGTACTCTTGAATATCTAATTAACTCTTGTCGATTCAGAGAATTTACTTAGCTTCAATGGTAAATTAAAAAGCATAATTATCTCTTTCACAAGCAATGTTTTACAAGGTTGCCTTTTTTAAAATTCCGGCTTCGTTTCTGGGCTCCGGTTTCAGCTGTGGTTTCAAAATCATTTGGAAGCCTTCAACATGTGTAATGTCCAATTGATCGTTGTCCGCCTGACTTGAAGCAGAAAACAGACCTATGGGCTACGTGTGCCAACAAAAGAGGGCGCCCTTTTACCTAGCAACAACGTCCCATGGGCGGGACATTTAGCTGGTTGACGCGCACCGTTGTGTGTGACGCACGTACATCAGGGGATTTGTACTATGTACACGCAGAGGTACGGCTGCGCGTCGCGGCAATATCGCAGTCAGGCAAGATGGCGTCGGTCGGTCACCCCCAACTGTACTTTCTTTGCTGGTGAGGGGGTACTTGTGAACGGAGCAGATACTGAGCCAATTAGGCATTACATCTCCTGAAGCCAAAATCAAAGCTGTGGTCTCAAAAACATCCCTTTGCTTGAAAAATCAACTTATGCACTGACCCCTTGTTCAGCTTCCAGGAAAATCAAAAGGTCGTCTATCGTCATGACTTCTGAACTTGAATACCTAATAAGAAAAAGGGCACAATTGAAAGAATTATTTTTCGAAATTACTTAGTTTGGTAGTGCTGTGGTCAAGCCCATCACAAGTCGGTCAATAAGTACGTCACATTTGATACACAAGAAACAGAGGATTGACAACAGGTACACACGAATATCTTGTTACTTGACTCGGAAGTGGATGTCTTGCGATAGACTTGTGATGGATTTCTGAGGACATATGAAGACTTGTGAGGACTTCTTAGGACTTAAGGACTTGTGAGGAATTGTAAGGTCTCGTGAGGACTAATGAGGACTTATTAGGACTTTTGAGGACTTGTGAGGTCTTGTGAGGACTTGTGAGGACTTGTATGGTCTTGTGAGGACTTGTAATGGTTTTATGAGGCCATGTGAGGAATTGTAAAGACTTGTAAGGACTTGTAAGGTCTTGTGAGGACTTGTAAGAAATGGTAAGATTTCGTGATGACTTGTGATGACTTGAAAGGACTTGTGAGGACTTGTAGGGTCTTGTGAGGAATTATAATGGACTTATGAGGCCATGTGAGGAATTGTAAAGACTTGTAAGGACTTGTAAGGTATTGCGAGGACTTCTTAGGACTTGTGAGGACTTGTGATGAATTGTGAGAACTTGTGAGAAAATATGAGGACTTGTGATGAATTATGAGGAAAACGCATACCATTCAATACCGTTACTCCATACTGACAGCGCCCTCACCTGACTAAAAGGAAATATATCTCCGGTCTCGTCGTCATCTCCTTGAAAAGGTCAACAAACTCATAGCTGCTCAGCGTGGGTTTGGAAGCTCCGTCGCGTACCTTAGACAGAGTCATTTCCTATAGCATCAACAAGAAACGGAAAAGAAGAAAGATTATTTAAAAAAAACAGTTTTTATGGACCGAATCACTAGTTCTCAGAGTCAAGTGAGATATATATATATAATGCTTTAATATGAGGACTTGCGAAAACCTTTGAGACTTGTAATGAAATGTGATTGGGTCGGTAGAACTTGTGGAGACCTGCGTTGACTTGTGAGGACTTGTGAGGACTTATGAGGACTTATGAGGACTTATGAGGACTTATGAGGTGCTGTGATTCAGTTGTGATTGAGTTGGGAGAACTTGTGTGGACTTGTAAAGTACTTGACAAAACGTACCTTACACAAAGCGTACCTTAAATTTTTGCCGGACCCTCATGGACGTCACGCCGTTGTTGAGTTTCTTCATCAGCTGCATGACCTCAAACTCGTCCAGTTGACCCACCTCTGTCCCTGCGGCCTTCTCAAACATCTCTTGCAGCCACGTGTTGACATGAGGTCAAGGGTCATAACAGGTCAACGTAACCTATAACTGTTTACCAGTCTATTTGTGTGGAACAGTTGCATTCCAGTTAAAGGGTGTGATTTCAAAGATTTGAGTTTAAAATATGCAATTTTTGTGTTTCTTTTTCGTTCCCCTAGGAAATCTTTGCTGGAAGCCTGCCTGATTCCTCACCTCAAAAACCCTTCACAAAATCAAGCCCCATTAAAAAATGCCTTGGTTTTTTTTTCAAACCTGCAAAACCCCAAGAATTAAAGACAAGAATCTAACCACTTAAGAATAAAATTTTAAAAATTGCCAAGGATATCTGTCTCTCATGTCCTGCTTCTTTTCTATTGCTTCAGGTGCTGTAGAAAAAGAGAAATAAATCAAAATCTTAAAAAAAAAAAAAAATATGAGTCATTCTAGAAATCTTGGGTCCACTTTTTTTTCCTGTCCCTGTTACATCTGACATCTATGATTTTATAGTTCGGGATGCTCTCCTAAATGCAGTCGTCTCCAAGTGAGAATAGCAAAGTGCCTATCCAACAAATGTAAAAAATCAGTTGAGGTCATTCTTAATGAAACTTGAATGGGCAAGGTAGCTGGCCTGGAAAAATGAAACATGCTTTGGAACCTTAATGTTTAGAATACAAATAAATAAGTGAAAGACTGTGCTTAAGACTCATTTTGCGGAATCCAGTCACATGAATGTTTAAATGACTTACATGTACATTTGCTTTTGTTTCCTCCCACCAGATACGACAGCCCCGTGACCCAGATATTGGCCTCGTCCGGTGAGTTGGCCACCAGGTCTAGCGTCTCGTAGTTATCGCCGAAGATAATGGAGAACGCGCATTCCTCGGGAAACTCGGAGGTAGACTCCCGACTGCGAAACGTCTCCGTGTTCTTGCCCACTCGGACCTCTTTTATGGATTCTATGGCAACTGAAAAAAAATTAAAAAAATAAAAAATTGAAACATTAAGGGTAAACATTATCAACAGAGTGCCATGGGATAATTGGGGTGTGTTCAATAGTAAAGCAACCTGCTTGTTGACACAAGGTAGGATTCGAACCCTACAGTGGAATAACATCTACAGTGGAATAGCAGCCACTAGGACTAACTTTTTGCCTTGTTTATTTTCTTGAAAGAAGAATGCCGTTATAGAACAATAATCTGTGATCAGAGTAAAATGCCATGCTTATGGACACACGTGCCAAGCATCCCGAGGCAGGATGCGAACTCACAATATTTACAAGCTGATTGGACTTACTTCTTGCCATGTCTGTTTTGAAAGAAGTTGGCACAATATAAAAATAATCTGTGATAAAATTAAAATGCCATGCTTACATGTATAGACACAAGACTCCCGCGGTAGGTTCGAACCCACAAACTCTTCTTATGGACTCATTTCTGGCTTTGTGTGGCTTTTCAGATGTAGGATGCCATCCAAGTACAAGCGTGCAATCAGAGTAAAGTGCATTGCCTACATACACAAGCCTCCCGAGGCAAGTATCTGAACCAGTGCTTTCTTAAAAACCACACAGACATACAGTACCATATTTGTTTGCAACGCACTGACTGTGAGGTCACAGTCGCCCTTCAAGTTTTATTTAGAGAGCTGCTATAGGAAGTCAACCACTGAAGACTGAAGACTTACTTCTGGCCTTGTCTGGTTTCTTGGATGTGGGATGCCATCTGATCTCCGACAGCTCCTCACTAAGACAGAAGATTCGGTGATACTGTCGTGACGGTGAGCGTACTTTGATCAGTTCGCAGCCTGCTTGCATAAAGGCCAGACAGTCAGAGGCTGCGGGTATCAGAAAAAAAGAAGAAAAGGAAAATATGATTCACGAAGATATTTCTAAGATTGAATCTTTGCCCTGCATCAAAGAAATGTTAAACCAGAGCATAATTGGGTACTCGCTGGCAGCTTTTAAAAAAGATGACTTTTGAATTTTGGCTTGTGCATGCTTCTACATGTATAGCTAAAGGATTCTGCGATTAGTTAAAGGGTTAGCTCAAATTTTTTGCTAGCACGGTAAGCGTAGAACAGTGACCGTAAGAGTGGAGTTCCATGGTTAGCAGGGTATACATGTATGAACTTAATGTCCATGGCCCAGTTTCCTGGCTCTGCTTACCATTTACGAAAAATCCTTGCTTACTGTAGCAGAAAATTCTGTGCTTACGGTAAGTGTATTTCACAGGTTAACGAGGAATATTGGCTTATCTGCATGCATGTATCCCATAGCTAAGGATCCTGCGCTTATAGGGTTAGCACAGAATTTCTTCGCTAATGCGGTAAGCACATAACGGTGTCCGTAAGCATGGATTTCCCTGGTTAGCAGGCTTATGACATTGTGCACGGGTCACTAACCTACATTGTACATGTACTGGGCCCAATTTCATACAGCTGCTTAAGCAGAAAATTTGCTTAAGCACGAAAAAACATTGCTTAGTAAAATTAGGTTACCGGCCAAAACTCCATGTGATGTAAATTGCTTGTGACTGGTATTTAGCTGTTGTTTACTTAGCATAACAATCGCATGGAGTTTTGGCCGGTAAGCTGATTTTATTAAGCAAGATGTTTTTGTGCTTAAGCAAATTTTGTGCTTAAGCAGCTCTATGAAATTGGCCCCTACATGTGTACATGCACAGGATGTCTACTAAAGATGTGTAGATGTCTGTCCATCAAGCAGTTTATCATCATTTGCTTATGACTTTGCAATAATACATAAACATAAATCAGGACAGATAAACCAGCCAGATATCATCTGGCCGATACCAACATGTGTCTACTACATGTACATTAACAACCGATACTAGCCCTTAAATCCCAAGTGTGCCATAAATCTATCCGCCAAATGGAAAATGAGTGCCCCAGGGAGAGGCGATATTTTGTCTGGGGGATGAGCTAAGATTTATGGCTGGGCCCCAGGATTGTCAGTTTTGATACAGCCTTATTTATCTGGAAATCTGGGGCACCAGTGTCTTAGGAATTGACTTTATTGATTGGTTTAGGTTGACAAATTTCACCGATGAGGCAATTTATCATAGAAGTTGTAAAATGTGTTTCCTCTACAGACTTCGTGTATGGTCTTATAGAACAAAAACTGAAGGCTTCTAGAGAAGCAGGGGAAATTAGTCTCTTTTTTTTTGTAAGGAATCATTTCAGGATTGATTTTATTTCAGAAAATGAGTACAACGTTTTTGGTAGCTTGAAATTCTTGAATACACTATTCCCTTCAACTCTATAACCTTCCCAAATCTTCCAAATTTCTCTTTGCAAAATGGAGGATTTTGCAGGATTGAGGCTATATGGAATTTTTTTTTTGGAGAATGCACTGTGTCAAGGTCTTGGGCCAGACCTAGTGTTGTTTATGCTCAGCCATGCATAAATTTAGGCCTAGATTATACTTGAGATCCGCTCTGCTCCAGGATGTCACAGGCTCTGCCTCAACATATTGACAGTGATTGCTGGAGGATTTTGCAGGATTGAGGCAGTGGTCACTCCTCCAAGGACCACATTCAAGAAATAATGGATGATTTTGCAGGATTGAGGCAGTGGTTCCCCCTCTAAAGACCACTTTCAAGAAACAACGGAGGATTTTGCAGGATTGAGGCAGTGGTCACCCCTCTAAAGACCACATTCAAGAAATAATGAAGGGTTTTGCAGGATTGAGGTTGTATGCAATTCTTACATGCAGGCAGTAGGAGGATTTTGCAGGATTGAGGTTGCATCCTAGCAAAAATGCTTAAGGAGTAAGTGTTAATAAAGGCTTGCATGGATTTTTTGGGAGTATACCCCGTCATATCAAATGGAGCTGTTCTCTTTCCTCTTTTTTCCTTTTTATTTTGAGCGTATTTCTTTCATTGCTGCCAACACCTTGAGTGGCCTTTGGCCTTATGACTGTTGACTTCCATCCAGAAATGCAAAAAAAAATATCTAGGGTTATAGAAAAGTGAGATCATGTGTGAAGGATTGTAAATGATCTCGACAAAAAATTGGCCCAAAAGTGTGACTGTTCTTGGAAAGGGTGTTATCGTGACACCTCTTGCCAACCACGTCCAAGCCCTGGGCTAGAAATTTGGAACACAACCTCAACAGGAGCCGGAGAAAAACGACAGAGTGCGAAAAGTCCTCCGGATATGTTTAAACAACCAACATCATCTGGCACTGAAGAAATGCAGCAACTCCAACTAGCCCTAGTGATCCATAGTGATCCATCACTAAGATTGTCTGCAACAGCCAACAATATGTTAAATTAGCTTGTTGAGAACATCAATTATTTTCTACATTTGTCCCCAGAAAAAAAATCAAAGACAAGCAAAATAAATTTGTTAACTACAAATGCAAAACGAATTGAGTTGTAAGGATCAATATGCATTCATGTATCATCCAGAATGGAATAAAAAGATTGGAGGAATCCGAAAAACCGCCAAAAAAAAGTTGATTGATTTATATTCATGCTGACGTGAATGCCTCGTGTGATAAAGGTGAAGTTCGGCGGCCGGGAACTTGCTTTGGCTTAGATTAATCAGGAGAGGAAAGAAATGATTAAATTTTAACGGCGCAGAGCTGAAAAAGCCGGAGTGTATCGTGATATCAATCTTGAGGCAACAGTGGAGGGATCAATCCCCGGGGAATTTAATCATTCCACCCACGACCCTGCGGGCCAAAGGAGGTGAAAATTCTTTGAAGATACCTGAGAAATGCGAGGGGGGAAATGCAAGCGAGTAGAGGTTTTCCAAACTACGGCTCAGTTGCCACTGCATGTCTGACTGAAGAATCATGAATAAGCCTTTAATGTCCAACCGATGAAAATCAAATATTAACTTATAGCTTTGTATTAAAGGATTCGGTAATTCTTACGCAAGATTGATTTTCTTACTTTTCTTAAGAAAATAAATCTTATTTCAAGAAACGTTTTCTTGTCTCACTCCCTAGAATTTTTAAGGGAGTGAGACAAGAAAATGTTTCTTGAAATATTTTTTTTCCCTAGTTTTAAGATATGATTTTTAGCAATGATGGGTCTGTATTGAGGTGAAAATCCCTGAAGTCTTGGGACAAAAATCTCCTGAAGCGAAAGTCTGAGACAAAGTCGAGGATTGGAAAATGCTCTAGGTGTGGGATGAACATGATCACATGACCAAAAATATTGGAAGGAGTCCAAAAGTCACTTAAACTTATCTTGAGTAAGTCTCTGTGTTCCCCTAACCAGCACTCTCTGAAAGTCAACTTTGCCAGCTGCTCACAACATAAATTGTCTAAGCACGGAAAGTATTCACAATAAGCAACAAACAGTTACCAGTTAAAAATGTCATGCAGTGGTATTTCTTTTAACTGGTTCCCAGCTTGCTTGTGCTAAGCACGTAAATCTTCCAAGCAGAACTTTCTGCTACGCAATGCAAACATCCAGTTCGATACAAACTGGGTCGGAGCAACCTTAACTTGTAAGAATGTTGATAGCCTCTTCAGCATATTTCAGCGCAAACAACTGGAAAACAAAATGCCAAAGTTCTGCAAAATGATTTAATGCTTGCTAAGAAATCCCAAGATGTCATTCTCCTCTCATTAGAGCTCAAGGCACTCAAAGGATGTTAATTTTTAACTCAGCAAGGCCGTGGCACATGAGAAGATTTTGTAATGGGCAGTTTGTTGAGTTATAAATTACTATGGCAGTTGTGAGAGTGTCAATAAACGTAAGTGCTTTGATCTTTCAATTGCAACTTTATACAAAAACTGAAATTAATGAAAAGAGAAAAGCCCTCACCACTACAACTATTAATGTTGTTATAAAATGCATCGAGATGTACGTACATGTACATCATCCGTAATTTATCTTCCAATGCTTTCATTTTGCCGCATCAAATCTTCTCACGCTACAAATGAAGACAGATTTATGTGCTCGGTACGTGTTCCTCATTGAACATGAAGTGAATGATGTGCCTCAAGAAAACAAATAGTTACCGGAGAACTCGGCTCCGTGAGGGCCAAAAAAAAAAAACGACTTGATGGCGATCGTTTTTCTTGAGCGCTCGGCATTTTTTGAGCAAGATTGATTTTGTAAAATGATCACACCCAGCACAGCAAGCGCTGCTTTCCGAGTCTGGCTCGATTTTAGTCCCCTGTTTGCAGAGATTTTGGTTAATGCATTGCAAATTGCACCGCAGGGCAAATGCAACGGGGGAAAGATGCAACAAAAACATTGTGAGAACGTTTACTTTTCTGCCTTTGATGTTTGAAGTAGTGGACTTTTCCATACATCCGGTTGTTGACTTACATAGAAATAAAGGAGGTTGGTGGATCAATTTGCAAAATGTTATTCCATCTTGTGCTTGGAACAGGATTTCACCCACACGGGTATGGAACTGTAATAACACCCTGCTACAATGTCAACTTGTCAGTGCACACATACTGAAATTTGTATCATTGTGGAGTTATTTCTTTGTTCTCGTGTAGTAAAGTTTTCAAGTGTGAAAGTGAAGTTTGAAAATGCTGTTATTTTAACCAAAATTAATTTCCTTGGCTGAAACTCGGACTTACATGTAATATCCCTTTTCTAAAACTCAACCCACCTTGGAAATTCCTAGTTTTTGAGTAAAATCCATATATCTATTTCATGAAAATCTTGTGGAGACATATTTATCTATAGAAATTGTCCTGTGGAGACGTATACAATCTTTTGTTCCCTATTGTGTGCACGTCTCCAGAGGGCACGGTGTATCAGATCACCTAGGCGTATGGAGTGGGGTCATGTTTCCAACGCATGAGGTATCACAATTCGAAATTTGGATATTCGAT